GGTGCAAGGGCATCTCAGTACCTGAGAATCCTGCCTCAGCTCACATTTCCTTGACATTCCTTGGTGGGGTTCAGGTCTTGGCACCTCACCTGGGTTTAGGGTCATGCTGCTCTGACAGTCCCTTTGCATGTTGTAGGGGCTGCCCATTCACCAAGATGTTTCCCTTTTTTGAGAACTGGAAGCTTGCTGGCTGGGATTGTTCCCACCAACTATGTTCCCGTCCAGGGAGCTTAAAATAGCCCCTCTTGGCCGGGGCCCTGCAGTGAGCAGTGAGGCAGGCATTTGTGCAAATATGGGCCTGGGAGAAGGACTCCCAACCAGGAGGGAGAGTGGGGTGGGCTCATAGCTGGGGGGCAGGACCGCCTGGGGGTGCACCCTCTGGGCCACAGCCAGCAAGATGCCTGCTAGCCTCCTTGGCCTTAGGGTGCGTGTGGGCAATGTTTGAAGCAAGCTCCCCAAGTCCCGCTGACCCAGCTGAGGCTCCAGAGCGGGCCCACTGAGTAGGGGTGTCTGCATTCCTCTATTGGGTCTAGCCTCTTCTCCATTTCATAATGCCCATCTATTTAATAGGAACATTCTAGTAGTAGGATTCCTGAAGGTCCAACTCAAACCTTTTTTAACAATATAGCAGCTGCCTTTTGGGCCCTAACTTTTGTCAGCCACTGTGCCCTGTGCTAAAGCACTTTGACATGAATTTTCTCCTTCCTTCCTTCCTTCCTTCTTCCCTCTCTCTCTCTTTTTCTTTCTTTCTTTCTTTTTTCTTTCTTTCTTTCCTTTTTCTTTCTTTCTGTCTTTCTCTCTTTCTGTCCTTTTCTCTTTCTGTCTTTCTCTCTTGCTTGTTTTCACGTGTGTATGCCAGTACTGGGGCTTGAACTCAGGGGCCCCACACTCTTGCTTAGCTTTTTTGCTCAAGGCTCGTGCTTTACCACTGGAGCCATGGATTTACTCCTGGAGTTTTGCTAGTTAATTGGAGATAAGAGTCTCTAGGAGTTGACTGCCTGGGCTGGCTCTGAGCCATGATCCTCAGATCTCCGCCTCCTGAGTAGTCTGAGCCATTGACCCACAATCTTAACATGCATTTTTTCAGTTGATCCTCATAACAACCGACTATGATCCAAGTTGTTATGACCTCCATCTTAGAGAAGAAAAGAAGGTTTGGAGGAGTCAAGTGCTTTTCCTAATGGTTATGAAGGGGACAGATAGACTTGAAACTGAACTCTGTCAAGTGGTGGACCCTGAACTTGACCCTGAGACTCTAGTTCGGCCTTGGGCATCGTGTGTGCCTGACCTTGAGAGGCTCAGGTTGTTCAAAGACACTGGGTGAGGCCAAGGCATCACAGAGCTTGATGTATAACAGTGATCAGATGAATAGTCCTCTCTCCTCTTTTGGGCACACACTTTGCGTTGCACACATCAAATAAACACCTTGTAAATTCTTCTGTGACTTTGGGTACACTCTGTGAACCTCAGTTTCCCCATCATTCTTTTAGGGAAAAACTAGGATACCATCATCATAGGCTATGCATCTGAAAGAATTAGCACTGGGCTATTATTATTATTATCGCTAGTTTCTACTCTGTGAGAAGTATGGTACCCAGGTGCTAAATACAGAAGGCCTACTACGTAATAGGTGGTCAGAGTAGAGGCATCACTCAATCCCTTGGCTCAGTACACAGAAGCTCTCAGCCCCACCCAGCTGCTGTGCCACTTCTGTTCTGACACTGGTGTCCTGGATGCTGGTCCCCAGCAGCAGCAGGCTTGCTCAGAAAACCCATTCCACCCACTCACACTACCACCCACGTTCAGTCCCAAGCCCCTTCCAGGCAGGGCTGAAGCCCAGGTTTCCGAGTGTTTGCTACTCTTTGTGACTGTCTGGCTTTCTGCTGGTGCCACCTGGTGGTGAATGTGCCTGGTGAGGTTGAAGACTGAGTCCCTTCCCTGCTTGCTGTCCAGGCACTGCCCATTTGTCCATCTTCCCTGCCCTCCTTTACTCTGCCCACTACCTGCTGCATGTAAAGACTTGAGGACCCCAGCTTCAATTGTGGGTAGGAGCCCCAGGAAGTCTGGTTGTGATACCTCTTTCCCAGGCCTAGCACTGACCACTGGGGCTGGGGCTGATGGCTTCCCTGGATTCACACTCAGAGCACTGGTATAAGAACACAACCCTTCAGTGGTCTCTTCCAGGATGGAGGAAGGGGTTCAGTCCTGGCCTGAGATGGAACAGGAATAGGTAATCCAATACTATTCACTATGCACCTGCCTAGGAATCTCCATTTGAGGGGTCTATAACCCCCAGAATGATACCTCTCCAGACCAGCAAGGAGGCCCAGCCTGGCCAGAGCTGTTGGTGTGTGTGTGTGTGTGTGTGTGTGTGTGTGTGTGTGTGTGTGTGTGTGTGTGTTATTGTAAAGGTGATGTACAGAGGGGTTACAGTTATAAAAGTCAGGTAAAGAGTACATTTCTTTTTGGACAATGCCACCCCTTCCCTTGCTCTCTCCCAATTTTTCCCTCCCATCCCCATCTACAAGGTGTATAGTTCATTTTCAAGCATAGAGTTCAATGAGTACCACTGCTACTTAGTGTATATTTTATTGAAGGAGCAGGGTCAAGATGCAGAAATTTTATTCTGCTTTCATCTCCCAAACTGGCTGTGTAGACTGGGGAGAAGTCTCTCCCTTACTAGCTTCAGTCTTTGGAAATATAAAGGGTGGGGTATCAAGTTAGCTGAGGAATGAGGATGCCAGTAGTCCCCGCTTTGGGTTAAAATACAGATCCCCAGTTTCTTATACCAGAATTGCCAGGGCTGGAGGCCTTGAACTTCCAGTGTGTGTATGGGAAGCTGTGCACGTTAGCAGGTAAGGAGACTAATGTTTTGCTTGTTTGGGGTAGTTTTTTTTTTTTTTTTTTTGGAGGGGTGGTCCTTAGAAGCAGGGAAAGCCTGGATGCCCTAGTACCCATCTTTCAACTTGCCCATCTTTCTGTGGAGGTGGGCAGGGCCCCTGGCTGCATGTTTGTGGGGCCTTACAGCAGCAGTAGCAACACAGGGTAGCAAAGAGCCAGCACAGAATGCAGCCAGGTTGCTCCCATTCACCCCCTGTCATTGGTTTGAAGGACAGTGGTAGAGAGGCTGGGACAGAGGGGCTGGAGGTGGCTGGTGGCGGGGGAGGGAGGGTTGTTGCCCAAGGAGGTATTTTCAGCATCTTCCTCCCTCTGGAGTTTCCAAGGACAGAACAGAGCCCTGTGTTGTATTTGACCAAATATGGTGGTATCTCTCTGAGCTCCAGGCCCTGCCAGCTCCTCAGTTATGCTGTGGAAATCGGCCCCACACAGATTAATCTTGTGACATCTAGGAGTGCCTCTTGCCCAGCCTTCCTCCCCTAGTCAGTTTCTGTAAATGGCCAAGACTGGCCCTCAGCAAGACAAGGCAGTATAGGGCTGTGTGTGTACAGCCCCCTCCCCCATCCTCATCCCATCCACACTTCTGCTTCCAACTGGGGTTGGTTCAAGGTGAGAGACCTCAGCCACAGGCTCTGCCCAGTGTTGCTTGGAAAGGTAGGTCTGTGGACCCTGAGGTCACCTGAGCTCATGGGGTTATGGCTTCCATCTGGGAAGGCCAGGCAGGGCGTTGTCACCTGTTGGAAGAGCCTGAGGAGTACATAGGAGAGAGGTAGTTTGAGGACGGCTGTAATGCAAATTAGAACAGCTCATGTTAACAACACAAGTTATAAAATAATCTTAGAATAATTTTTTGAGTGTGCTGGTACTGGGACTTGAACTCAGGGGCAAGATACTCTCCTTTAGCTTTTTCGATCAAAGTTGGCATTCTACCACTTGAGCCACACCTCCACATCAGCTTTTGGCTGGTGAATTGGAGACAAGAGTCTCATGGACTTCAAATGGTGGCTTCAAATCTTGATTATCAGATCTCATTCTTCTGAGTAGCTAGGATTACAGGCATATGCTATTGGAGACTAGCTATTTTATCGCCATTTTTATAATCAACAACCAAGTGTTTACTGGACTCAGATATGGATGTTGTCATTATTCCCATTCTAGAGACATGAAAACTGAGGCTCGGAAACATTTCAGGGACAAATGGGCCAGACCATGGCATTCCTGGGCACAAGTGCCACTTACAAAGAAGGGAAGAAAAAAATCAAAGCAGTCACACAGGAGCAGGTCCCACGGGTGAGACGTTCCATCTAAGGGGACCATACTGCTCCAGGAAGGACAGAGGCCCTCACAGATCTGCAACTTGGCCTGCTTGAGGTACAGGCTTCAGAAACATGCTCACAGCCGCCTGGCACTGTGCAGAAACTATCCCAAGATAAACAGCGTGCAGTAGTGCATAGAGTTCTGGGTAGATCCAGGCTCAGCCCTCAGCTCTGTCACCTCCAATTCACTGTGCAACCTCCTCTCTCCACTCAGCCCTCAGTTTCCCTGCCCAGGAGCTACAGGGGTGGGTCAGCTCTCCTGGGGCTGCTCCAGGATAGAGGGTTGGAGGCAGTTTCCTGGGGATCTGGGGTCTGGGTCCTGTTCTTGGCCAACACACGCTGAGAACATTTTACCTCCTCACCAACCGACAGCCCATCCCTCCTCCATCCTCAGCCCCTTGCCATCTCCAAATCAAACGAAGCTGATTGTCTTAGCTGGGCCTGTGGGTGCTGGCCGGATGGCTAGCCGCAGGCCACAGGCGGAGGTGCCACCGGCCAGGGCCCCTGCCAGACACACAAGGCATTGTCCCTTGGTCAACAGCCCCTGGGCACCTCAGCCCAGCTCCTGGCTTGCCCTCACACCCCTCACCGGCTGCCGCTGTGCTAGGCCCAGCCAGCTGGGGGCCCAAGGCTCCCAGCTAATGGTGAGCCCACCCACCCACGCCCCCAGCAGCCCCCTGTCGAGCTATAATTGCTGAGTTCCATCCTGTCACTGCCATTCTCTCCACGGCAGCATCTGGGGTTCCGGGCGGGCAGCAGCTGCAGCCTGACGGCCGGCTTGGTGGGATGGACTGGCCGCACAGCCTGGTACGTGGCTCATTCCCACCCCACCCCCACCCTCTCTAGGCTTCAACTTTTCTCTCCTCCTGATTAATGGCCATCTCTGTTTGCCTTGGAATCTGCAGAAGCTAGCTCTCTCCTCTGTCCTCCAGGGAGAAGCGGAGACTGGTCTCAGAGCTTCAGCTATGGCTGGGAGCTCAGGCTCAGCCTGATCTAGGTTCAGCCCATCCACACTCAGCTCTTTTAGGCCCAGGCATGTGGGGAATTAAGGCAGATGGAGGCCCAGGGATCTTCCCAGGCCTGGCTCCTTGGATCCACTAGGCTGAATGACCTTGGGCAAGTCCTTCAGACTCAGTTTCCCATACAGAAAGGGAAGGAAGGGGCTTCTGAGTTCAGGAATGTCATGTGGGCAGCTTGGATGAGAGAGCCTATTGTTAGATGTTTTTTTGGCACCAGAAACTAAGACCAAAAGGGAAGAATTTAGCAACTTGAATGTCTGTGGTGGATTTTGTGCCAGGAAATGGCTCTGCACAGAGGGACTATGCCAGAACTTGTTTGCTAGGGTCACGACTTGTTGGGTCACCTGGAGACATCAGCCCCCTCACCTCCCCCCTTGCCTCTATGCTCTGAGGTGAGGGCTATGAGGAAGGTATGGAGCCTGGTGAGCTTCAGGACCTAGGGGGTGCTCTGTCAGCTCTACCTCTCCCAGGTCCCTTCCTCTCTCTCCTGGTTCTTCATCAGGGGCTGATGGGATCCACTGGGTGGGAGGGATGGGTGGACGAGAGTGGGACATGGCAAGCAGAACCTGGTCTAGGCTAAGGAGAAACCACCAGTCTTCAGCCCCTCCCCTCAACACTTGTTGCTAACACTGTTTTTCCTCTGGGACTATGGAGCAGGACTGAGCTTCACAGGGCCTCGATCCACAGTCTCTCTGAGTGTTAAGTGGCTGGCAGAGGCAAGCCCAGGAGATAAGATAGTGAATCTAGACACACAGTGCTGTCAATGGGGAACAGACAAATAAAAGAATCACAACCGGGTGCTGGTGGCTCATCTGTCACCCTAGCTACTCAGGAGGCTGAGATCTGAGGATCATGGTTTGAAGCCAGCCCAGGCAGGAAAGTCGATGAGATGCCTATCTCCAATTAACTACCAGAAAAACAGAAGTGGTTCTGTAGCTCAAAGTGGTAGAGCACTGGCCTTGAGCAGAAAAGCTCAGGGATAGCACCCAGACCCTGAATTGAAGCCCTTCTCCCTAACAACGAAGAATCACAGATTGAAGTCAGGCAAGCAACCTAGTAAGAGTTCCAGTAGCATCTCTGAGACAGTGATATTACAAGGGGAAAGGCAGAACTCTGATGATACAGACCTGTGCAAAGATCCCGTGGCAGAAGGGAGTATGGTGAGAGCAAGTAATTGAAAGGAGGCAGAAAGGTGGGGTCCAAGGAGGGAAAGGAGGAAGGGCCCGGGGAGACCAGGGGTACCTTGGGAAAGATGTGAAGCTAGAAGGTGATGTCATCCAATTTACATTTCAAATGGCTGCCCTTGGCAGAAGAGCTAGAGCTGGTTTGAAAGTTCAGTTAGGAAACTGTAGAGCCCAAGGAAAGCGAGGTAGTGCCGATGGAAGAGTGGGTGGGAGGGGTTTCAAGCTGGGTCAAGAAGGTGTCTCTGTGCCCATCATGAAACCTGGTGCTCACCAAGTGTCTCTATACCAGAGACCAGGTCGGGGCCTGGTCGGGTAGGGGAAGCAGCCCACATGGAGGGCTTGCCTCTCCTTTCTTTTTCCTGAACCCTGACCCTGGGCTCAAAGAGACTTGGCCATCCCACTTTTCTCTTCAGGTTATCCTTTTTGCTATCTCCATCTTCTTGGGGCTGGGCCAGCCCAGAAGCCCCAAAGGGGGCAAGAGGAAGGGGCAGGGACGCCCTGGCTCCCAGGACACTGGGCCTCCCCAAGTGCCGCTGGACCTGGTATCTCGGGTGAAGCCCTTCACCCGCATGGAGGAGTATGAGAGGAATCTTGGTGAGATGGTGGCCCAGCTGAGGAACAGCTCCGAGCCGGCCAAGAGGAAGTGTGAGGTCAACCTGCAGCTGTGGCTGTCCAACAAGAGGAGCCTGTCACCCTGGGGCTACAGGTAGGTGGACTAGGACGCAATGGCTGCTCTCCCACCATCCCTGTCATTGCAACGGTCAAGATGTTGGCTTCTGTCACCTGAATGCATGGGTTGGAATATTGGCTCTGCCTCTGAGTATCTAGGAGGCTTTGGGTCAGTGGATGATCCTGTTTCCCCACCTGTAAACCGCAGTGGTAGTGATACCTATTTTGTAGTCTTGCTATAAGAAGATATCTGTGCAGGGTGTCTGTGAGGCCTTCCCACAATGCATTGTGTCCAACCCCCTAGCTGCAGCCCTTCCTTGCTGTATTTATTGCTGGCTGTGTTCATTTAGTTGTTCGTGCTAGATGGGGAACTCCTAACAGCTGCATCAGATTCATCTAAGGGTTCCATGTCCCATTGGGTTAAAACCAGGACCCTTGCTCAGCGTGCTTGCTCATGGCTGGTGCTGTACCACTTGAGTCACTCCACCAGCCCAGCCCTTTTCTGGTTATTTTGGTGATAGAATCTCTTAGAATTCACATTGTGAACTTCATTAGATCTTAGCCTCCTGAGTAGCCAGAATTACTGGTGTGAGCCACAGGTACCAAGTTCACAGCCACAGAATGACCTAGGAATTTCTTTTTTTCTTTTTTCTTTTTTTTTTTTGGTCCAGTCATGGGGCCTGAACTCTGGGCCTGGGTGCTGTCCCTCAGCTCTTCAGCTCCAGGCTAGCGCTCTACCACTGGAGCCACAGCGCCACTTCCGGCTTTTTTTCTTTTTGCTTACGTGGTGCTGAGGAATCGAACCCAGGGCCTCAGGCATGCAAGGCAAGCACTCCACCACTGAGCCACCTTCCCAGCCCTGACCTAGGAATTTCTTAATGTCCTAGGTGACCAAAATGCTGATCTTGGTTCTAGCTCCTAGCTCAGCAGCTGGTAACCAGAAAGGACAGGGTCTACAATGATAAAGATAAAGAAAAATCTGCCCCTGAGGGGTGCTCATTCAACTGCCTAGGCCACAGATTTTGCAGCCTCCTGGATTCCATGCTGCAATCCTAGAATAGCAATGCTGACTTGAATGGTAAGCGGTATACAGTCAAACAGAGTAGCCATTTACCCTACGTGGCTACTGAGCAATGTCAAGGCATCTAAGGAGGCTGAAACGCTGAGTTTAGAGGATTTAAATTTAAGCCTGCTCATGTGGCCAGTAGCTACTGTACTGGGCAGCCCAGGAATGTGACAGTGGCGAAAGTCAGTAAGGCCCCTCCAGATTCTGACTTCCCTGTTTTACAAAGGCCACAAACATCTTAGGGATTTTGTAGTAGATCCTAACCTAGGAGGTTCTGCTTGTGTGTGTGTGGTGTGTGCGCGCACGGGCCAATACTGGGGCTTGACCGTGGGGCCTCATTGCTTTGCTTAGCCTTGTCACTCAAGGCTGGTGCTCTATCACTTGAGCCACACTTGCATTTCCAGCTTTTTGGCAGTGAATTGGAGATCAGAGTCTCCCCCCCAAGGTAAATAGAGTGGAGGAGGCGCAGAGGAGAAGCCTCTGGCAGTCTGGCCGCACTTTCTGTCTAGGCCTGGGGTGAGCTTCTGGGTGGATGACAGGGAAGCTGGTGCGTGAACTCTGCGTCCTCGAAGGCCTGACCAAGCAAGCCTGTGGGCGTAGGGGAAGGGGAGGGGTGGGGACCGCTGGGCCGGGGCGATCTGCCCGTTCTGCACCCCCTCACCCTGTGCTCTCCCCCCCCCCCCCGCCCCTGCAGCATCAACCACGACCCCAGCCGCGTGCCCGCGGACCTGCCCGAGGCGCGGTGCCTGTGCCTGGGCTGCGTGAACCCCTTCACCATGCAGGAGGACCGCAGCATGGTGAGCGTGCCGGTGTTCAGCCAGGTGCCCGTGCGCCGCCGCCTCTGCCCGCCGGCCCCGCGCGCCGGGCCGTGCCGCCAGCGCGCCGTCATGGAGACCATCGCGGTGGGCTGCACCTGCATCTTCTGAGCCGGCCCCGCTCGGCGGGGAGGCGCCCCCTCACCCCAGCCTCCATAAAGCATTGCTTTCCGCTCCCGTGTGCGCAGTGGCGTTCTTCTGCCGTGTTGGAGCTGTGCGCACAGCCCCGCGAGGGGCTGACCAGGGACGAGCCGGGTGCCCAGGCAGCCCCAGGCCCCTGCAAAGCGCCTCTCTGAAAGCCGGCCTCCTGAGCAGGGAGGGGCCCTCAGATCTGGGGTTCCCTGCAGCTCAGGCTTGGGCCACAACAGCAGGCGGCTCCCGCCTGGGCATCAGACCCCTAATCTTCACATCAGTGCGTATATTTTCTTTTCTTTTTTCTGGACCAAGGAAGCCTAGCTTTGAACAAGCACTCACAAGCATGGAGCAGGGTCCGTGATCACTCAGCCAGCCATATTTCCAACCCGTTCTGCTGTGCTGCTATCAGGGGCACTCAGACTTTCGGAGGGCTGTTCATCTAGAGGTTTAGATTTAAGTGGGCGTTGATAGTTTCCTTTTCTTTTTCTCCTTCCTTCCTTCCTTCCCTCCCTTTCTTCCGTTCTCTTTTCTTCCTCCCTCTCTTCTTTCCTCCCTTCCCTCCTTCCCTTCTTTCTCTTCCTCCCTCCCTCCCTTCTTTCTCTTCCTCCCTCCCTCCCTTCCTTCCTGTCTTTCCCTCTTCCTTTATTGTGTATGCTAGTACTAGGACTTGAACACAGTGCCTTGAGCTCTTCCTTAGCTTCTCTGGTCAAGGCTGGTGCTCTACCACTTGAGCCACACCATATTCTGCAAGTTTGTTAGTTAACTGGAGGCAAGAGTCTCTGAAATTTATCTGTCTGGGCTGTCTTCAAGCTTCCATTCTCAGCCTCCTGAATAGCTAGGACTACAGGCGTCAGCCACCAGCATCCAGCAAGTTTTCATTTTTTTTTTTCTTTTTGGATCCAGTCATGGGGCCTGAACTCTGGGCCTGGGCACTGTCCCTCAGCTCTTCAGCTCAAGGCTAGGGCTCTACCATTTGAGCCACAGTGCCACTTCCGGCTTTTTTCTTTTTGCTTATGTGGTGCTGAGGAATCGAACCCAGGGCCTCTGGCATGCAAGGCATACGCTCTACCACTGAGCCACCTTCCCAGCCCGCAAGTTTTCATTTTTATGGAGTGGTTTTTTTCTTTTCTAGCAGAGTCTCTCTTGGGTGACCAGCTGCAGTTGGCCTGGGACCACCTTTGGGGAAGCCACTGGATAGTGTCAGAACTTTTCTGGGACGGACTCATCCTGCTCATGGAAGGCTCTTGCCCCTCAACTCTAATTCCATTCCCCCCTTTGGCCCCCAGTAATTCAATCTTCCTCCCTGGGCCCTCTAACTCCACAGCAAATTCCCAATCAGCTGTCCTAGGGTCTAAAAATACCCTCCTGCCCCCCAGACAGCTGAGGGGCTCAGGCTATTTTCTGAGTTTGCCGTTAACTGCCACAAGGCTCACAGCCTTACTTGGCTGCTTGGGCTTTAGTCAGCTTACAGCAGCTTTAGCACTGAATAGTTCAAGTGTCTAATTCCTAAAAAACCAGTGGTTAGGTATGTGCCTGTCGGGGGTGGTAAGTAACTTACCCTTTTTGGTATTGTTCTAGAGTGGATCCTGGTTAAAATCATTCTGGAAACTTCGGCCTGGTTCCAGACACATAGAAAATACTTTTATGCCAGCTGGACAGGTCCCTGTAGCATCTGCCTCTCTATCAGGGTGGCTCAGATCTTTAAGGTTTATAAATACTAAGCAGGTGCTCTAATGCCTAGCAACACCCCAGCCCCATGCTCTCCAGGTCTCAGGCCTGATTCAGGCCCCTGTAAAGGCTCAAGTTTCCCAGGCCCCCCATTTGGTGGTGGTGGGGGGAGGTGGGGAGAATTGAGCTGCAGGAAGGCTATGCTAGCCCTGGATGGTAAGAGTGGCCTGGAGGTGCATGGACAGGGGACTCTTCCTTATGATGTAAGGGGCTTTCTTCTTCCCAGAGCATCAGAAACCCAGGAATGCTTCAGAAATGTCAGTTAGAACTGGGTGCTGGTGGCTCACGCCTGTAATCCTAGTTACTTAGGAGGCTGAAATCTGAGGATCACGGTTCAAAACCAGCCCAGGCAGGAAAATCTGTGAGATTCTTATCTCCAATAAACCACTAGAAAACTGGAAATAGTGCTGTGGCTCAAATGGTAGAGCACTCACCTTGAGCTGAAAAGCACCCAGGCCCAGAGTTCAAGCCCCACAACTGACACACACACACACACACACACACACACACACACACACACACACACGAATTTCTGCACAAGTCACAATGGTAAGAAAACTTGGTCCTGGGGCTTGAGCTCTTCAGCTCAAGGCGAGTGCTCTACCACTTGAGCCATGCACCACTTCTGGTTTCCTGTGATTAATTGAAGATAAGAGTGTAGGGGCTGGGAAGGTGGCTCAGTGGTAGAGTGCTTGCCTTGCATGCATGAGGCCCTAGGTTCAATTCCTCAGCACCAACTAAGCAGAAAAAGCTGGAAGTGGTGCTGTGGCTCAAGTGGTAGAGCACTAGCCTTGAGCTGAAGAGCTGAGGGACAGGGCCCAGGCCCAGAGTTCAAGCCCCATGACTGACAAAAAAAAAAAAAAATGGTCTTACAGACTTTCCTTGCCCAGGCTGGCTTTGAACCATGATCCTCAGATCTTAACCTCCCGAGTAGCTAGGATTACAGGCGTGAGCCACTGGTACCCAGCCTTTGGTGGAGCTTTATTGAGTAAGCAAGCAGGCAAGCAGAAAGGCAGGGGCACACTAACAGAGTGTGGGTACTCTCAAAGGGACACACACACACACACACACACACACACACACACACACACAGTTCCTTGGCTGTTAAGGGTATTTATATGGTAAAGGCAGGGGTTCTGACATTAAAGTTCTGCAAAGATAGGTATTTTATCTTTGCTCTAATTACTCCTGATGTTACACTGTCTGAGTTTCTGGATGTTTGGGGACATTTCTTCCAGGTAAGAATGCATCTTGCCATAAAACAGATGCTTATCCTTGAGATAAGGATGGCATCCTGTTGTTTACATTTTGGGTAGGAGGTTGCTTAGTTTTGGGAGAGCATTTCTCTCAGGAAGGCATACATCCTGCCAGGTGAATGGTAATTCTTTGGGTGAGACAGGCATCCCTCAGGAAGAAATGCATCTTGGTGTCTCTCTTTGAAGCAAAGATAATGTTTCTGTGTTTCTAAATACCATGTTTCTGAGTTGCCTTCACCAGGCCTCATTTTCCTCAAGTTATCCTACCCCATATTCTCTTAAATGACTTTGGTTCCTTAATCTTTTTTGTTGTTGTTGCTGTTGGTCTGGGTTTGGGTGCTGGCCCTGTGCTCTTCAGCTCAAGGCGAGTGCTTTACCACTTGAGCCACAGCACCACTTCCTAGTCCCTTAATCTTAAGGGAAGTAGATGAATAGATATCTCCTGTATTTGCCTTAAGGTTAACTTTTTGCATATCTGGCAGTCATTTGCCATAACTCATTTTCCATAGTCTACCTTGCCTCATGATGACGACTTTTCTTCTTTCTGGACTTACAATTCACCTCTGAAAGGAGCAGAAAGCATGTAGGGATGGTCAGGATCTTTTCTAGTTTTACCACTTTTTTTTTGTGGTACTGAAGGTTTTATTCAGCCTTATGCTTGCCAGGAAAGTGCTGTGTAGCTTGAGCTACACCCCTAGCCATTTTGGATTTAGTTATTTTAGGGGACCAGCCTGGATGCTGATCCTTCTATTTATGCTTCTCCTGTAGTTGGGATGAGAGGTGCATATCACCACAGCTACTGACAAGATGGGATCTGGCTAACTTTTTGCCTCATCTGGCCTCAAACTGGGTTCCTTCCAGTCTTCACTTCCTGAGTAGCAGGGATTACAGATATAAGCTACTATATCTAGCATTTTTATAATTTTTTTTTTTGTGCTGGTATTCAGGGTTTGGTGCTGTCTTAGTTTTTTTCGCTCAAGGCTAGCACTATACCACTTAAGCCATAGTTCTACATCAGGCTTTTGAGTGATCAGTTGGAGGTAAAAATCTCATACACATTCCTGCCTTGGCTGCCTCTGAACCAGAATCCTCAGCCTCCTGAGTAGATAGGATTACAAGTGTGAGTCATTAGTGCCCAGACTAATAATTCTGAAACAGAAGCTTGGCCTCGTGAGCATGGGCTGATCACAGGCCCTTTTCAGTCCCCTGGTTTCAGGGCAGCAGGAAGCTCAGAATTTGGAGAAGTGGGTCTCCATAGCCCCAAAGATCATCCTTCAGCCTGAGTTGAAACCGTTTCCTGTTTTCCATTTGCTGGTGAGAAACTCCTACTGCATTGTCCAGCAACCTCCTCTGCTTTCTCCAGCATTGTATTTGCAGCACTGAACAAGGGTCCGGAGCAGAAGGGTACAACACTTGTGAATGAACAGGCTTTTGAAGGACCCAAAGGTTTGCTCCTAGTCCACTACACCTTCATGGGTGGGTGGGAGTACTACATTCCTTCCTTCCCTCTTCACCTCCAATCTTTTTTTTTTTTTGGTCAGTCGTGGGGCTTGAACTCTAGGCCTGGGCACTGTCCCTCAGCTCTTCAGCTCAAGGCTAGCGCTCTACCACTTGAGTAACAGTGCCACTTCTGGCTTTTTATATTTATGTGGTGCTGAGGGATCGAACCCAGGGCCTCATGCATGTGAGGCAAGTGCTCTACCACTCAGCCACCTTCCCAGACCCTTCACCTCTAATCTTACCCTCCACAAAGGACTGCCATTTTTCACAGAGATCCTGTGAAGTTTGTCTTATGTTGGGTGATACTGGGGTTTGAAGTCAGGGCCTATACTTGCTAGGCAAGCACTCTTCTACTTGTCATGCCTCCAGCTCCACTATCCTGCACCAAGAGCTATGGCTGGTGAGTTTGACCCCTTTCTTGTATGCTTGGCAGATAATAGGACTGCAAATGTTCTCCATTCTCTCAGGGGTCTGTGGGTCCCTGGGAGCTTCTGTCTTAGCCATAGAAAGCCAAGGTGGTCCCTGGGATAAAGGCTTTAAGTTGGCTCTCAACCTCTTTCCTGGAGTCTTTCCTTTCTTTTCTGCCCACAAGAAAGGAACTGGTGAGCCATTTCCAGGCTGGGTCTGGGAAAGCAGGCCATGTGAGCATGTTGGCTGATTGTGACTTGGAGCTCCCTGGCCCTGCTCCATGAATGCTTAGGACAGAGCCATAGCTCCAGCTCAGAACTGAGGACCTAGAATACCCACCCTGGGTCTATGGCATACCTTCCTTAGGGAATCAGGGAGGGGATGGTTATCAGGGGTAAGTTTTCTGCTTTGTCTTCTGGCTCAATATAAGTTGTAATGCTACCATGACAACCCATGCCATCTTCATTGCAAACCAAGATCAGCTAGAAGCCAGTGGCTCACTCCTGTAATGCTAATTCCTTAGGAAGTTGAGATTGACGACAATGGCTCAAAACCAGCCTGAGCAGACAAATCTGAGACTCTTATCTCCAATTAACAAGCAAAAAGCTGGAAGTAAAGGTGTGTGGTTCAACTGGTAGAGTGCCAGCTTTGAACAAAAAAGCCAAGTGAGAGTACAATGCCTTAAGTTCAAGCCTCAGTACTGCCCAACAAAACAAAACAAAACGATGCTAATACTGACGTCACTGGACTTGGGGGCAGGGCATGGCCCACTTTGTAGGAGGCTGACACTGTGGTGCTCTCCAATTCCCTTTCCACCCCTTCCTCTAAGTCCACCAGGATATGTTAACCAATCAGTTTAAGCTTTTCCTATGTGTCAGTGATTGGTCTGGTATTTGAGTCCCAAGCCAATCAGCAGAAGGCATTTCCCTAGCCACAGGAATTGGTTCAGGGTGGTCCCATTGGCTTAAGGCCTGGAATTTGGTTCTGTGGTTTCAGGAAGACTTCTCACCTGGGGAGCTATGACAGCCATCTTCAGCTGTGTGCAACAGCTGGGGGACTGCACAGTACTCTGGATTTTTAAGTCATGATAACCAGTAACATCTTTATCATCTAAGGTAATCTGAAGTTCTGGTTTGCTTCTACATGGACTGAGAGCCATCTTTCTGATGTGCCAGTCTGGCGACTTCTGTAATGACCAACAGATACATGCCACACATGCTCTAAAGACTCCATTTCTTGCCAGGCGCCTGGAGCTCCTGCCTGTGATTCTAGCTTCTCAGGAGGCTGAGATCTGAAGATCATGATTCTAAGCCAGCCAGGGCAGAAAAATTCATGAGACTCATCTCCAATTAACCAGCAAAAGTCTGGAAATGGAATTATGACTCCAGTGGAGAGCACCAGCCTTGATTGGAAAAACCCACGTGGATGCTTAAAGCCCTGAGTTTGAGCCCTAATACTGACACAAAAACAAAATAAAAAAAGAAATAGATTATTTCTTCACTGCCATTACCATTGCCCTGACATGAAGAAAACAGATTCCCAGTCAGTTTGGGGACCCACTGGTTCCTCATTGAACTCAGTTAATTTTAAGGGACGCTACAGATTTCAGCTGTTCTGCGAACTCACCAGATGTTCATTCAGTAAATTAATTCCTTGTGCTAGGCTTTTCTCTCCACCTTTGCAAAGAGGGAAGTAGCTAAATGACCTCTGAGATGTTTTTGTCAAATGCTGCAACAGTAATTTTCTTCTGCTCTAAACCTGACTTAGCAACTCTGGGTGGGCCCCCTCCCGCTATCTGGAGGTAGCGTTTTGCCCATCAGCCATACCTGCTGGGTACCTAGGTTTCATTCCTTCATGAGTTTCCTTCTTCCAATTGTTTTCCTTTTCCCACTGGCTTCCAGGAAGCTTACAAGTACACTGATGGCAATGTGGGGTAAATGTCCTTTCTCCAGGTTCTAACAGTCATCTCCCCCAACTGAAGACAACAGGAAATTCTTTTTTTTTTTTTTTAGAGGGGGGGTTCCGTTCGTGGAGTCTAAACTCTGGGCCTGGGTGCTGTCCCTCAGCTCTTCAGCTCAAGGCTAGCACTCTACCACTTGAGCCACAGCGCCACTTCTGGCTTTTTCTGTTTATGTGGTGTTGAGGAATCGAACCCAGGGCCTCGAGCATGCAAGGCAAGTGCTCTACCACTGAGCCACCTTCCCAGACCCGATGACAGGAAATTCTTAACAAGGTACTTCATCTCTAACAAAGCCACAGCCATGGGCTTGTCTCAGGTTTAGGTGTTTTGATTTTCCCTTCTATTCGGTAGCTATCTGGTGGTAAATGTTTCATTATAGATTGTGCATTTTGAGAGTGAGTACTATAAAACTTCAAAGAAGCTAGTACCGGAGTTCTCTGGCTTATATCCCCTCCCAGTCATCCTGGCTCCAAGTTAGGAAACCAAGTCAGAAGCAGCTTGGGAAGATGGATTTATTTCTGTTAAAAAATAAATAAATAAAATGAGTAGACTCGCATGAATTCCTTCTCTTTCCTTACTCTCTCCCTTAAAAAGCAACTCAAATGAGAATCCTTAAGCCAGACAGGCAGATAGCAGGTCACCTGGACCTGCCCTGGAAGGAAAGATGCTCAATTCACAAAAGGTCACAAAGAGCAGCTGGTCCTTGTGGGCTAGTGTGGCTTAGGCAGGCCTGGGCTGCCCTAGGGAATGATCCATCTTCATGGTGGGGCAGAAGTTCCCGGGTTCTCCCTGGAGCTCTCACAGTTCAGTCTTGACCTTGTGCATTAAATCCTTCTGGTCAATCTTGTCCAGGTCCTGGTACCAGCGATTGTAAGCCAGCAGGGCCACGTTTTTGGCTGCTACAGCCATCACCTCCACAGAGCTGGCTGCCCACTCCAGGGCATTGAGATAGAAGAGTTGGTCATGGAGCGCAAACTTCGGGAAGCTGCTGCGAGAGCCATAGAGGGGGTGGGCCTGCCACTCGGCTGTCTGGACTGAGTAATAGGAACGAAAGAGGGTCTTCAGCTGGGTCCGAAAGAGGGGTTCGGGGGACTGGACTCGCCAGACGGCTGCCTCTTGTGGCTGCTTCCGCCGGAAGTTGGCTGAGATGTTGACAGGACAGATGTTGTCCAGAGTGCAGAAGAAATTGGGGAAATCTGTGGTAAGGATGTTGGCGAAGGGGAAAAGCTTAGGGTCAGGGAAACCGAAGTAGGAAGAGTTGAGATAGCCATGGACCAGGGAGACGACGGAGGACTGGAAAGAACCCTGGGCGTCATCAATGGGCGGGCTGAAGCCTTCAAAGGTGAAGTTGCTGCTGCTGTTGTCCAGGTGCAGGGGCGTGGCGATGACTACAATGTCATAGAAGTCGGAGCCGTTGCCCATCTCACTCTCATACCGCACTTGGTACAGGGCTTTCCCCTCTGGAAAGAGAAAGCAGAAAAGTCAACTTGTCCCTTGGCTTCTACCTGTTGACTTCCTCCCTGGGACCCAACCAGGATGCAGTTAGATGTCCAGATGGCAGTCCCTGTCTCCATATTGGTATGGCTACAGGGCAAGCACTGGACTAGGTGTCAGGAGGTGCAAGTTCTTCTGTTTCTGCTGCTGATTGGTTGGAGGAGCATGGGCCAAGCTCTTAATCATTGGTCAAAGGATCTGAATTTATGGAAGACTTAGTTCTGCGTTGACAACTGAATCGGGCCTGCAGTGCCCTCTAGTGTCAACAGGGCTTCACACTGTTGTTTCAAAATACTGAAGCAGAGCATGGATCAGGGTAGAGGCAGGGAAGAGGCTGTAAGGAGGTCTGACTATGAACGACGTGGCCACCCTTGTGGCCCTGTCCACTCACCAGTGCTATGCAAGGCCACAGAGGTCACCGTGGCATGAATCACGTTGGCTTTGGTGAGCTTCAGCAAACCGGAACACACCAGCTTGTTGCCCCCTTCTACTGACCACAAGCTGCCTTGGGCCCCAGCTAGTGACATGGCTCCTGGGAAAAGCAAGAAGGTGGCTGGTGGGTTATCAAACCAGCAGGAAGTGTGGCTGGAGAGCCCAGCATGTTCTCCCCAGGCCCTGGCAGGGAGGGCAAGAGGGACACCGAGCACACAGATAAATACAACCGAGTCCACAATACCATGAGTGGCCAAGCCAATGCTCCGTTAAAGAGCTGGGTGTATGATTCTGTTTACAGGATGTCCCAGAATGAGCATGTCCACAAGCACAGACATCCGGGGCTGGGAGCAGTGGGGAGGTGAGCACTAGAGGATAGGGGTTTCTTTTAGGAGTGATGAAAATGTCCCCCAAGTTGCAGTAGTAGCATAAGTGAATGTATTAAAAAACACAAAACCTTGGGCTTTATTTTTTTGTGTTGTTCTTGGGACTTGAGCTCAGGGCCTAGGCACTGTTTCTTAGCTTTTTCACTCAGCTTTTTCCACAGCTTCACTTTCATCTTTTTGGTCCTCAATCAAAGATAGGAATCTCACGTGCTTCTTCTGCCTGGGCTGGCTTTCAACTGTGGTCCCTCAGCTCTAAGCCTCTTGAGTAGCTAGGATTACAGGAGTGCGCCACCAGTGCTCAGTCTGAACTGTGCTCTTTAAATGGGAGAATGCTATGCTGTGTGGATTTTATTTCAGCACACGCGTGCTATGGAGGATATACATGAGATGCTGGAAAAGCAAGCAGTGTAGCCACAAGGTGGGGATGCCGAGGCAGGCTCTGAAGGCCTGGAAGGAACGAGAGGAAAGTATCTCAAGCACACAGGAGGTGCTGGTCAATGCACACCCTCTCGGTTGTTAAGTAATAGTACACCATATGGTGCGAGCACCTTTTGAGATGTATCAGTGGACTCAAGTGTGAGTCACGCCCTTGGGAAGGCTGCGTGCTCTGCTGCTGAGGCTGGTGTGAGCAGAGGTGGGCTCCACACAAGCCCACCCACTCCAGTCACGAGCTAGGAAGACAAGGTGAGACACAGATGAACATCCGGAAATTCAGGTGCAACACACTGCCAACTTGGGCGGATGCCAGAATAAAAAGAATGGGCGTGACTAAGTGCTAAGTAATGTCATGAGCTGGACAGATGTGTTATTATGGCGACCTCAGCTCATTCTGGGAGCTCAGGCAGAGGGAGAGCAGGCAGGCAGGGGGAGGGCTGCATGCTCACCGGCAAAGGCGGGCATTGCTGCTGACTGGCCATAGCTGGCCCGCAGGACTGCCGAGACGACGTCATCGATAAAGCGCTGGGTAACACCCACTTGGAGCAGGGACTCAGCCACGGAGCGCTGGGTCATGTTGATGAAGGCAGACTCTCCTAGTGAATACAGTAGCTCCTCCACACCTGAGAAGGCATAGCCGTGGGCCTGGTACTTGTAGATCCTAGGAGATACAGGGAGCCGCACTCCTGTGAACAAAAGCTTTTGGGCAGGCCACCAGTCATGGGGTCCTACTGGGACCTCTTGTACATGTAGGGTATGAGAGAGGCTGCTCTGTGGGTGGTGGTGGGCCTGTTCCCACATGGACAGCACTGGAATGGGAGCAGACACTTCAGTACCCCCAAAGACCTAGCTTTCCATCAGAGCTCTGCCAACAGCCAATTGCATCACCTGTGTTGGTAAATGAGTGGCCCTGAGTGGCCTGGGGCCTACAGATAGGTTTTGATTGGCTAGATAAACAGGTGGCAAACAGTGAGAAGACAGGAGGCCCCACCCCAAAATAGACCTGGGTTGCCAGTGTGCAGCCTGAACTGTGGCAGGGGTAGCTACATGTGGGCATCCTCACAAGGTTGCCTCTCTCTTGCTCTTGCTCTTTGGGTCAGCCTACTTCCCCCAGTTCCCTGTTCTTTTGCACTCAGCCATTTCATTTATTCACAGCTTGCTTCTGCCCACAGGTGCCAGAGGGTGTGACCTACGCTTTCCTCTGCTTAGCGGAGGGAAAGACCGAAGGCCCTGCCCCACACAAGGCTGTTCCTCAGGGTGGGGGCTTCTTCTAAGCCTGCACTGAATCATGCACTTTCTTGTTTTCTTTTTCTTTCCTGTGCTGGTCTTGAGGCTTGAACTCAGGGCAAGAGTGCTGAGCTTTTTTTTTTTTTTTCTTTCTCAAGACTAGCACTCTATCACTAGAGCCACAGTTCCATCTCTGGCTTTTTGGTAGTTAACTGGAGATAAGTATGTCGTGGACTTTCCTTTCCAGGCTGGATTGAACTGTGATTCTCAGATCTCAGGCACCTGAGCAGCTAGCATTACAGGTGTGAGCCACCAATGCCCAGCTTTAAAAAAAAAATATTTGTTTTCACTTAGTAGTTGTACAAAGGGGTTTCAATTTCAGATGTCAGGTTATAAAGACTATGCATCTGGCTCTTGTGTTTTAAAGGGAAGCAGGTTCCTTCCCAAACTCCTGCCCCCATCCTCCCAGGCAGGTCCTACCTCATGAACTTCTCCATGACCTCCTCCACCCACATCTGCAGCCTCAGGAAGCTGATGCCGTAGTGCCACCAGAGGCGGAAGAGGTTCAGCAGGTACCAGTCCGTCTCCTCCAGCACAAAATGCTCCCCACCAAAGATGGCGCTCCTGCCCACCACTTCCCGCCGCTGCCTCAGCCCTGCGGAGAACAGCACTCCTCAGCCCCCTTCAGAGCCCTCTCAAGAGGACTCACAGTGCCTGCAGCTTCAAATCAGGATCCTCCTGATGAAACTCAGGCTCCAAGATCAGAGGAAAACAATCATAGCCCATTCTATCTGTCCAGCACGCCACAGTTTACAGAGCACTGGACTTGTAAGCAGGTATTGGCAGTGATCTATTCACCCTCCCCTCTCTGCATGGAATAATTGCACAGTGGACTTGAGATCACTCTATATCTAGCTACAACGGACCTTCCCATTCTGGCAGCTGAACAGACTATAAAGGATGGGTAGAAAAGACATAAGGCAATTACCAACAATGCTGGAACAAATAAGGTTGGACGTATTCCCTTTGTGCACCTGCAAAACCACCTGCAGGTTCACTTCTGGGAAGTGGAATCTCTGCAGCTAGCAACAAGTGTGTGGTTTTGACAGATGCTGCTGGGTTTACATCACAGCTCTCTCCGTGTGTGGTTTTACCTGAGCTTGCTTTCTTAGGGGAGGATGTAGGTGTGATCTCACCTAGGAGGTTACCAGGTACTTTGTAGGCACCAGCATAGGGATATTGGTAATGTTCACAATGATTAAGAGACAGCCAATTGAAAGGGAAAGAAACTAGCCTGGGAGTCAAAACCTGAGTTCTAATCCCGGCTCTGCAACTAACTCACTGTGCAACCTCAGGCAAGTTCCTTCCCCTCTCTGGTCTCAGCTGCTCCATCTGTAAAATGAGATTGATCTATATGACCATAGAGCCTTGAAGATCAGGACAATCTGGTGGCTGCTGCCAGCACTAGGGCACTGGGCACTGGAGCCCCAGGAACACACTCACCCAGCAGCTTGACGAAGTCCTGCATGTGCAGACTCAGCGAGTGGAAGGAGGCCGCTCCACTCTCGTAGTGCTGCTTGTTGACTGAGATGGTGGCCAGGCGGCCGCCCACAGCCCCCTTCTCGTACACATCGATCTGCACCCGGGGTCCAAAATGCTGCTGGAGGAAATGGGCTACGGCAGAGCCCCCGATCCCGGCCCCAACCACAGCTGTGAGCAGGCCCGGGAGGCAGGGAAGGGGACAGCAGAGGAGTTAGAATCTGCCAGTTGCCTTCACAGGCTTATGACATTTCAAAGAGAATTGAATTTCACAGGAGAACTGTAGCTAATAAGCAAAGACAAACCTGAAAACTGCCACCTACATTCACCCTCAGTTTATAAAGGAAAGGATCCTTTGGCAGCAAGAAGAGCAGGAAAGAATCTCAAAACCCAAAGCGACCATTTAAAGAGAATGCATTCAGTTTTACACAGAATTCTATAGCTTGTAGGCCAGATACAAATTGGTGCTTGTTTTGGCAAACCATGTTCTTTTTATTTTTGTTGCGTTGGGTCTGAACTCAGGGCTCGAGCTTGTTAGGCAGGTGCTCTATCATTTGAATCAGGCCTCAGCTTCAAGTTTGTTTTTTTTTTTTTTTGGTTGGTTGTGGGGCTTGAACTCAAGGCCTGGGTGCTGTCTCTGAGCTCTTTTGCTCAAGGCTAGTGCTCTACCATTTTGAGCCACAGCTCCACTTCCGGTTTTTGAGTGGTTAATTGGAGGTAAGAGTCTCACAGAAACTGTTCTGCATGGGCTGGCTTTGAACCGTGATCCTGATTTCAACCTCCTGAGTAGCTAGGATTATAGGCCTGAGCCACTGGTGCCCAGCCAGGCTTAAGTTTTAGAATATTCTTTTTTGTTTTGGTTGTGGGGCTTGAACTCTGGGCCTGGGAGCTGTCCCTCAGCTCTTCAGCTCAAGGCTAGTGCTCTACCACTTAAGACACAGCACCATTTCCGAGGCTTAAGTTTTATAGGCACTTTTTTTTTTTTGGGACAACCTTGCAGTTTTGCAAGGCTAGTTTGGAACTCCTGAGCTCAAGCAATCCTCTTGTATCAGCTTCCCATAACTACATCTGGCAATAAAGTTTTATTAAAACAAAACCAACCTTTCTTTCTTATAGTCTATAGTATCTTTCATGTTAGGCAGAGTTGACTGCAACAGAGAACAAACTAAACTATTCACTCTCTGACCTTTTACAGAAAAAGTCTGCCAAACTCTAGTCTAAGTCCAACCTACCACCTGACACTTAAGTCATTTTTATGTGTTTGTCAAGACTAGAATGTACCCTGAGATGGGCTGCTTGTGGCCTTATAGGGTGCCTGATTTCAGTTTGGACTTATGTGACAACTTCTGCTTAAGGTCTTCTGTGTTACTTTTCGTGCAACTCTTCCCGCCTTCCTGTTCCTTACACATTTGGTTCATTTGCAGACAGTATTCCATCCAAATCACTGATAAAAACAGTTCCTGACAGAGCTCTGAGAAGCAATGAGAAGAACCACTGTCTAGACAAGACAGATACTAATCACAAAATACTTCTGAGAAGAGTACACCAGCTACAAAGCTACTGGACTGAATTTCACCATGCCCATGATTTTGTCTTCCATGCATAGGAAACACTGCCTTCCTGCCATCTGACAGCCTCACAATCCTATCCATAGAAAATGAGAGAAATCTCATACTGTCTATCTTTCCTGGATCCACACTGGACCCTGGAGCACCAGATACTGTTAAGAAGTGGCAGACACACCAGGTGTCAGGGGCTCACACCTGTAATCCTAGCTACTCAGGAGGCTGATATCTGAGGATGGGTATGAAGCCAGTCCAGCCAGGCAGAAAATTCTGTGACTACTGTCTCCAATTAACCACTAAAAAGCCAGAAGTGAAAAAGCCTTGGGTGAAAAATCTCAGGGATAGAGTCCAAATCCTGAGTTCAAGTCTCAGTACCAGAGTGCACGCACAGTATATTTGCTCGTGTGCATGTGTGCACACATGTAGCAGACTATCTTGTGAGACTCAAGGCTCATCCTAAGTGGCCTCCTTGCTTCCTTCCCCATACTCCAGCTCCTCATCTGGCCAGCTGTCTTTCTGTGTGGCACCTGCCCACCTTCTTTCTCATTGAACCTTGGCCTGAGCCACTCCTCTGGTCAGGGATGTTGTCTGTGACCCTCTTGGACTTTCACCATCACCTTTAGGGCCAGCAAGGTGTTCCTTGCATATTCATTCAAGCAGCACACTGTGCTTACACCTGGTCTACCCACTGTTAGGTCAAATGATCTGTTTAAGGACTGAGGGAGGAGGGGTTCCCATGTTCTCAGATGTTGGCAGGCAATGGAGTCCAGACTATTTGCTGCATGTTGAAAGAACAACCACTCTTCTTCCTCAGGATTTACAGAGCCACTTGAAGAGTACCTTCTTTCTCAACCACTCTGCTCTTTACTATATTAGCAAAGACAGTCCCATTTTCTCCAGAGGAACTGGCATTTTAAGGGGCCTAGAAATCACCCCAGGGATATAGAGAAGCCATTGTCATGGTGACCAGCTCATTCAACACTGATACCCACCCTATTTTAGGGCAGATAACAGAGTGCACCAGGGCTCAAAGATGAACCAAACAGGAGCTTCTATCTTCAGGAGCTCAGGCAGTCAAGTGAGCCCATACACAAATCAGATTCATACACAGTCAGCTAGCTATGACAATGTGACAAACTAGGTCAATAGGGTTTCAGGGAATCCCGAGGAGGAAGGAATGGATTCTGCTAGAGTGTGGGGACACAGCTTCCTAGAGGAAAAAACATTTGATCAGAACCAAGAGGACAATCAGCTGTGCCAATGAGAGGAGCCACCCACTCAGCGGAGCGCACAGTAGGAGCACAGGGTACATAACTGCACAGGTGGGCTTAAAGTGTTCTTAAGGACACTCTGAGGCATTCAGATTGCAGATGAGGAGTCCAGAGATTATGCTAGCCTAACAGGAAGCTTCTCATTATGCTCTGAGTAGAGCCCAAATACCAAGAGTGGACAGCATCTCCTGCCAGAGGGCTAAAAACAAAAGAATCAGGGAGGTTTAAGGGCAACTCGGCCTTGCATGATCGACTAGACAAGACAGCAAAGGGGGTGAGGCCAGCTGGAGAAAGGCAGGCACCAAGCACCGCATGTCAATTCAGTTCTGTTGTTGGAGGCCCTGATTCTTCTCCAAAGATCAGTGGGCAATATCCTGCCCATTCCCAGGACAGCTCTCTCTATGCTCCTTGCCACAGCCTGTCTAATTCACCCTCATCCTTTCAAAATCTACCATCTCTTTTCCCTCCAGCTCTCAGGATTCTCCTACGAACTCTCAGTCTCTCAAGATAATTTCCTGCACAGTTCAATCTGCCTTAATCCTTCACAGTCTGGTGTAATTTTCTAACACAATAAATGTTAGCATTGCATTTGCCTTGACAAGTGCTCCCAAGAGACATCTCAAAGCACTCCTGCTCTCTGAACTGCAAAGGGGGCAGGTAGGTAGAGTTGGGACTTTGTCCTCCACATTAGGAACCCAGCATCTCTGCTTGTGGGAATCTTATGTGGGAAAAATTTCAAGTTAAAGCTGGGTGCTGGTGGCTCATGCCTGTAATCCTAGCTACTCAGAAAGCTGAGATATAAAGATCATAGTTCAAAGCCAGCCTGGGCAGAAAAGTCTGTGAGACTCTTCAATTAACCAGGGAAAAGCTGGAAGTGTGTGTGTGTGTGTGGGGGGGGGGGGGGGGCTTGTAGCTCAAGTGGTAGAGCACCAGACTTGAGTGAGAAAGCTAAGGAACAGAGTCCAGGCTGAGTTCAAGCCCATTCCCCAGCCCTTCCCCCTCCCACCAAAAAAAAGAAAAAAAGGAAAAAATTCTAAGTTAAAATGATAATTATTAAAAGGAGGAAAAAAATAACTAAGAACAAACATGATGTCTTGGTGCCTGCAATTTATTTTGAAGTGCATTAGAATGTTAGACGAACTCATGGGTGACTAGCAGGCGGTGGATGGGGTCGTAACAAAGCAAGTAGAATAGCAGTGAATGGCAGAGTGTAGGTGGCTGGCATATAAATGATCATTGTAAAATTCTTTCAATTTTGCTGTATGTTTGAAAATTTTTCACAAGAAAATATGCGGGAAACAAGGCAAGAAAGAAAAGGGGCGCATGTTGAGAGTTCTCCACTCTTGTCACCCAACAAATCCATATCTCTAGCAGACCTACTGATCAGCCTCGATGCAACTGTCTATCTACACTGCAAGTGCTGGCCAGGACGTTAGTCCAAACCCCATGCGGCGCCCTAGCCCGGGTGCCCCGTACTTCTCAGCGCTCAGAGCAGTCTTCTCTTGTGAGGTCCTTGCACCAGGCAGGAACTACAAGCACTACACAGCAGCAGCTCACAGCGAACGCAGCACCGTCCAGCTGTCCTGTCATCGGGCCGCCCAGAAACGGCCCCGTCCGAGCATTGGCTCCGGGACCTTCCGGCACCCCGTCCCCAGGCCTCGGTGCCCCAGGCGGCTCTCCGCAGGCCCGTGCCCCCTCCACCAGCACCGGCCCTCGCGGTCCCGCCCCAGCCCCTGGCCTGTCCTGCACCCCGCTGCTCTCCTCACCCTCGTCCTCCCCGGCCCCCCGCCGGGCGCTACGGGCTGCGCGTACCCCCCCCCCCCCCCCCCCCGTCTCCATCGCCCTTCCCGCACCGATTTTGCCGGGTGGGGCGTCTCCGCCCTCCGCGGCGGCGAAGAGCGTGGCCAGTGCAGCGAGGAGGAGCCGGGCAGCGCGAGCCATGGCGGGCGGCGGCCGGAGCAGCACGCGGCGGGGGGGAGCGGCGCCCTCGGGTTGGCGCTCCACTCCCTGTCCCGCCCTGGCGCCCCGGCCATCCGGTCTCCCAGCCTCTCATTGGCCGAGCAGCCGTCTCTCTCTACTACAGAGCCCTGATTAGCTACGCCACTCTCAGAGACGACCCTATCGCCGGCAGCATCCTCATCCCGCCTCCCAGATGCGGGCTTGTCATTGGCTGGCCTATTCTGCTCCCGTGCAGGTGCGCGCTTGGGGCCTTAGCATCAGCACCCGTGCCCGGCTGCGGGGGGGGGGGGGGGGGGGGGAGGGGGGAAGGGAGTCCTTATGTCCAAACTCGCCTTACTAGCTGTCCAGCCTTCTCGGTAGCTTATTCAGTTTCCACTGTCATAAGACCGACAGAATAACCTCCCTCTACTTTTTAAGAGCGTCGTGACAATCCTGTGAAAGACGTGAAACAGAATCTGCCAGTGCAGTAGGTAATAATAAAAAAGCTTGCAGCTTCTCCATACCTTCTTCTAACCCGCCCCCCCCCCCCCCCCCCCCCACACACACATCTTTTCTCTTCAAGAAAAGAGGTAAGCAACCATTTCCATCAGATTTCCTCTAGTAAAGCATAGTTTGGGCTGAGTTTCAGATTAGGGAAGGAAAAATCTGTATTCAGCCAGATTACGCTAAGAAACTGAAGGGGTCCAGAGAATGGTTAGGAGCTTTGTAGATGGGGTTATAAATGAGCTGAGTATTAATAGCCTGAACTGGATATATTACATATGTAGATGAATAAGCATACACTTCTCAATCTTTTTGAAAAGCTTTGGCAGTGTCAAAATACAAAATTTCTTAAATTAATTTGCAAACTCAAGATAGCCCCTTAAATTTTATTCACAAATTACACGTTTATCCTTATTACATTTATCCTTACATTTAACATTTGACCAGTATTACAACCCCCAACACATTCGAGTGTTTCATATTTCTGTAGCCCCTTAAATTTTTTTTTTTTGTCCGTCGTGGGGCTTGAACCCTGGGTCTGGGCACTGTCCCTCAGCTCTTCAGCTCAAGGTGAGCGCTCTACCGCTTGAGCCACAGCTCCACTTCCGGTTTTCTAGTGGTTTATTGGAGATAACAGTCTCAGACTTTCCTGCCTGGGCTGGCTTTGAACCGAGATCCTCAGATCTCAGCCTCCTGAGTAGCTAGGATTACAGGCGTGAACCACTGAGGCCTGGCTCTTAAAACATTTATTATTTTTTTGGATCCGGTCGTAGGGCCTGAACTCTGGGCCTGGTTGCTGTCCCTCAGCTCTTCAGCTCAAGGCTAGCACTCTACAACTTGAGCCACAGCGCCACTTCCAGCTTTTTTCTTATGTGGTGCTGAGGAATCGAACCCAGGGCCTGGAGCATGCAAGGCAAGTGCTCTACCACTGCGCCACCTTCCCAGCCCTCTTAAAACATTTTAAATCGTATTAATTTTGCAATTCATCTTCCTTATGGGCTCTTTATAATACTTGATATCAGTCCATGACAATGTGTGAACTCACTTAAGTCAAGTTCAAAGAATGGGCATTTAAGTGTGTGAGTGACAAGAGATTGAAAGGGTTGAGATATATATAATATAGTGCCAGTCCTGGGACTTGACCTCAGGGCCTAGGTACTGTTCCTGAGCTTTTTTGCTCAAGGCTGGCACTCTACCATTTGAGCCACAGCTCCACTTCTGGCTTTTTGGTAATTGGAGATAAGAGTCTCACTTTCCTTCCTGGGCTTGCTTCGAAAGTGCAAAACTCAGATCTTAGCTTGAGTAGCTTACAGGCAGAAGCCACCAATGCCCAGCAAAGTCCACTTTTCATGATGGCTCAAAGCTGGCATTATTTAGTTCAAATAAGAGCTCATGCACAACACTCAGGTGTCACAGACCACTTCATGTCTTTGTACATGATAGTTAAGTTCCAATGGTGAGCATCTCAATATAGAAAGTGAAGCTTCCAGCTTAGATTTGGCTCTTCCACTGTGTCATATTGGTCAGAACACCACAAAACACCAAGGAGATTCAAGAATGGAGTGGATAAAATCTGAAGCTGGGAAAAACACATGGAAGGTTATATTAAGGCCAAATAGTAGTTATTGGAGAGTGGTCAAGAGTCCAACAGCACAAATGAAGCCAAAACAAAGACAAACTAAGAACCAACACAAGAAAACATGGCAATGTAAGAGAGGTAGGCAGTAACAGGAGTTCAGTTTTAAGAAATACATAGGACATCAAAAAGTATACAAGTCTGAAGCACTGAGGTATGGCATGGAAAGTCTACACCACACCCATGTGGCTTTGAGACTGAGAGGTCCACTGTACTCACTCTGTGGGTCAGCAGCCAATGATAGAGACCATAACTTACCACACAAGTATGAATTAGGTAAAGACTTAAATTCCTGAACTTAGGCTGGTGGTGAAACTCAGTTGGTATAGTTTACCCAGCATGTGCAAAGCCCTGGGTTCCAGGCCCAGCAAAACAATCCACACCTGAATGGCTATTTCAATACTTGTTTTATTAAAGTTATTTCTGAAAATTACATTTCATCCTTAAGTTTCCCTTTATGATTTTGCTGTAGCATTTAAAAATCCTTTCTTCATTGACCAAATCTATTGTAATGAATGAGCACCAAATACCGTCAGTATCAATCCGACTGAACTCTTGTATGGTATTAAAGGAAATCAGTAAAAGATTTGGCAAATCCAAATAATAAAACACCAAACTCGTCCTGTTAGTGAAGCAAAACTTCCTTACAAATTGTCTGCAAACACAGGTACTTGTTTGATGAAGATAATGAAGAGCAGGAACACAAATATTCTTGTTTCTTCAGTCTAAAAATGTGGGATTCAGCTGTGTGCTGGCGGCTCAGATCTGTAATCCTAGCTACTTAGGAGGCTAGGATCTGAGGACTGCAATTCAAAGCCAGCCCAGGAAGGCAAGGCCATGAGACTCTTGTCGCCAATTAGCCACACAAAAGCTGGCAGTGGAGCTGTGGCTCAAGAGGCAGAGCACTAGCCTTGAGCAAAAAACCCAGGGACAGAACCCAGGCTCTGAGTTTAAGCCCCAGGACCAGCAAGAGAAAAAGAATTAAAAAAAACAGAGTTCTTATGGCTTAATAAAAACCAAAACTAAAAATGTAGAGAAAACAAGTCAGTATAAATGATTTAAAAAAAAAATCACTTAACCAGACTTCCCTTTTCTCTAGAGTTTAGGCAAGTATAAAAATGCAGAAAAAGGGTCTGAAGTATGGCTCAGTTGGTAGAGGGCCCAAGAGTGAAAGCATCAGGTACCAAGTTTGAGTCCTAGTCTTAGACAAAAAAAAAAAAAAAAGGAAAAAAAGCAGAAAAATGTACACTAAAAATAAACAGTAAAATAAATACAAGGGCCTACTCTAGTAGGCAATTTACATGTCATTTAATCCTCACATTATCATTAGAGAATTATAATCATCCTATATACAAGCTCCGAAGAGTGAAATCACACCACTAATAGAATTTATGTTCATGCCTACCAAACCAAAGCTCTATTCTGCTGCTCTGGCTCCCTAGCCCTACAGGTTGAGCCTTTTCTTATATCCTTAATCTTCCAATTTTAAATTTACACTTTACATCTGCAAAACCACAAAAATCAAAAAGAACTTAAATTACTGTAATTTTAACCAGGAGGTGGAGAGTACGGAAAACTTCAGGTAATCAGAATATTCCACGCTTATAATTATGGTTAATTTCAATTCACTGGTAATAATAGCTAGTAACTGCGAAACACACACAGGTAGTTTAATTGGTTCAACATCATAGAAATAAAAGTAAAAAGGACAAGTCTCAGCTGGGCACTGGTGATTCATGCCTATAATCCTAGCTGGTCAGGAGGCTGAGATCTGAGCTGAGAATTGCTGCTCAAAGTCAATCCTGGGCAGGAAAGACTATGAGACTCTTATCTCCAATTAACCACCAGAAAACCAGAAGTGAAGCTGTGGCTCAAAATGGTAGAGTGCTAGCCTTGAGTGGAAATAGCTCAGGGACAGCGCTCAGGTCCTGAGTTCCAGTCCCTTGACTAACCAAAAAAAAAAAAGTGTCAACTGCAGAATTTGCTAATTAAATTTATACTTAGTGGAATGCCAAAGGATCTTTCAGTTGCATTTTAAAAGTGCATATTTACCTCTGACCCTCCCTACCCACTCAAGTGCTTTCTTACCACTCCCATCCCTTTCTTGAAGTGTTTAAATCTAATAGAGATGTTAAGGCCCACAGAATTGGTAATTCTAAGATACTACTAAAATACTACATTCTGTGTAGTTTCCAAGAATTATCAATACTAAGAAGAAAACTTAACACCCCAAAATATGACTATTTTGCCTCACCAAAATATACCTCTTTGGGATATACTGAGCTGGCTAGTTTGAAACTGCAGAAAGAGGAGTAGCTTTAATTGGTTGCACTTTTACAAAATATCCACCTAGAAAGGAAACTTACATTAGCACAGGTATAAGAGAAAGAGGGCTGCTCCACTTTTCTTATGTGACTTTATTTGCATAACAAGATGCCTTTAACCATCAATCGCGCCACCACTGCCAGCCAGCCCATCTGTAGCTCAGGATGCTGTGCAGATATCAATTAACTGGGCTTCTCTGAATCTTTTATTTTGTGGGGGCCCCTTGTATATACACACAAGGAAATATGGCTTTTCTGTTCATACATCATGTATGCAAAGCTCTTAATTAAATTTAGTTGCTAGAGATTGTCCCCCTCTTTTGGTCCAGTTCTATTTTCTTTTTTGCCAGTCCTGGGGCTTGAAGTCAGGGCCTGGGCACTGTCCCAGAGCTTCTTGTTTTTGTTCAAGGCTAGCACTCTACCACTTGAGAGCCACAGCACCATTTTGGCTTCTTCTGTTTATGTGGTACTGAATCCAGGGCTTCATGCATGCAAGGCAAGCTCTCTACCATTAGGCCACATTCCTAGCCCTGGGTCAAGTTCTAAAAGGACTAGATTTTCATACTTCAGCAGCAGCAGAATGGGTGAGATGAGACAGTGTTTTTCTATCATTAAAGTATCTGTATTGTTCATTGTTAAGTCATATACTGGACAAATCTTTTTTTTTTTTTTTTGTCAGTTGTGGGGCTTGAACTCTGGGCCAGGGTGCTGTCCCTGAGCTCTTCAGCCTAAGGTGAGCGCCCTGTCACTTGAGCCACAGTGCCACTTCCAGTTTTTTGGTGGTTAATTGGAGTTAAGAGTCTCATGGACTTTCCTGCCCTGGCTGGCTTTGAACCATGATCCTCAGATCTTAGCCTCCCAAGTTGCTAGGATTACAGGCATGAGCCACCAGCGCCCGGCTGGACAAATCTTTTACAGGACACTACATGGCTGAAATGTCCATTAACTTTAGGAGATCAATACATAAAAGAGCTAGACACTTACACAAATTTGACTGAAGATGGCTACAAAAATTAGGAAACTTTGCCGTTGCTGGGAGTATCATGGCTCTGGTAGAACCGTGAGACCCAGTACCACAAAAAGAAAAATGTAATGTCTGTTAATGTGAGAGAGGTAGTGAGTGATTGGTGAGTACAAACTAAAGGGGGAAAAATCTTAACATACCTAAATGAGATGAGAAATGTAGTAACATTTTTGTCCTTATCACCTCTTTTTATATGCTATCTGTCCTAAGTGACAGAGGCAGGGCTCAGGTCTGGGGGAATAGAAAGATGTAGTAATGATCTACACACACTGATTGGGTCATCAGCTGCTGTTGGTGCTGCTCTCCTTACCTATACCCTAAAATGCTGAAAAGAATTCCCTACCTGAAGCTAAGGAAGTATTCTGCATTTCTTAATACTACCTGCTTTCCATGACTTGCCTGGCCTTTTAGCTCTTTTCTAAAGGGGCTGGGAAGGGGTAGGTATGGCATAGCAGTGTGGGCAGAACCCCTAAAGGGACTACAAGGACAAAAGATGGCTAAATATAAAATAATGAAAGGAAATCCTGAAAAAAAACCATGTACATAGAAAGAAACCCAAAGGATCTAAATTTATGTGAGAGTAACTTATCATCTAAATACCAAATGTAGAACTAATGCCTACTGTTTACTTTTCCCATAAAATGTAACAATACAGACACTGGGCTAATAAACCCAATGATCTGTTGGATATTCAAACTTAAGAGGATTTTGGATTCAAAATAGGAGAGTACCAATTTAAAAATAATTTTCGTAAACATTTTGATAAAAGTCCTACGAGTACCCACCACATTGTTCAAATCCCAATGGCAAGACTTGTGATGAGACCAAACAGGTCATAAACACTAGAAACAAAGCCAATATGACTAAATCCAAAACAAGCCACATGAAGTACCTCATGTACAATACAAACCTAATTTAATAAATAAAGGAAACAGGTGACTGCACTGTGTGAACATTCAGTTCCTGAAGACCTGTTCAAAGTCTTCTCTGAGACTCAACAGCCACTTCCACCTGGGCCAGTCTAATGGTGCGACCATGAAGTTTGTACCCATCATGCCTTACTAATGCCACAGTGCCAGGCTGCACGCCAATACCAGCTGGAACGTGACAGATGAGTTCATGCTCATGAGGGTCATATTTGTCACCAATGGGTGCCATCTTTTCCAGGCCATGCTTGGTAAACACACTTTTCAGCTTAGCTTCTAAAAGTGACAACCCTCGGAAGACTTTCTCCAGAGTGAGCTTCTGGTCCTCAGGGTCTACTTCTTCAGAAATGCACTTAGTAGTGTTCTCCAAGATGTCTGCCACCTCCACCAAATCTTTACAGAAGCTCTGGATTCCTACGGAGAAATTAGACACTTCTTTATGATGATTCACTCTGCCTTTAAGGGTACAATTGGGACAGGCCCAGAGAGGTCACTGGTGTATTATATACCGTGTAACCCAGGAAATAAGAAGGCTACACTGGAATTGGGCTCATTATCGTTTTTTTTTTTTTTTTGGGTCTGGTCGTGGGGCCTGAACTCTGGGGCCTGGGCGCTGTCCCTCAGCTCTTCAGCTCAAGGCTAGCGCTCTACCACTTGAGCCACAGCGCCATTTACGGCTTTTTTTTTTCATTTTGCTTATGTGGTGCTGAGGAATCGAACCCAGGGCCTCAGGCATGCAAGGCAAGAGCTCTACCACTAAGCCATCTTCCCAGCCCATGGGCTCATTATCTTTGCCACTGAAAACTCAAATGCTAAGTCACTGGCTGTTTCAGAAGATGCTTAAGACTAGAAACCCTACCGGGAAATGGAGAAAAGAAGTAGAATCCAAGAACTATTTAAGTCTATATTCAATAGGCCCCCAACTGGTTCTAAAACAAAACCCTATTGTTTTACTTCTTGCATTTCAGTTGTTATTGACTTTTGGCATTAAGTTATGGACATTAAAAAAATTCCTGCATGTCTGAGTTGTGCAAAGGCCATTCTCAAAGAACTTAACTATTTCTTTTTGTTGGGGAGGGGGGGAGACGACACTATGCTAAGGATGTCAGAGTTGTTTATTCTAGAGTGGCTTACTCTTTTTTGGATGTATGTGGTGCTAGGGATAGAACCCAGTACCCAGTTTTACCAGAGTGATGTTCTCAGCCCAAGATTGAAGACTGGCTAATAACAAACAGGAAGGTAAGATACTTCTATAGATGAGATGAATATGCAACTGCCTACTATGAAGTTGCTAGGGATGAGCTACAAAACCTTTTACAGAAACATAAACTGTTACAAAAGGAAATTCAGTAGCATCTGTGAGGCAGAGGTGGGAGGATCCTAGTTACTAGGCCAGGCTGTGCTACATAGTATGACCTTGTCTCAAAAATAGTGTCTGCTTGGGCTGGGAAGGTGGCTCAGTGGTAGAGCGCTGGCCTTGCATGCATGAGGCCCTGGGTTCAATTCCTCAGCACCACATAAACAAAAAGAAAAAAGATGGAAGCGGTGCTGTGCTCAAGTGGTAAAGCGCTAGCCTTGAGCTGAAGAGCTGAGGGACAGTACCCAGGCCAAGAGTTCAGGCCCCACGACCGGACCCCCCCCCCCCCCCCCAAAATAGCATCTGCAATACAGATGCTATTAGGGTTTTCCTAAACAAAAAGTAATTTCAGCTGTTGAGAAATCCCATATCCCATTTATCCTATTTTACCACTTCACTTTTCTTATGGAGATGAGGACAAGGAATGTCTTATGACACACTACTCAGCCGAGGTGGAGAGGGGCAGGGACTTTGTTCATCCAGAGTCAGGTTTATATCCCTGTGTTAAGACAGGTAGCTGCCTTACTTATACTCAGAGGTAAAAAGGAAGATCAGCCACAGCAAGCAAAAAAGACACAACAGAAGCTTGACCTGAGAAGACCTGTTGTCTACATGGAAAGATTAGAGGAGAGATAGACCTTTTATCTCCTTTCCAGGTGATAAAAGAAACAATAGTTTCTTATGGAAAACAAATGGAAGCCTGATTCAAATGGTTTAATTAGTGCATGCCCATATGCACGCACACACTGAAAGGTCCATTCCTGGATGGCAAGCAGACTCCACCCTCCTCACAGCAAAGTCTCCACCTAGTACCTGTGTTACCTAGGCAACTGAGACACCTGGAAGAGGTCACATCTGCATCAGCTGAGGTCACAACTGAATTTGATGTGGCCACACCTTTCTCCACCCATACCCTAGATAAGGCCTAGCCTAGGCCCAGAGGCTCTCTCTCGCTGCTCTTTTCTAGCTCTCTGCTCTTTTCTAGCTCTTTTCTCTTTCCCAGGCCTTTCCCAGCCGCGTGGAGTGCCAACCTTGCCTGGTCCCGGCAGGTCTATTGAATAAACCTACCCCTTACCTGAATACCACGTGCGTGCTGGTGCTGTTTTTACTCGGCTACCTCTTTTTAAAAACCTAACACACACCATTGAGGGTAGGTGAGGGGAAAGGTGACATATGGGGTAGGAAGAAATACGAAGCAAAATATTTAGGTAGGATATGGTCTGGTCTGGTGTAGGAGGGGGGCAACAGAAAGAGTGAAACCAGAAGGCAGTGCCAAACAGTGTCTTGGTTGATAAAAGAATTCCAGGTTGTTTTTTTAAACCTTCCTTCTGGTGCTGGAGATAAAACCCATGGCTTCTTCACACATACTATACAAATGCTATGCCACTGAGCTAGACTGCTACAGAATTTTAAAAGCTGCAAGCTTCTAGGATAATATGTACATTATCTTTTGTTTCTGGTTACGTGATTTTGGGTAATCAGAAGCCAAAGGTCCTCTTGTTTATATACTGAGGGCTCAGTCTCTGACTGTATTTTATTTTTTAAATATATTTTTATTGTGAAAATACTGTACAGAGGGGTTACAATTACATGGGCAAGATAATGAGCACATTTCTTATCAAACATTGTAGCCTCCTGCTTTGTTTCCCCTTCCCATCCCTTTGTATCCTCTCCCCTCACCAAAGTTGTAAAGTTCGTTTTTTTGACATAACGACTTGTGCATCTCATTGTTGCAATGGGTCTGACTGTATTTTAATTATTCTATTACTTTAATAGCGATCATATAATCTTAGAAAAATGGATCTTTGTGAACCAAAAGGTAGACTCCTAAGACAAAACTTGGAAGTCAGGTGGCCTGCCACAGCCCTTCCTTTTTCATGCTCATCTACTAATCTTTAATTTTCTAAGTATCTTCTCATTACTACAAAGAAATAACCTAAACAAACAGCTTAGGTGGTATCTTTTCCTAGACACATCTTGTTCTAAGTTAATACTTGATTTACTATCAAAATCTTTTGAATTTAGTTAACATGGGTTTGTTCCTAGATATTTTACTACTTGAGGAAACTGACAAAAGCTAGTTCTAACTCAAAGCTTAGCTTCTGAGAAGCCCTTTCATCCTGCTCCACTCAAGCAAGCAGCACAGTAGAAATCTGACCATTACCATAATTAACCTGTTTGCTATAGAGATTCCCATAGCTCAGAGGCCAGCAATCTTTTCTGTACAAGATCATCTAGTACATGCTGAGCTTTGTGGAACAAGAGTCAAAAATCAAGAATTTTGTTATTTAGGCACTTATACAACAAAAGAAAAGACAAGTTTCCATGAATTTTTTGTATGAAATTCAATGAACTGCTTTTTTATTTTTTTGGTGGTAGCACTGGGGTTTGAACTTAGGGACTTGTGCTTGGTAGGCAGGTACTCTACCATTTCATCCATACTCCCTTGCCTTTTTATCATGAAATTAAAAACTGTACTCATAGTAGGCTATGGTTTGCTGAACTCTGCTGCAGATTTGGAAATAAGATGCTAAAACTGAGAGGCAATACTTGGAATAAAATATGGTGGTTAATATTTCATTGACATTGAAGCTTTGTGACAGAAGGTATATAGCACAGTGAAGAGCAGAGTCTATGCCAAAACATGGGAGATGGCACAGGACCAGAATGAAGTGATGTTGAGCACAAGTGCAGAGAAAATCCAGGAAGGAGTGTGCTATAGAGGAGAGAATGATGTAACATCCAAGGGACACCCAGCGCTTTCATTGTACATGCAAAGATAGAAAGTTCAATCTCCTTATTAAATTCTAAGTACAGCAAGTAGTCCCTCACCTCTACTACTGAATCCCAATTATTTAGTTAACACTTCACAAACACTGCATAAACCCAAATCACATAATGTATTTCTTGAGTTATGTCTGTGCTGTGTAGTATTAACATTAAAGAGGATGCATACTTAAAAAAAAATTTATATGGAATGAAGTCTAGCCTAAGGTATTTGAGCCTTTGTCTTCAAGATGTTTTCTAACTTACCCATGTGTAGAATACTAATAGCAAAGGACAGGATTCTTGTATACAGTAATGAGAACTTTTTGGTGAAATATAGTTGTTTACTGCCCCATAGATATACATCAATTTTACTTCCAATAAGCACATTTCAGCATTCCTGACTGCCTATGTGACTGCTCTTTGGATTCTCCTCTGAGCACCTTCATGATTCACTTACTCATTAATTTTAGCAAATGATTAATGTGACACCACTCCAGTGAGCAGTGAACAAAGCTTTCTGGAAATAGTAGATGGGTGCAGGAGTGATCAGTTATGGCACGATGTACTTTTACCAGGCTCAGTCTGCAGATCTGCTGCTAATTAAGTGCCCTTCAACTGAAATATATTTTAAGTAACTCTCACCAAATATCTTGGCGTCTTCCACACATCTCTGGGTTCGTCTCCTTATGTTTTCGCAATCAGCTACCGCTCTCTGGTACCTCAACTAGACATCAAAAGTGAAATCAAAGGATGAGAAAGTAAATGTGTAGCACTGGGAAAGAATGTCTTTGCTTACTCTAAAAATGTCACCTCTGTGAAAACGATATAAAGTAAAATAGGAATTATAAAAATCTTAGATCAGCTACACCAAGCCCCAGCCAAAGCAGGAGTCTACTTTTCTGAAGCTCAGACAATCAGTCATTCAGCCTGCTAGTTGTTATACAAGTTTCAAACTCATTATCTAGAGAAAACATTTTCTGTTTCTCATTTACCCAACACTGCTAACAAACAATGCCATTTTCTTTTACTGACTTTCATTTTAGGTTTAACTAAGTTTTAAAAGTGGCTCAGCTATTTGAGAGCAGAATTAGTGCCTTTAGTCCTTTTCTCTCCCACTCTGACAATTCCTGGTTCCTCCAATTACTTTCCAGCCTACACAGCTATGAGTAGTTTTGCTTTGGAATTACTGGCTTATCTATTTCTATTTTTTCTCTCTCCATGGACTTGGGCCAGCCCAGGGCTGGTTTCAGTATGCCAAATGTAGTCTAATCAACAGAGTACAATAGTCAGTGACCTCACACTGTACTTCCTCTAAATTGCCCCACATCAGATATCTGAGGCTCTAATGTAATAGGGAACTGAAAAGATGTCTGTTCTTAATGAGTGGCAACCCTTCCCCTGCCAACTAGTATACCTAGCAAGAGAACTGTGGAGGGGTGAGGGGTAAAGAGCCAATGCGAAAAAACTTCATTTAAGTTAGCATATAAAACTGTCAGAACATTTAAACCAGGAGAAAACACCAGGGGACAACACACATAGTGTAGCACATACAGTATCTACTCACTGTCAAATCCTGGACTTCCTTCTCCAGTTTAACTGCTTTTAACCTTAAGGCTTGCTCAGCAAGAGAGGGCCCACGGTCAACAGGAGGGTCCTCAGAACTGCAGTCCTCACCAGCATTTCTCTGGGTGGCAGTGCTGAATGGGGGCAGCCATTCCCTAAGGCAGGAGGGAGGTGATAGATAATGAAGAAATGCTATCATAAAAAGAAAAATTATAACACGTTTAGAACCCAGAAATTTCCCCATACTCAAATTCTAGAGAAGGTGTTTTCAGTCACAGTAACAAATGAATTCTACAATGTTGGTACTAGGCACAAGACTTTACCTGCATAACTGATCTCACAACATATTTAAAGTACTATTTTGGTTTCTTTAAAAAATAGTATTTTTACTGACATGTAGTTCTCATATCGTAATTCACCACTTAAAGTACACAATATTCACACCATGCTGCCTACCCTTAAACATAGCAATTTTCTCCATCAGATGGAGTGAGCGTCAGCCTTACCTAAGGAAGGGAGGCAGAGCAGCTGCTGCCCTAAGACCTTATCCCTCCATTCCAACATCCTTACCATTGGGACAGGTCAGGACATCCAACTGAGTCCTTTCTGGCCTTCTACTCACATAGATACCAATTCCCTAACAGCCTAACAGACATACTCCATGTCTGTAGTCATGTATCTGAACAACCACTTTCTGTAAGTTTTATACACTATAAGTTACATAGTAAATTGTCTCTGGTTTGGTTTATAGTGTCTGCTTTGGAAATAAAGCAGGGTTCCTTTATGAAATAAAAGACAGAAGAGGTACCGCACAGTACCTTTGTATAGTTTATAACACCACCTGAGCAGTGGCTATGCTTTTCTTTGCATTATAATTTTTCTTTTTTGCCCGTCTTGGGAGTGAACACTGTCCCTGTCTGTTTTTGCTCAGGACTAGTGCTCTGCCACTTGGGCCAGAGTTCCACTTCTAGTTTTTTTGATAGCTAATTAGAGATAAGGGTTTTTTTGTTTGTTTTGGCCCAGACTGGCTTTGAACCATGATCCTCAGATCTCAGCTTCTTGAGTAGCTAGGATTGTAGTCATGAGCCACTGGTCACTGGCTTTCTTTTATTTATATTTTATTATGAAAATACTGTACAGAGGGGTTACAATTACATGGGCAAGATAATGAGTACATTTCTTATCAAGCATTGTAGCCTCCTCCTTTGTTTCCCCTTCCCATCCCTTCCCAGCCTCCCCCTCCCAATCCCCCCTCCTCCCACCCCACCAAAGTTGTAAAGTTCGTTTTCGACATGACAACTTGTACTTCTCATTGTTGCAACAGGTCCACCTGTATCCTTATTTAAACAACTTGTTGGTCCCTGGCTTTCATTCTAATTATTTTAAAATGAGCCAGGTGCTAGTGGGTCATGTCTATAACATGAGCTACTCACTCAGTAGGCTGAGATGTGAGGTTCAAAGCCAGTTTGGGCAGGAGAGTTTACAGACTCTTATCTCCAATTCACCACCAGAACACCAGAAGTGACGCTATGGCTCAAAGTCATAGAGCACTAGACTTGAGCAACAGAGCTCAGGGACAGTACTCAGGCCCTGAATTCACTGGACTAAAAAAAAGAAAAACAAAAAGATTCCTTTACCTTTGTTGCACTATTTTTCTTTTTTACTAGCTATGGGAAGGGTCAAATAAAAGATAACCAAACTCCTTCCTACCCAAATAAAGTGTACAATTCAAAGGGGTTGGTTTTTGTGGGGGAAGGTTGTTTTTGTTTATACCCGGGCTGGAGCTCAGGGCTTCATGCTTGCTAAGCTGTTGTTTTACCACTGAGCCACACCTGCAGCCTTTTTTGCTGTTATTATTGTCCATGTGTTACTGATAAGAAACCAAACAAAAACTAAGGCTAACAGGCTTAAGACTTAAATGACTTGTTCAAGTTCACACAGCTATGCCAGGCAAATTAGTGTGCTACCTGTAGTCTCAGCTACCGGGGAGGCTGGTAACCTAGTGAGATCTCCTCAAAACCAAGCATATAAACAAAGAAGGGAATCACATAGTTAATATTCTGTTGAGAACAAGGCATTCAGTGTCAGGAATAACAAAAAAGCCTTACTAGTTCAACTCTTCTTCTTACAGAAAAGGAAAGTCATGTTTAGTAAAGAGAGCTGACTTAGGTTTAGAATTCTAAGCCTTTTCTGACCACACATTGTTAAAGAGCTTTTAAAGAAGAGAAATCACTGAGATAGATTCTGAGATGGAAACTTAACTATATTCAGTCAAACCAATAAAATACTTGCTATATGGCTGGACTAAATAATCAGTCACTGAAACAGATTCTTGTGTTCAGTCATTTATACAATACAGAATTCTGTACAGATAATGAAATTGGCTGAGGCCTGTATTCAACCAGACAGAAATTTCTTAAATAACAAAGTGCTTAGGTTTTAGGTTTCAGGAAGTACCTCCAGAACCCATTCGAGGTCAATTTGAAACCAGCTTTTCAAGAATGGACACATGCTGGCCAGCTTGCCTTGTCAATGACCTTTTGATTCCAAAAGCAAAAAACTGAAACTACTCCCTGAAAGGAAACATGTGGCCTATGAAGAGGCATGATTACTATCTATGCCTGAACAAAAGAGTCCTTCTCTCCCTTCTATAAAATTCCTTACCCGTTTGCACACTTAACATCTCACGCAGGCCGGAAGTTCGGTTCTCATAATAAACTCTCTTCTGCCTGAAGAATAACTACCAACTGATTGGAAGATTTAAGCTTCCTGCTCCTGACCTTGCCAGTCTGTCTCACAATAAAAAAGCTGGTGTGCCATATAGTATTTGGCTTTCATGTGCATAGGGCAGCAAGTATCACTAAAACCATTGACAAGAAATTCAGAGTAGGGGCCAGTTTATAGCAGATCTTGGATGGAGGCTTTTCCATCTTTAAGGAGTTTTTATTTACATGGTTTTGGAAAATCAGAATGTGATTTCAAGAGTTCCTTTGAACAAATTGTTTCATATATTGGAAAATGGTCACAGAGATTTTTTTTGATGCTGTTACCTAGCTTGGACTCAAGGCCTGTGCGCTGTCTGTCCCTTAGCTCAAGGCTGGTACTCTACCACTTGAGCTACTCCTTCAGTTCCAGCTTTATGGTTTAAATGGGGATAGGAGTTTCACAACTTTACTGCCAGGGTTGGCTTTGAACCTCAGTCCTTAGTCTCAGCCTCCTGAATAGCAAGGATTACAAGCATGTGCCACCAAGTGTCTGGCTGAGGTAACTTTTGAGCAAAGGCTATTTTTAAGAAAAGAGCAGACTGAAAAGCTAGAAATGTATGTAAGAGAATTTTTATCATTCAGATTTTCAGGATGGCTTTGAATTTACTTGTTATAGAAATATAGTTCCAAAATTTTTATCAGAAAATATGATCATGATAGACCTGGGGCAAATTAACCATAGTAAAATACCCGTTTCATCCTCAAAAAACAACAATTCAACTCCTGACCAAAGTGCTTAGGATAGGGTGTTCAGTCAGGTGAGTTTTTAAAAAGAAGATAAACTGTTATGAAATTTCCCTGGATTCCCCCAGAATCCAATGGACACTTCAGAGCTCCAACACAATCCCTACTGCAGTCTTTACATTCTTTTCCAGCACACCCCTAGAATCAACACTGGTTCTACACCTTTACTTATTAATAGTAGGGTTCTGCCATTTCTAAGAGTAATCCAGTTTGACAAAGGTTACTCAATTCTTCTAGGTCTCAAGACGTCAGAATGACTAAACTTAACTTTTAAACATTAATAAAAAACACTCATAGCTTTGCAGTCAATAAGCGAAGACATAAAATCTGCTGGTGGCTAAGGCAGTAACTGGATTTTCACACAGACGTGACGATCTGGAGAAATCTGGTCCAACGCCCTGCTTTCCGGGCAGGTGAAACGATGCTCGGGTGCAGACTACCCACGACGGGGCGTCAGGCCAAGCCTCCAACCCGCCTCCGGACAGCACCGGCGCCGAAGGCCCGGGAGAGGGCCACGCTTCCGCTTCAGCCGGTGCTCGGGGCGCCGAGGACTTCCCGCCTCCCAGGACGGGGCCCGGGATCCACCCACCTTCCTGGGAGCCTGGGGCCTCAATTTCCCCTTCTGTGAAATGGGACCGCGAAAGCCGGGTCCCAGAGGCCGAGGCTCGGCGGGAGCTGCCGCCCGCGCCTCCCAGCTCACGCCGGCCCCGCCTACTCGCCGGTCCGGCCTGGCCTCCACATCCCCGACCCCCCTGCCCCCAGCGCTTACCTGCTATCGGGCGGGATGCAGGAGGCCAGGAGGCGCTGCACCCGCCGCCGGACCGCCCACAGCGACCGCGCGGCCATGTCAGGGCGCGAGAAGACCCGAGCGGCGCGTGCGCACCGGCTCCCGGCGGAAAGGCGCGTGCGCCTTCGGGCCGCCTGGGCCAGCGTTAACGCTCGCGGGACTTCCGGATGGGAACGCTGCACTTCCGGTTGTCAGGTGCGCCGCGCCGTGGTTCCGGGCGGAACGCAAGCTTCCGGCTGGGAGAGTTAGGCTGCTAGCCTGCGAGCTTCTGGTTGTCACAGGATAGCCTGAGCGCTGCTGCGTCCGTCCGCGGAACGCTGCAGAGTGAGAGGCACAGGCCTCGCAGGCCTCGGAGGCGAAGAGGGCGGACTCTGGGCCTCTTCCCCAAGGGAAGTCACAGCCTCCGGGAGCTGTGCACGCGAGGGGGCCGGCGGTCCCGGCGGCGGAGCAGCGCGGGCGAGGGCGGGAAGTGGTGCGGGGACACTGGGCCCGGGGCGGGAAGGGCCGCGACCCGGAGCGGCGAGGGCTGGCGGCTGGCCGCTCTGACCGCACTGCTGCTGCCTGGTCCTGCAGAGTCTCCTTCTCTTGCTAAAACGTGGTCGTCCCCGGAAGAGGTTTTTTTTCTTCGGGCCATTCTCAATGACAGTTGCTAATAAAGGTAACTTCGTGTGTGCGCGCGCGTGCCAGTGCGCCAATCCTGGAGTGTGGACTCCAGGTTTAGGCGCTGTCCTTTAGCTTCTTTTGCTCCAGGCTAGCACGCTGTGAGTTAAGCCACAGCTTCACGTCTGGCTTTTTGGTGGTTAATTGGAGCTGAGTTTCAATGGATTTGGGCTGTCTTTAAACCATAGTCCTCTGATCTCAGACTCCTGAGAAGCTAGGATTACAGGAGTGAAATCCTAAATAGCCTTCTGATTGCTGTATGAACGTTGTGCCAGGCCGGGCGCTGGTGGCTCACCCCTGTAATCCTAGCTACTCAGGAGGCTGAGATCTGAGGATCATGGGTTCAAGTCCCATGAACACAAAAAAAGAACAGATCCCTGTAGGGGTTTTTATACCCTGTGCTGTGCTGTGATTGGCCTTTCTTCTAATTAGGCACTTTAGAAGATAACACTATATTATAGGTTAGATTTGTTTTCTCCTGCAGTTCCTATCCCCAAGCTCATGGAAAATACAGGAACTAGAACTAGGACGGGGCACTAGCAAGATGTTCCCAAACAGGGTGTCTGCCACTCACCCTCTCCCAGTCTGGTTTGACCTTCTAGGCCAAGATGAAGGGAGAGCGTGGAGGAGTGGACCCTGGATCCTTACTCTTTCACTGTAACACTGGGATTCTGACCAAGTGCTTTGCAGTGTTTGGAATGATGGAATGTCCAGTTCACCTCAGACCTATGGCCTATACTTAGAAAAAACAGCAAGAACAAAAACCGTAAATTTTAAGAAGAATTGGGTATGGTGGCACCTGGCTATACAACCTCAGCTGTATAGGAGGCGTAGGTATTAAGTTTATGGTATGCATTTGGCCCTCAGCAAAATGTACAAGACCAGCTGGTGTTGGTGGCTAACATCTATAAACCTTAGCTACTCAGAAGGCTGATATCCAAGGATTAAGGTTTGAAGCCACCCAGGCAGGAAATTCCAATTAACCAGCAAAAATCCAGAAATGGAGGTGTGGTTCAGTGGTAGAGCACCAGCCTTGAGCAAAAAAGTTCAAGCCCATAACCCCAGAAAGTAACTAAAGCAAAGTTGAGTGTAGTGACTCACCAGAGATTGGGTGGATTGAATCTTGAGGCCAGCCCAGGCAGAGTGGGACCTCTCATCCCACCCCCTAATCCCCCTTCCCCCCACCTTCCAAAAAAAGATTCAACAAAAAAGCTGGGCATAGTGACAAGCACCTGTCATCTCAACTACACAGGAGACCAAAAGAGGGGGACTGCAGTCCAGGCTAAATGTAGAGGCCCAATCTGGAAAACAACAAAAGCAAACAGGCTTGGGACTCTAGTGGTAGTTAACAAGTATAAAGCCCTGAGTTCAAACCCCAGTACCGCCAGAACAAAAATTGGTATATTGGCTGTAGCCATTTTGGCTACATTTCTCTTAGCTGCCCAGTTTAAGGTGTTGCATACATGTATCCATTCATATTAAGTGTTAGTTTGCTTCTGAATGCTGTAGTACAGTGTGGTGATGGCTGAAATAGAGATTTGTAGTTAATGGGGTCAGGTGCTGGTGGATCAGTCATCCTAGCTATTCAGGAGGATCATGGTTTAAAGCCAGCTTAGAGGCAGAAAAGTCAACAAAACTCCAGTTAAGAGCCAATAAACTACTCAGAAAAGGCTGGAGGTGGTGGTGTGGCTTGAGTTGTAGAACTCTAGTTTTGAGAAGAAGCTTAGGAACAGTGCTCAAGCCCCAGGACTCACTAAATAAATATAAAAGCCATGCAAGAAGTATGACTTTAAGTGGTACAGTATCAACCATGAATAAGCAATCTTTCAGTACCCTAAGTTCAAATCCTGTGCCATTGATCACATGAACTAGAAACAATGACTATAACAGATCTCACTGAATTTAGTGGCACCTAAAGAAATATTTGGAACAGTGATTAGTTATCTCAAGGACTGGCTGCATTATTTAAAGGACAGGAAAATGCAGAACTTCTTGTTCAAGAATGAAGGGAGGGCTGGGAAGGTGGCTTAGTGGTAGAGCGCTTGCCTTGCATGCATGAGCCCCTGGGTTAGATTCCTCAGCACCACATAAGCAAAAAGAAAAAAGCCGGAAGTGGCGCTGTGGCTCAAGTGGTAGAGTGTTAGCCTTGAGCTGAAGAGCTGAGGGACAGCGCCCAGGCCCAGAGTTCAGGCCTCACGACTGGAACCGTTCCCCCCCCCCAAAAAAAAAAAAAATGAAGGGAAGCAGATACATTAGTTAACACCTGTAATCCTAGCTACTTGGAGAGCTGAAATCAGGAGGATGGTTGCCAGCCTGGGCAAAAAGTTCACAAGATCTCATTTCTACCAATAAAAAGCTGGATGTGGTAGCCCAGGCCTGCCACTTCGGCTTTATAGGAAGCAAAATAGGAAGATTACAATTCAGGGTGGCAGGGGGAGGAGAACCTATTTGAAAAACAACAAGCAAAAAGGGCTGTGTGTGGCTCAAGTTAAAAATTATTAAAGCAAAACAAAAATACCAGGAAAGCAACGGTAGAATATCAAAAGAACCATCTGCCCATCTGCCCCTAGGCTAACCTGCTGAGTGCTCAGTATTATTAATGATTTACATATTCTCAGATTACAACATCTATTGGTAGAAAGTGACATTTCAGTGCATACTAACTGTAGAAGACAGGTGTGACACACTCTGGAGACATCGTGGTGGGTGCCATTTCAGGATACAGACTTTTAAAAAGAACATTGGAGGGTGGCATTGTCTAAAAAGAAATATACTTATTATCTGATGTATATAACTGGAACCCCTCTGTACATCACCCTTGGAACACCACCACCAACACAAAAAGGACATTGGAAATCTCAGAAGTGACAGTCTGACACTGAAGACACCAAGGTAGAAAAAACCATACGTTTGGATTGGCTGTCTTTTGGTGTGTCACCATTGTCATGGAGATGGAGAGAATAGACTTTGTTTTTGGTGGCAGGACTGGGGTTTAAGCTCCAGCCTTTCCACTTGCTGGACAGGAAGAAGCTCTAACCACTGAGCTATGCCTGCAGCCCTGTTATTTTGTTTTTTGAAACAAGGTCTCACTTTGTAACCCAGGTTGCCTTGAACTTGATCCTTCAGCCTTCCAACTGATAGGATGACAGGCCTCAATCACTACATTAGTTTTTTTTTTTTTTTAAGTGGGTGCATATTGCACACACATGCTGGTACTAGGGCTTGAACGCAGGTCCTTAAACCTCTTTTTCTGCTCAAGGCTGGTGCTCTACCACTTGAGCCACACCTCCAATTTTTGCTTTTTTTGCTAATTGGAGATAAGAGTCTCAGGTATTTTTTCTGCCTGGGCTGGCTTTGACCCATGATCCTCAAATCTCAGCTTCTTCCTGAGTAGCTAGGATTACAGGCATGAGCCAAGAGTGGCCAGTTTCCTACTAGTTTTTTTGTCAGTTGTAGGGCTTCAACTCTGGGCCTAGGTGCTGTCCCTGAGCTCTTCAGCTCAAACTAGTGGTCTACCATTTTGAGCCACAGCACAACTTCCAGTTTTCTGGTGGTTAATTGGAGATAAGAGTCTCACAGACTTTCCTGCTGGACCAGCTTTGAACCACGATCCTCAGGTCTCAGCCTCCTGAGTAGCTAGGATTACAGGCATGTGCCACTGGTATCTGGCTCATACTAGGTTTTAAGTCAGGCATTGTGTATCTAGTTCGAGCTATTCTTGTCTTGAGTGTTTCCTATTTCTGACATTATGCAAGGTGTTTTTCATGTATTATTAAATTCTTTCAGTAGTCTTGCAAGGACAATATAATTCTTAACCTTGTTTTTATAGGTATGGAAACTAAGAGCCAGAGAGATGTCCAGTGAGTTTCCTGTTGCCATCCCATTGGTTCAAATGCAGCTGTCTGGTTCCAGGATCATAACCTCTAAGTTCTAGACTCTGCCAGTGATCAGTGGGAGATTTTGGACAATTTTTTTTTCTCATTACAAGTATAGTAAAGTTTCAGTGAGGCTGAGGTATATTAAGCCTTGTTAAAAGAATATACAGTGTCATGTGCTGGTGGGCTTGCTAGGAATCAGTGGCGCAGGCTTATAATCCTATCTGCTCAGCAGGCTGAGATTTAAGGATTACAGTTTGACGCCAGCTTGGGCAGGGAAAATCCATGAGACTCTGTTTAACTACCAAAAAGTCAGAAGTGGAGCTGTGACTGAAGTGGTAGATCACTAGCCTTGAGCAAAAAAGCTCAGAGTCAGTGTCCAGGCCCTGAATTCAAGTCCCAGGATTAGAACACACTCGAACACACACACACACACACACACACACACACACACACACACACACACACACACACACACACACACACACACACACACACACACACACACACACACACACACACACACACACACACACACACACACACACACAGTAAAGCAATGTTTATGGGTTATTCTGGTATCCCCCCTCCTTTTGCATTGACCTCTGAGCTACTAGTTAAATGATTTTATCTTTATTGTAGAGAAATGTGTTATAGACAGATCTAGAAAGTGCCTGTGGTGTTGAGACAGTAGAAAGGAAGCTGCCTGAGACTTGAAGTCCTTGCTCCTTCCACAGGAGAATTAAGTATTTGTAAAAAGCTTAGCACCCATGTGGCAGAAATGAGCCACCTTCCTCTTGATTGTCCTGGGTAGGTTTACTTCGTAGCAGAGCAGAAGGCTGGTGGGCCTTCAGTGCAAGATGAGGTGGTCTTCACGCCGAAGACATGGCATCTAACCCTAGTCCAACAAACCTTCGTGCCCTATAAAATAGGTCAAGGATAGCACATGACCCAATGTGCCAATCCAATGTCTGCCACATCCTATGGACTTAGACCTCCATGCTCCTTTCGTTGTGAGCATAGAAAGTGTCAGTTGACCAACTTCTCTTTTGTTCTTTTGTGTATTCAACCTTCTGATTTAAAAACACTCAGATCTGGAAGATTCCAGTAGCTGCATTCTAAAGCAGAGGAGGAATGACTGTAGAGCTGGCTTTTGTTCACTTTTGTGCAGACAGGGATGATGTTTTTGAAGTTTCAGCATATTGGCTTGGCCCAGAGCTCATATGTCATGCCAAGCAGAGATGCAGAAGGCACACATATGAATGATCAAGGCTCTTCTCTCTTTACTGTGCCTCTAAGGTTTCAGCACTGCCTTCCGTTGTCTAAGGACTAGAATGGGCTGCCAAGATGGGATGGAATGGCTTATTCACATGTGCTTTCATTCCTTCTTCAGAGGGGAGGGCAAAGAAATGGAATGAAACCTTTACAACTATGCAGAGTGTCTCCCCCCACCTGCAATTCCATTCTTTGAAATCATAATGATGCCCTCCATTTCCCCTGTCCTGAATTTCCACAGCACCTAAATCATGCAAACAATAAAAATTGGGCTTTTGGGTGTCTTCTGGTGTCTGTGAAAAAAGCTTTTCTGTCTTAGATGGACAAGTTGATTCTTCTTTTGGAATGGAATTCTTGTGTGTTTTCTAAGTCTTCTTCATTTCCCATTCCTTAAGTACAGAAAGACAAGAAAAATCAGTTTGTTGAGTATGATCGTTTGAAAAACTTTGCACTGCACCTATTTATATAAAGATCACTGCTGTGTGTGTGTGTGTGCGCGCGTGTGCATGCATGCACACATGCTTGCAAATACTGGGGCTTGAACTCAGGGCCTAGGTGCTATCCCTTAACTTTTTCTGTCAAGCTTTTTGGCTTGTTGGAGATAAGAGCCTCCAAGACTTTACTGCCAAAGCAGGCTTCGAACTGTGATACTCAGATAGCAGCATCTTTACTAGCTATGAGTCACCAGTACCCCAGAAAGTTAGAGAGCTTTGGATCTTGGTCCTACTGAGTTATCCTGTGGTCACGAATAAGTCATTTCTTCATGCTGTTATTGCTTGTCCATTCTTAACAGTAACCAAGAAGATAGTCTTAAAATTTAAGCTGGGCACCAGTGGCTCACATTTGTAATCCCAGCTACTCAGGAGGCTGAAATTGAAATATGTAAATCATGGCTTGAAACTAGCTTTTGCAGAGAAGTCTATAAGACTCTTATCTCCACCAAAATGTTGAGAGCAGAGCTGTGGCTCAAATGGTCAGCTTTGAGCAGAAAGAGCTAAGTGAGGGCTGAAGGCTCTTAATTTCAAGTCCTAGTACTGGCACTGAAAAAAATTGTTTGTTAGCTCCTGGTCTGGATAGTCTGGCCGTAGCTGGTTCCTTCTCTGATCCCATCTCCTAAGGCTTACCATTTGGTCTAATCAGTGCAGTTACTCAAATCTGACTGATATTCCTCAGACACACCAAGCTTTGCCCCCACTTTAAGGATTTGGCCCGTGCTCTTCTCCCTTCCTGAGTAACCCTTCACTCAGTTCTCACATGGCTCCCTCCCTCACACTCAGGTCTCTGTGTATGTGGTACTACTCTTCAAAAGGGCCTTTGCTGTCCCTGTGATTAAAACAGCTAACCTAAACACTGCATTCTGAATGAGATTGGAGACTTACGGCCTCTGATGAAAGTTGAGTTTTACTCATGAAGTATTGGGAATCCCCTGCCTTTCTCACTAGCTGGTTTTTTTTAATGGAAAATATTTCAAAGAAAGGGAGCTACCACATCTGTGTCCCCCTTTAAAAAATTTTTTTGGGGGGCTGGGAAGGTGGCTCAGTAGTAGAGTGCTTGCCTTGCATGCATGAGGCTCTCGGTTTGATTCCTCAGCACCACATAAGCAAAAAGAAAAAAAAGCCAGAAGTGGCACTATGGCTCAAGTGGTAGAGTGCTAGCCTTGAGCTGAAGAGCTGAGGGACAGTGCCTAGGCCCAGAGTTCAGGCCCCACGACCGGATCCCACCCCAAAAATGGGGGGGGAGGTTGGTTCTGAGGCTTGAACTTAGGGCCTCCTGCTATTACTCAGCTTTTTAACTTAGCTGATACTCTACCACTTGAGCCATAGCTCCATTTCCAGGTTTTTGCTATTTAGTTGGTGATGAGTCTCTTGGGTTTGTCTGCTTCGCTTGCTCTAAACCTCAATCCTCGGATCTCAGCTTCCTGAGTAGCTAGGATTGCAGGCACAAGCCACCATCACCTAGCTCCAGCTAGAGTTTGATTGCCTGAACTGTTGGTATACCTTGGCTTTCTGCAGCACCCGTCCTTGGTTGGTGGTCACAATGGATGGGCTCCTCTTCCTCAGCTCAGAAACACAGTTGACAGGGAGAGATTGTTCAGGGACACTGTTCTGGGGTTTATTTGCAGTTTCCTGTCAATGGTCCAAAAAATAATTAAGTGAGATTTAGTGCTAGTTATTTGCATCTAGTCTGCTCTCAAAAGAATAAGGCACTTCATGAGGCTGGGCCATATCTGAACTGGTTTGTCTAGCAATTACAAGGCCTTGAGTTCAAATCCCTATGCCACCAAAAAACAAACAAAAAAGAAATCAAAAGGTACTTTAAAACAGTAACAAACATATGAGGGCATAGGGAAAAAGATACAAAGGGCCTTGAGATAAAGACAATGAAAATCAGTATTTCTGAACCCTCATCATGTTCTAGGCAACTTTTCTACAAGTTCATTAAAGTAGGTACTGAGTGAGGAGAGATCAGGACAAAAAGAAAAACAAAACGAAACGAAACAAAAACAAAAACATGGGAAACAACAGCCAGGAATTGTGAGACAGTACTGTAGTAATTAGATCCATTAAAAGCACACGGGAAGCTGGGCACTGGTGGCTCATGCCTGTATTTCCAACTACTCAGGAGGCTGAAATCTGAGGATTGTGGTTCCAAGCCAGCCCAGCAGTAAAGTTGTGAGATTCTTATCTTCAATAAACTACTGAGAAAAAGCTAGAAGTGATGCTGTGGGTCAAAGAAGCTCAGGGACAGCGCCCAGGCTCTGAGTTCAAAGCCCAGGACTGGCAAAAAATAAAATAAAAAAAACCAACCAACCAAAACAAAACAGAGAAATCCCCATACTAGTGGCTCACACATGTAATCCTAATCCTAGCTACTCAAGATGCTGAAATCTATAGTTCATGGTTTGAAGTCAGCCCAAGCTGGAAAGTCTATGAGATTCTCACCTCTAATTAATCAGCAGAAGCTGGAAGTGGAATTGTGGCTCAACTGAGCATCAGCTTTGACCACAAAAGCTCATGTACAGTGTCTAAGCTTCAAATTCAAGCCCTAGGACCATCACACTTCTGGCTTTTTGCTGGTTAACTGGAGATAAAAATCTCATGGACTTTCTTGCCCAGGCTGACTTCAAACCATGATTCTCAATCTCAGCCTCCTGAATAGCTAGGATTACAGGTGCTAGCCACTAGCACCTGGCTCCCAACGTTCTTATTTCTGCCACAAATACCTGTGATGTTAGAGAACTCATTACTCTGTTCTCAGATGAGCCTGTTTTCCTATCTGGGTGGTATACCATCTTTGCTTTACTAAAAAACCTCAGTCTCTACCTCACAGTGTCCTCAAATTCATTTTCTGAGATAGAAGTTAAGGATCTGGGACAAAACTCTGAATGGAGGCTTTCCAATTCTAGCCCTTACCAACCAGCAGTGACAGGAGTATGATTAGTTATTTACTTCTGAAGATGAGGAAACAAGGTTACATGTTGCATAAGGTCATGTGGCTGATAAATATGAGAGCTGGGATTCAATCCGCACAATCTCATAGCCCCATGCAGTCCTTAAGCATGCTAAGAAGCACATGCTGTACCACTGAGCTATGCAGTTCTATTGTTAACCTTTGTCTGCTTCTCTCTGGCTTCGCTTCTCATTTCCTACACCACTATTACTCATTACACTGCCTACAGAATGGCTTAATACCCCAGGATGCAGTTCCTTAAGTATGAAATCTCAACAGGTAAGCCTGAAAGGAATTTAGAACACAACTCTCTTGCTCTCCAAAGAGTGTCACAGGATCAAAAGTGGAAGGACAAGCAGTGTGGACCAGGGACATCAGGGTGAGTTCGTGGGCAGAAGCAGTGGGAGGGATCCAGTTCTAGCTGCTCACCAGCCCTCTGTGACTCTGATTCAAATGTGAATCATGTCTAAAATGAGGTTAGAAACTCCCTGTAGAGAGGAAGTGTGGGGGTGCGAGACATAGCTCTGGCTTCAGTCATTGGCTGTGATCTGCCCAGTCTGTGCCATCTGGAACAACAGCAATACAAATACAGCTTCCAATGACATATCTATCAGACAAGCTAGTTCGTCTCTTTGAGACTCAGTTTTGTGGTCTGAAAGTAGGAAACACATTTGCTGATTCAATAGACATTTATTACATTCCTGCTAATAAGATTTCAGCAAGGGTTAAGGATATAATGATAAACACATATAGTCTAATTCTTTCTGTCTCTCTTGCTGTGTGTCTCTCTGTCTCTGTCTCTCTTGGTGCTAGGGATCACACCTAAAGAATTGCATATGTCAGCGAGTGTGCTGTACCATCAAGTTACACTCCTGGTCCCCAATTCTTGCTGGTCCTGCTGCTTGAACTCAGGGCCTGGGCACTGTCCCTAAGCTTCTTTACTCAAGGCTAGCACTCTACCACTTGAACCACAGCTCCTCTTCTGGCTTTTCTGGTGATTAACTGGAGATAAGAATCTCAGATTTTCCTACCTGGGCTGGCTTTGAACTATGATCCTCAGCCTCCTGAGCAGCTAGGATTACAGGTGTGAGCCACCAGTGCCCAGCTATGGTCCCTAATTCTTAACGGTCCCTAACCAGGAGTGATTTTGTTTTCCTAGGAAACATCTGTGAGTTTTCTAAAGAAATTTTTTTTTGAGATGCCATCATAGCTCAAGATGACTTAGAACTCACTTTATAGCATAGGCTGGCCTTAAACTTGTAATCCTTCTGCCTCAGCCTTCTGAATAGTGGGATTACATGTATATGATTCTGTGCCCAGCTTTCAAGACAATTTTGGTGGTTGTAAATGAAGGTGGGGTGTTATCATTAGGGATGCTGCTAAGCACCCCAGAATGTATACAGCATCTCATATAAAAAAAGAATGATGGTCCCACTACTGAGACTGAAAATCCGACAGGAAAATGGATGGAACTGGAAGTCATTATGTTAAACGAGATAAGCTCAGACAAGTATCTCATGCTTTCTCTCATATGAAGAAACAAACAGAAAATAACAGCAAAAGACACAAATGCAAAAGGGGGATGGTACGGGAGAGCCAGTGGGAGGGGGCAAAGGGGAGGGGTGGAGAGGGTGATGGGGTATCACCCAAGTATATTATATGTACATATGCAAATAACATAATGAAGCCCATCAAAAACTATAAAATAAAGATGGGTAAAGAAATGGGGATAAAAAAGAAATAGAGGGGGCTGGGACTGTGGCTTAGTGGTAGAGTGCTCACTTTATATGTATGAATTCCTCAGCACTACATAAGCAGAAAAAGCTGGGAGTGGTGCTGTAGCTTAAGGGTCATTGAGAGCTAGCCTTGAGCAAAAGAAGCTCAGGTTCAGTGCCTAGGCCCTGAGTTCAAGCCCCAGGACTGGCAAAAAAAAAAAAAAGAGGATGAATTTGATCAAATCATGTAGGAAGTAAACATATATATTTATGCAAAGTATATTTATACAACATGTTTACACAAAGTATACATATATATATATACAAAGTACCATAATAAAAAGCTATTGTTGTACAATAAATATATGCTAATGAAAGAACTTTCAAGAGACTTGAAGTGAGGGATGTTGCCTCTCAGGATATCCTATTGGGAGCGAGAACATCATCCTTGTATGGTTGCCAGGGGTAACAGAGGGAGTGAATGCTAAGCCTAGAAGAGAGGGTTGTGGAGATAGCTGGGAATCTCAGCAGTCACACTTCCTGGGTTTGTAATTCTGTCTTTCACTTGGCTGAGTGACCCTGAGCAAGTCACTCAAAGACTTCTGAACCTCAGTTTCCCTGTCTGTCAAGTGGAATTAATACAAGCTCATAGGACTATGAGATTGTGCAGTTTAAATACTGTACTGGCCCAAGGTAATCCAACAGCACGTTTTCTATTCAACATAGGGTAGCTGTTATTATTAGTAATCTTGAGACCATTTCCAAGATCTTAGATTATTTTGTGGGGAGAAGAGGGAAGGTCAGTACTAGGGTTTGAACTCAGGGCCTGGGGCCATCTGTTAGCTTTTTCATGCAATACTGGCATTCTGCCACTGGAGCCACACCTCCACTTCTGGCATTTTAGTGGTTAGATAAGAGTCTTGTGGGGGGGTGGGAATGTGGCTTAGTGGTAGATTGCTTGCCTAGTATGCATGAAGCTCTGGGTTCAATGCCTCAGTACCACATAAACAGAAAAAGCTGGTGATGCTGTGGCTCAAGTGGTAGAATGCTAGCCTTAAGCCAAAGAAGCTCGGGGACAGTACCCAGGCCCTGCGTTCAAGTCCCAGGACTAGTTTTTTTTTTTTTTTAAAGGACTTTCCTACCCGGATGGTCTGTACCTTGATCCATAGATATTCACTTCCTAAGTAGTAGGAATTCAAGCATGAACCACTGGTGCCCAGCTCAAGATCTTAGATTTCTAAGACAGCAGTGCTGACCTAGAGAGAGCAGGCTAGAGAGCCACTAGGACTTTCTCTAAGATCCCTATCCTGGCTATGCTGCAGGTGGCTCATATCTTCACCTCCCTGGGCCTCAGTTTTCTGAAGTGAGCAGAGCAGTCTTTGTGTGAGAGTGTCTTGCTGTGTGAGAGCATTTGCCCACATACAAGCCAGGGAACTCACCTTACTCCTGCCCCTGCTGCTCATGGCCAGCCCCAGAGCTGGGCCCCCTGCCAGGGACTGCTGCAAGCGCTCCTTCACAGCTACGAGCTTCAGCTCCAGGTCAATCCGATGTTCCTCCTTTGCCCGACACTGAGCCTCCAGGCTGGCCACTGCCTCCTCCAGGGCCTTCAGCTTTGCACCTGAGTGCAGAGACAGTGAGAAACAGCTGCGCCTACCCCAAAGCTCAGGGAGCTGCTCAAGAGCCTCAGGCCCTGAGTGGAAGCCTTCCTGGACAGCCTTTCTAGCGCCTCAGTCCCACTTAGGAGATGGACTTTGGGCCTGGCTTTCCAGGTCTACAGTGATGTCTTTGGCTGCTTAGTTCCCATCTCTGAGAAGTAGGGAACCACTGTTTCTCCTGATTTCCTACTGGGACATCATTCTTTCCCTTTATTCTCCATAGTTTGAATGGGGTTGACCTCAATCCTAGTTCAAGGGTTTGGCACATAATTTAGGCCTGGACCATAATTACCTCTTATCTTACGGTCACAGGGACTGGTTTAGAGATCAAGTTGGTGTGGTCACTGAGAAGAGAACAGGCTAAAATGAGGGCTGGAACTGTGCAACCACTCTGCCACCACAAGGGGGAGGGAACAAAATCAAAGTAGAGGAAGGCAGCAGCATTAGAGAAATTAGCTTCCCAGTGACATTGCTTATGTCCTTAGACCTCACAGTACCTGTTTTGCCAATTTTCTAGCTATCTTTTTCTTCCAGTATGTCAGTCTGATTTTGGTGTCTGTTGCTTGCAGGCCAGAGTCAACATGAGGCTTTACAGAGATGAGGGTTTTCAGAATTTTGCTGCTTATTCAGTTTAACTTTTTTAGTGGTGTTTCTAAGTGGTGGTATCTTTTCAGGCATTTGGTTTTTTTTTTGGTGCCGTACTGGTGCCCATACTGCTGGTACTTGAACTCAGGGCCTCATGCTCTTGCTTAGTTTTTTTGTTCATGGCTGGCTCCATATGACCTGAAACATGCTTCCACTTCTGACTTTTTGCTTCTTAATTGGATAAGCACCTCTCACATTTGTCTGCCTTCTGAGTAGCAAGAGCCATGGCCACTTGATGGGTCTTCCAAGGTTTTCAGCTAGTTCCACTCTCTGTTCTGCATTGAGAAGTTACCTAGTAATGTTAAATTCACTCATTCTTCCTTTAGTAAGCACTTACTGAGTTCTTTTACTATGTACCAGGCACTGTCCTAAACCTTGAGATATGTCAGACAGTACAACTGGCAAAGATTTTTGCCTTTGAAGAATCTGTGTATGATAAACAATAAGATAATAAAACTGTCTACTCTGTTACAAGGTGATAGCAATATAGTTTAAAAAAATGAAAGAGAGGGCTGGGAAAGTAGCTCAGTCATAGAGCGCTTGCCTTGCATGCATGAGGTCCTGGGTTCAATTCCTCAGCACCACATAAGCAAAAAGAAAAAAAGCCGGAAGTGGCGCTGTAGCTCAAGTGGTAGAGCGCTAGCCTTGAGCTAAAGAGCTGAGGGACAGCGCCCAGGCCCCAAGACCGCGCCTCCCCCCTCCCCGCCCCCCCCCCCCAAAATGGAGGAGAGCCACTCATGTTTCTGGCTCTTATACAAACTGCTTTATGTTGAAACCAAGCCTTCCTGTACCTCCCACCGATTCTGCCCCTTGGCTACTCAGAATGGGTCTCACCCTAAACCAAAAGCTCTGAGTTTGAGGCTCCAGAGCAGCCCTTGAGGTCCTGAAATAGTTTGTGTTTTTATCCTAGGAATGGACCCAGAGATTCATGGGCTACACAACTGTAGACATGTTTTATGAGGTTCTCTGTTCCCCAGCATGTGAAGAAACCTCAGGCTGAGCATGATAAGCTGCAGCTAGAGAACTAGAGGAAACAAAACTGAAAAGGAGGGGTGTGGAAAGCGCAGAGCTGGTAAGGGCTGCAGAGCTGGTCAGGGCTGCAGCAGTCCTTGTGTTTCAGAAGAAACACTGGGAAGTAATACTGTGTATCCTTGCCAGCCTGGGACCAATGCCTCTCACAGACCTGAGAATGAAGGGATATGGGTTCAAAGTGATGCCAAGGCACACTCAGTAGGGGCTTTCTTTTTCTTTCTCTCTTTTTGTTAGTGCCAGTCCTGAGGCTTGAACATAGGGCCTGTGTGCTGTCTCTGAGCTTCTTTGGCTCAAGGCTAGTACTCTACTGCATTGAGCCACAGTTCCATTTCCTGCTTTTTGGTGGTTAATTGTCGAGAAGAGTCGCTACCACTTGAGCCATAGCTTCACTTTGGGCTTTTTTAGTAGTCTATTGGAGACAAGAGTCTCACAGACTTTCCTGCCTAGGCTGGCTTCATCGATCTTCAGATCGCGGCCTCCTCTGTTGCTAAGATTGCAGGTGTAAGCCACCAGCACCCAGCTTCTTTCTTTCTGACTGTACTGGGGTTTGAACTCACATTTACTAGGTAGGTGCCTTACTGCAAGAGTCACTCTCTGCACTTATTTTTCACACTTCTTAAACCCAGGCTCTTACTGCCTTGAGATCACCCATGAGTTTGATGCTTTTCTAGCCAAAAGCAGTCACTAACTTGACAGCACGTGCTTTAGTTAAAGGAAGTGACCAGAAACAAGGGGCGGGGGAGGAAGGGAGGAGCCTCCTATCAGTTGGGTGGAAAGCCAGATGCCCTGTGCAGATGACTCCACACTGTGCCAGGGCAGGTGTACTCGGGGCCATGCCCATGCAGTACCTGAGCTGCTCCGAATGGCTTCCCTCAGCTCCCTCTTCTCCTGCCGCAGGGCCAGCAGCTCTGTCCGAATCACCTCTTTCTCATTCTCTAGTTTCTCTTTTTCTATCAGGTACCGCCGAGCATCCTCCTCAGCCCGGTTCTTGCCGTACTTATATTGATTGGCACCTGTGAGATGTGGGAAGAGAGGAAAGGCTCTCAGTCATGACCTCTGGTGAGGTATGAGGCTGCGTGGGCTTTTCCTCAGTCTCAAATGGCTCTGTCAGTAAAATGGGAAGATTCAACCAATTCCTTTCTTTGTGTGTGTGTGGTTGTGCACGCACAGTGACCTCTCTCAAATTGTGTCAGAATGTGCAACTCTGTATTTTTTTTTATTGTGAAAATACCGTACAGAGGGATTACAATTACATGGGCAAGGTTATGAGTGCATTTCTTATCAAGCATTGTTGCCTCCTCTGTTTCCCCTTCCCATCTCTTCCCCCTCTGCCAAAGTTGTAAAGTTCATTTTTGATATAACATCTCATTGCTGCAGTAAGTCCACCTGTATCCCATTTTAAACAAGTTGTTTTTTCCCTTCCCCTCCACAAATTATACCAACATCAAATACAGTGAAAACAGGGGTTATACTGTGGGGGAGGGAGAAACTGTATTTTTGTCCCTGGTGCTTTTGGTTTCTTTTTTCTGGCTAGAGTATACACCTAGCCAACACAGTGATGAAGGTGGTCAAGACAGGCAGTGGGGGTGGGGGGGAGGTGTTGGGAGAGAGGGAAGAGTCAGAGTCAGTCAGTCAGTCAGTGTCCTGGGGCTTGAACTCAGGGACTGGGTAGGCACTGTCCCTGAGCTTTTATGCTCAAGACTAGTGCTCTACCACTTGAGCCATAGTCCATTGGCTTTTTTTGCTTGTTTTTGGAGACCAGAGTCTCATAGACTTTCCTACCCCGGCTGGCTTTGAACCATACTCCTAAGATCTGAGTAGTTAATGATCATAGGTGTGAGCCAGTGATGATCAGTGAACCAATTCCTTTTATTCAGATGGAATGCCTTAAGGAAAAGAGAGGAAAAGGGAGCTAGCAGATCCCAGGCACCAGGAACAAGGTCTTTAGAAACAGGTAAACAGTACTTGTATTCTCTCATCATAACTTTGTGTGTGTGTGTGTGTGTGTGTGTGTGTGTGTGTGCTGGTCCTGGGGCTTGAACTCAGTGCCTGGGTACTGTCCCTTAGCTTTTTTTTTTTTCAGCCAGCTAATTACTGTCCTTTAACATTTTTATTCAAGATTAGTGTATTACCACTTGAGCTAGAGCTCTACTTCTGGCTTTTTGTTGTTTAATTGAAGATCAAAATTTGGGGACTTTCATGCCTGGAAAGCTGGGTGCATAGTTACTGACTATGGTGATATGCATTGCTGCACTTGCTTTTATACTCATTTCTTTTTAAAGGTATTTTAATACCACTTATTAATTGTATACAATTTATTTCATTAACATTTTTATATATGCATATGTATTTGATCATATTTACTTCCCTCATTTCATTCTTTTATCCTCATCCTCTTAATAGTTCTATTTTTTTCATTTGTGCCACACCTCTACTTCCAGCTTTTTGCTGGTTAATTTGAGATGAGTCATATGGCTTTGTACAACTACTTAAAGATGATTATAATTTTTAAAAGATATATAACATAAAAAGAGTTACATGGATTTGTCTGCCCGGACTGGCTTCAAATTGTGATCTTCAGATTTCTGCCTAATGAGTAGCTACGATTAGGGGCATGAGCCACTGGCATCCAATTTAATTACTAATTTTTTAAAAATTATTTTTAAATATTAGCTTATTTGTCTGAGATCTATTATTATTGGTATTTATTTATTGTATTTATAAACTCCATTTTATTTTGGGGAAATTGAGGCACAGATTGCTTAGTCCCACAGCTAACAGTGAGAACCATGGGAAAAGGTACCAAGGCTTTGTAAATGGGATCAGTGTCCTTGAAAGACAGACCTGAAAGAGAGAGAGCAGGAAGGTGGTCATCATGAAACAGGAAATGGATATACACTAGATTCTTGGCTGCATTCTTCCACTCTTCATTCTTTTACCCCTTCCCTCTGGGCCCGTCCCCATCCTACTTGCATATTTACTTCCTAGAATACCAGCTTCCTGGTGTGTATTTTGCTGAACTTCGATTTTACCTAAGAAATTGCACTCTTTGAGTTCTCCCTTCAATCTACTGTATTTCAGCTAAGACATTTGTGTACATTTGCATACCATCTAACTTGTTTACTTCAACATTTTTAAGCTAAATCTAACTTCCACATATGAGGGAATCCATGTATCCTTTGACTCTCTGGGCCTGACTTACTTCACTTAACACAATTTTTTCCAAGTCTTTCCATTTATTTATAAATGGTACAGTTTTATTCTTTCTAAAGAAGGGTGGGAGACCTCAACAGAAAGAACTGTGCTGGAGGAATATCAATACCAAATTTCAAACTCTACTATAAAGCCATAGTAATTAAAACAGCTTGGTACTGGAACAAGAACAGACCTCAAGACCAATGGAATAGAATTGAAAACCTAGAAATGAACCTACAGACCTATAGCCATCTAATCTTCGATAAGGGAGCTAAAAAAATAGAATGGAAGAAAGACAGCCTCTTCAGTAAATGGTGCTGGCAAAACTGGTTAACTACTTGTAGAAAACTAAAGCTAGATCCTTATATATAACCCTGCACCAGAATCAACTCCAAATGGATCAAAGACCTTGGAGTCAAAGCAGACACTCTGAAAACATTACAGGATGGAATAGGAGAAACCCTAGGTCTTGTTGGCACAGGCCGAAATAGAGACCCAGAAACACAAGAAATCAAAGAAAGGTTGGACAAATGGGATTGCATGAAATTGCAGAGCTTCTGCATGGCAAAGGACATAGCTCCCAAGATCAATAGAAAGCTCACAGATTGGGAGAAGATCTTTACTAGCCATACAACAGACAAGGGTCTCATATCTAAAATATACCTTGAACTCAAAAAATTAAATCCCCCAACAACAAAACTTCAAAGAAACAACTGCCCAATAAATAAGTGGGCTAAAGACTTAAAGAGAAACTTCTCTGAAGAGGAAAGAAGGATGGCCAATAGACACATAAAGAAATGCTCAACCTCCCTAGCCATAAAAGAAATGCAACTCAAAACAACATTGAGATACCACCTCACTCCAGTTAGAATGGCTAAAACCAAGAACTCTAATAACAACAGATGCTGGAGGGGATGTAGACCGAAGGGAACCTTACTGCATTGTTGGTGGGAGTGTAAACTTGTTCAACCACTTTGAAAAGCAGTATGGAGGTTCCTCAAAAGACTCCACATAGAGCTCCCCTATGACCCAGCAATTCCACTTTTGGGCATTTACCCAAATGTTTACAAACAAGACCACCCTAAAGCTACCAGCACGACTATGTTTATTGCAGCTTTATTTACTATAGCTAAGATATGGAACCAACCCAGATGCCACTCAGTAGATGAATGGATCAAGAAAATGTGGTATATATGCACAATGGAATTCTATGCCTCCATCAGAAAGACTGACATTGCCCCATTTGTTAGGAAATGGAAAGGCTTGGAAAAAATGATATTAAGTGAAGTAAGCCAGGCCCAAAGAAACATAGGTCCCATGGTTTCCCTTATTTGCAATATCTAGTGTATGTCTGAGTCAAGCAAAAAAGGTCAGATAAGGTGATGTTAGGGAAGTGAACCCTAGGATATGTATTCAAATGTTTTTTTCTTTCATGCGGTTGTTTCTAACACATTTATAAGATTATTTCTTTGTTGCTTTGTCTGTCCCTCCCCCACAGTATAATCCCTGCTTTCACTCTATTTCATGTCGGTATAATTTGTGGAGGGGAAGGGGAAAAACAAATCATTTAAATAGGGATACAGGTGTACCCATTGCAACAATGAGATGTACCAGTCGTTATGTTGAAAACAAACTTTACAACTTTGGTGTGTGTGTGTGGGGTGGGGAGGATTGGGTAGGGGAGGGGGGGAGGATGGGAAGGGATGGGAAGGGGAAACAAAGGAGGAGGCTACAATGCTTGATAAGAAATGTACTCATTATCTTGCCCATGTAATTGTAACCCCTCTGTACAGTATTTTCACAATAAAAAAAAAGAAGGGTGGGAGAAAGGGGTGAGAATGTGGAAAGGGATGACACTGCTCAAGATGATTCATAAACTGCTCTGTTAAATGGCAACCCCTTTGTACAGCTTCTTAAAAAAAAATGAAAAGAGGAGATGGGCCTAATAGACACCAATCTGCTGGCTTCTGGGACTTTCCAACCCAGAACCAGGAGAAATAAATGTGTTTACCCAGAAGTTTTGTGTGTGTGTGTGTGTGTGTGTGTGTGTGTGTGTGATCTATTTACTCTTCCACATTTATTTCAGTTAGTTTTCCATTTTTCTTCATTAGCTTACCTTAGTTATGGTAGACAGAAATTTCACTGTTGCATTTCCACACATTTACAATAGTCTGCAATCAATCTCAGCTCTATCACTCTCCTTTCCTCTTTTCTTCCCTTTCCAAAGCTATGTCAACAGGTTTCATTGCTGTTTTCATAGTAGTTTTCCATTTAAAATAGGTCCCATTGTTTTCAATGCCTAAGAGGGAACTCCTCACCCCAAAAGGGGAGAGATTTCTCCAATGTTACATAGCAGTGTAGTGGTTGAGTGAGGAACAAGGGAAGGCAGATCTACCCCCAGGAGGGGCAAGCTATATGTATAAAATATATATATTATTATATAAATATATATAATGTAATATATATAATGTATATTACATATTATACATTTATTTATATAATATATATAATATATTTTTTTATATATATATATATTTATTTTTTGGGTCCAGTCGTGGGACCTGAACTCTGGGCCTGGGCACTGTCCCTCAGCTCTTCAGCTCAAGGCTAGCCCTCTACCGCTTGAGCCACAGCATGACTTCCGGCTTTTTTCTTTTTGCTTATGTGGTGCTGAGGAATTGAACCCAGGGCCTCATGCATGCAAGGCCAGCGCTCTACCACTGAGCCACCTTCCCAGCCCCCAGGGACAAGCTATATTAATAAAACAGTGCTAGAGCATTGAAAAATGATCTTTTCAAAATAATACTTCAAAAAACAAAGTGCAGTCAGGTGCTGGTGGCTCACACCAGTAATCCTACCTACTCAGGAGGCTGAGAACTGAGGATTTCAGTTTGAAGCCAGCCTGGTCAGGGAAGTATGTGAGACTGTTTATCTCTAGCAAACTGCAAAAAAAAAAAAAAAAAAAAGTTGGAAGTGGTGATGTGGCTCAAAGTGATAGCCTGAGCAAAGGAAGCTCAGGGATAGCACCCAGACCCTGAGTTCAAGCCCCAGGACCAGCCCCCGCGCCCCCGCTCCCCTCCAAAAAAAAAAAGAGTACAGAGTATGAGTTTGTCCAGGTGCAGACTAGGGAAGAAATGTAGAGAAGAAAGAAGAACCTCTTGGAACACAGAGGCCGACAGGATGCTGGCTTGCTCAAGGCGCAAAGGCTGTGCTGGAAACAGAACCCACAGGCGTTGTCTGGCACAGAGTCACTGGTGCAGGGCGGCAGTCAGGCACCTCACTGGATCCCATGCAGAGCTGGGTGGGGCTCAGGATGGGATACACAGGGGAGCTGTGGCTCTCCAGGCAGCCCATCCAGGGTACATGGAGGGGGTCTGGTTTACCCTTGTCACCCCAGATAAGAAAGAAGTTGTTAGCTCAGGTAACCGGTAAAGTAGGGAGATGGTCTCTGAATCTGTATTTTATATCTGTAGCTATATTTATATGTGTATGTATACTTACGTCTACATTATCAGTGTTCAATCTTTAAAAAACTTAATCCTTCATATTAAAACAGAAGATTGCAATGAGGCTGAATATGGTCAAAGCAGTTGGTTTGTATATATGAAAATAAAGCAGTGAACCCTGTTGAAATTATTTTAGGAAGAGGCAGGGGTCAGGGAGAGTGATGGAGGAGGCAAGGTCCTAATGCATTATATACATGTGTGGAAATGCCATCGTGGACTTCCCTGGTAATAATGAATGATAATAAAAAAATCTTGTGAGATAAAAACAAAAAGCCCAATTTCTAGCATTTTTGATGAATAGGCAAATCTGGCTAGTGCTGCTGTTGGGGGCTCCTGGAGGGTTGCATGCTGTCTGATAGCTCCAGTTCCCTATATGCCCCAACCCTAAAGTACTCTGCTTTGCAGGCTGAGATGAGACACGGGACTTTTACATGCTAGGCCAATGCTCTCCCATGGGTCTGTTGTTCCTTTTCTTAGGGTAGCATGCTTTCTTTCCCTATATTTTACTCATCTAATTTGCTTACTCTGCAGTGTGTGTGTGTGTGTGTGTGTGTGTGTGTGTGTGTGTGTGTGTGTGTGTGTGTGTGTGTGTGTGTGTGTGTGTGTTGCTTACTCAGGGTTTTGAGTTCTTGCTTAGCTTTGTAGCTCAAGGTTGGTGCTCTACTACTGGTACCACACCTCCACTTCAGGCTTTTTGCTGGCTACCTGAAGGGAAGAGTCTCATAGATTTGCCTGTGCTGACTTAGAAATTTGTTCCTCAGAGCCCAGCCTCCTGAATAGCTAGGATTACCAGTATGAGCCACCAGTGCCCAGCTAAGAGTCTGGTTTTGAGACCCATTCATGATGGCTTCCCTCCCCTCCCCCTGCACATCAGGGCAGCCCTCATGGAACTCACTGGAAGCGTGACGTTTGACTTTGACCTGGGGGTCCACTCGGTGGGATTTCTCACTGCAGGAGGAGGCATGGCGCTTCACCTGGGCTCCGCTGGGCCTTGGGGGCTCCTCGTCCTGTGAGGAAGAGGAGGAAGGTTAAGTTTGGGAAGGCTAGTGTCACCCAGCCCTGTTCCTGCTGGGAACAAGCCTGGCAGGGCCTCTGAGATCTTGGCCTTTTGTCTGCAGATGCAGACAGTTTCTCAACCACTTTCACGAGCAGTGTGCCATCTGAATCTCATGTCTTTCTGTGGCAGGCAGAAGAGGGCAACCCTAAGCTGGAGTGCCTGCTGAGAGGACAACTAAGAAATCTCATAAGACGGGTGGTAACCATATGAGATTTATGATAGATATTTTTGTCCTCACATCATTTGGATGAATCCTTCTAATTTCCTGAATTGCGACTACAGTCTTTCCTCAAAAAACACAAGAAAAGAAACAAAAAAATTGCGGGTGAGATCAGTCTATGGTAGTAGTAAGATAGCTTATGAAAGTGGCTACATATTTGTGCATTACCAGTATTACATGGCCAGGTATGGCAGCTCATGCCTATAATCCCAGCTACTTGGGAAGTGGAAGGAGGCAGTCTGAAACTGGTCTGAGAAAAGTTAGTTTTGATCATTTATGTCAAAATCAAACCAAATGGGTGAAGCCGATTGGGATCATTGCATACAAGTATGGAAATGTTGCCAAGAAACCACTTCTTATAAAACTAGTGTATACTAATAAAAAATTGTCCTGAAAAAGAAAAAAACAACAACAATACAAAAGAACAGGAGTGTGGCTCAAATGCTAGAGTGTAGCATGAGGTGTTGAGTCCACTCCTAATAAATAAATAAATAAAACCAATAAATAAATAAATACTCAAAATCTACTCAAAGCTCAGGAAACTCTAGTGGAGTATAATACTATTATGTAACTATAATATTGATAACAACAGTACTTTTTTTTTTTTTAATTCAGGGCCTGATACTGGTTAGGTCTTGCCTCCAGCTCTAATTTTTGCTGGCTATTTGAGAGGTCAGATCTCATACTTTTCTGCTCCAGATCTCAGCCTCCTAAGTAACTAGATTTGGGTGTGGGTACTATTGATTCTTCTGTATGAAACTTCCCAATGTCCAGGTACTATACCGCTTTTGTTTGAGGGGGGAGGGGGGGCGGACATGGGGCTTGGAGTCTGGGCCTGGACACTGTCCTTGAGTTTTTTTGCTCAAGGTTAGCACTGTACCACTTTGAACCCAGCTCCACTTCCAGTTTTTAGGTTGGAGCTAAGTCTCATGGACTTCCCTGCCCAGGCTGGTTTTAAGTTGTGATCCTCAGATCTCAGCCTCCTGTGTAGTAGCTAGGATTATAGGTGTGAGCCACCAGACCCAGCTATGCTGATCTTTTTTTTTTGTTGGTCGTGGGGCTTGAACTCTGGGTCTGGACGCTGTCCTTGAGATCTTCAGCTCAAGGTGAGCGCTCTACCACTTGAGCCACAGCACCACTTGCTGATCTTTTTTTACATGCAATATTTCACTTAGTTCTCACCACAGTGCTAGAAGATAAGCGTTCTCTTGCCTACTAGGTGCCTGGATGTGAGGCCCAGAAAAGCCAACATAGGTCATTTGGCCTCAGCTCCAGGTTTGACTTCAGCATTCATGTCTAAGGCACTAAGCTGTCCGGCTATACATCTCAAACTAGGTCCCCATGTTCATCTGAGTCTGAAGAAAGACCATGGAAACAGAAAGGGTGGCTGGGGAGATTTCTAGTAAAGTGAGTCACAGAGGTGTGATTCTCAGAGTGCCAGCCAGCACCATCCACAGAAGGGCCGTGGCCTGCAGACTTGAGCCTCTCTCTGCCTAGATGTGAGGCCGCTCCACCCACCTGTCTAGTCAGAATGTGCTTCTTCTCCTGGGCAGAAAAGACAGGTTGTGAGGGCACTTGGGAACAGGTTTACCCCCTCCACCCCCGCAAATCCATTGGTACTTCCTGCACCACAGACTTCTCATCCAGAGCTCTGAGGAGGAGCAGAGCCCCACCTTCTAGCTGTTGCTTAAGTAAAGCAGTTTTTCCAAGGCAGAAAGGGACAGGGGACAGTGTGTGTGGATGGGGTGTAGGGACAGAAGCAGCCTCTGCCATGTTCTCAGGCAACCCAAGCCACCATACCTGCACCTGTTCATAGGGAACGTCGTCATACACACGGGGCTCAGGCCACTGATCCTGGCAGGATCTGGCGTACCTAGGGAAACAGGAGGAATGGGGATGCTGGTGGGGGTGGTGCTTTCCTGGTCACCCCTCCTGAGATTCTGGCAGCAGCTCTCCATAGAACTGGAAGACATTTTGAGCCTAATTGGAGATAAGCATCTCAAATCTTATGGACTTTCCTGCCTGAGCTGGCTTTGAACGGCAATCATCCGATCTCAGCTTCCCGAGAAGCTAGGTTATAGGCACAAGCCACCAACACCTTGCAGTATTTCTTTTGTGGTGGTTGTTGTCAACTGTGGGGCTTGAACTCAGGGCCTGGGATCTGTCGCTGAGCTTTATTACTCAAGTCTAGCACTCTACTACTTTGAGCCACAGCAACACTTCCAGTTTTCTGGAGGTTAACTGGAGATAAAGAGTTTCACAGACTTTCCTGCCTGGGCTGGCTTCGAACCATATTCCATAGATCTCAACCTTGAGTAGCTAGGATTACAGGTGTAAGCCACTAATGTCCGGCAAGCTTTTCTTAATTTTGGAGCCAGGGTCTTGCCAGGTAGCCCAGGCTGACTTTTGACTTTGAAATTCTGAGTGCTATGTTTAAAAGTGAATGACGCCATGCCTGGCTTGAGCTCTTCTAATGCTGAAATTGGTGGATCATCCACATTGCCCACACGGATACTCAGGGGTGTGTCTGCGAAAGGTCCTGTGGTGTGAGGGCAGAACACAGATCCTTTTTGAGTCATTCTGTCTACAGGGTGCGTCCACCCTGGGCAGCTCCCTCCGCATTGCTGACTGAAGAAGGCACCACCCTAGCTTCCCAAGCTCATGACTCCTCCCCTTCCTCCCAGTGCCCAAGGCTGGGCTCAGAGCACAGACGGAGGTGAAAGAGCCCTGAGCAGGTGCGGGTGGTGGACCACCCCTTACAGGAAGGAGTTGCGTCCAGCACTGACGATGCTGGTTAAGGTCTCCACATCCACATAGTCATAGTGCAGTGCCTCTGGGGTGACTCTGGAGCCCATCTCCACCAGCAGCAGCCCAAGCCAGCGACCCATGTCTTCTGAACAGTTTGCCTGGAGTAGAAGGGGCACAGTGGACCTCAGTTCCACATTGTGAAGGTTGATGGCAGCTTGCTTTACTTCAGCCGGACCACAAATACTCAGAAGCACCTATTCTGTACCCCATCCTTAGGGTTCAAAGAGGAATGAGAGTAGAACATCTAGAAATCTGAGATTCCTTCTTTCCCTGGATCCCAATTTCTGTCAAAGCCACCTCCTCTAAGAGCAGAGGCCATACCTGACTACCTTTCTTTTTTTTTTTGTCGGTCATGGGGCTTGAACTCTGGGCCTGGGCGCTGTCCCTCAGCTCTTCAGCTCAAGGCGAGCGCTCTACCACTTGAGCTACAGCGCCACTTCCGGCTTTCTGGTGGTTTATTGGAGATAGGAGTCTCATGGTCTCTCCTGCCCGGGCTGGCTTTGAACCGCGATCCTCAGATCTCAGCCTCCTGAGTAGCTAGGATTACAGGCGTGAGCCACCAGCGCCCGGCCTGACTACCTTTCTTTTGTGCCAATCCTGGGGACTGAACTCAGGGCCTGGGCTCTGTCCCTGAGCCTCTCTGTGCTCAAGGCTAGCACTCTGCCCCTTGAGCCACAGCACCACTTCTGGCTTTTTCTGTTTATGTGGTACTGAGGAATTGAACCCATGGCTTCATGCATGCTAGGCAAGCGCTCTACCACTGAGCCACATTCCCAGGCCCTGAATACCTTTCTAAGACTGCATACTTTTGGGGTCCTCCTAACCATCTGAGTATAAAAACAATATTTAAGTGTTCCCTGAAAATTTAAGATCAGGATGAACAGATGAACCTGGGCTCTCAGGCTGCCTGAGAAAATCTAAATACAGAATGTTCTGTTTAATCTAATGCTCCACTCAGTGGTACTCACTAGACATTATGTTGAACATGACATTATGTTGAACATGTCCGTGGGGATGGGAGGGGAAAACTAAGAGAGAGGGAGGGGAGGGGTGACACTGTCCAAGAAGAAATGTACTCATTACCTGACTTATGTATGTCACTGTAACACCCCTGTATGTCACCTTTATAATAATACTAAATTTTAAAAAAATATAATGGTCTACTAAGAATATCAGAAAAATCATTTTTAGTAGTGTAGGCATGCTTCTCCCCTTTTATGGGCTGTAACTGTAATGTTCCTAATACTTACTTGAAGTCATTCATGTTTAGCTGGGATTTGAAGGCTGGTGGCCTGTGTTCTATTGTGTCTTCCCCCTCCCTGCCTGCAGTGCAGTGGTAGCCACCCCCCCCAAAAGACCTTGGGGCCAAGACCCCTGGGCCCCTTGCCCCTCACCTCCAGGATGGCCACCTCCTGCCGATTGCGCAGGATCCTGAAGGCAAACGGGTGCCTAGGCCCAAAGCCCGGGGCCACCTCGCAGCCTCGCAGGGCGATGGCATTCACATGGGTCTGCAGGTCCGCGCGGTCCTTGTGGAAATACAGAGTGCTGCACCGAAGGCGGCACCAGCGTTCTTTCCAGCCCTGGGCCACCAGCACGTTCAGATAGCCTGAGGGGAGGGGAGAGGGCATGTGTCCTCCGACAGCCTGTGTGTGTGTGTGGGAGCTGGGCTGTGCCGGGTGCAGGTGTGCAGCCCTGTACCCCAGGGTTGAGCACTTGCACTACCCCAGTGCCCTTGTGCTTTACTGGGAAAGGCCTTAAGCACCCTCTTTCCTGAGCTGGTTTTCTGGTTCTGAAGGGAGTGCTGATAATCCCTGAACACCCTAAGGAGCACGTCAAAAATAGTGCTGGGAAGTGCAGAAGCTACACCTAAGGCTATAAGAGCACAACAAGCCTCCTGCCTGCCCCCACAACTTGTACTGCAAGATGGAAACCAATGGATGGTGCTGACACCTAGTGGCAGCATGTGGAAACCACCATAGCTGAACAGCAGTACATAAATATTATTAGTATTGTCATCATGATCATTATTAACCATAGCGTAATTTGACTCACTGATTACAAAATATCTCCCTATAGTCATACACTCTTGTACTATTTTTTCAGGGTAGAATACTTCTGCATATTGGAAACAGATGATCTTATTTATTTTTTGTAGGAATAGGAATTCAATCCAAGGCCTCACACATGCTGGTCAAGTGTTCTACTACAGAGTTACACCTAAACCTGCCAAATTGGATGGCTTTCTACTGGCGTACAGTATTATATTCAGTATACTGTATTTATTTGAAAAATAATGCTTCTCTTCCAAATGTGTTTTCACAAATGCTAAATGCATTTATATTAAAAAGATCTTAAGCATTTTTGTTGTTGCTGTTGTGTTTTTGTGTGTGCTGGTGCTGGGGCTTGAACTCACGGTGTCATATTCTCATTTAGCTTTTTCACTGAAGGTTTTGCATTCTACAACTTGAGCCACATCTCTACCTCTGGCTTTTTGCTGGTTAACTGGAGATAGGAATCTCACAAACTTTCTTGCCAGGACTGGCTTCAAACCATTATCCTCAGATCTCAGTCTCCTGAGTGGTTAGAATTACAGGTCACCAATGGCTGGCCAAATTTCTCTGCAAGACAGAGCTATAACTGAAGTACCTGCCATGTTATAAGCTATGAACTAAGTTACTCTCAGGATAGCAGAGAAACTAAGGCCAAGATGGGCAGTGGTTTGCCTAAAGTGTCAGGGAGCAGGGATGGGGCAATCTTGTTTTCCTCTGAACTTCAGGGCCTCAGAGGAACAAAGAAATGGAGGGAAGGCGTGTTGCTAAGTGGGTTTAGCCATCCAGAGGATGGATCACCACCCTGTCCTGGGAGCCAGAGGGCTAAGGCATGGAGGGTCTCTTGGCTTCAGCCCCAGGATCCCTGCTCTGTAAAACCTGAGCAACCTTTCTCCCCCATCCCATACCCACCACAGCATGGAACCTCTTCCTCAGTGGAGGACGTGGTGGAGGATGTCTGTAGGTCCTCGGCCAGGGCCTTCTTCTTGGAGAAGCTGATGATGCGGTTGATCTTGCGGCCTGCAGCCCTGCTCATGGAGCCCTTCAGCTCTGCCAGGCTGCTCTTCTTCCCTTTGCCTATTGCCCAAGAAATGGGTTGGGCATGGAGGAGGGGCCCTGGTTCTACCCATCCTTGTTGTTCCCAGCAGCCCTTTGCAGCCTGCACATAGGACTGGCCTATATGGACTTCAATCACTTGTGCCTAAGGGTAAGCCTCCCCCCACCCCCACTCCAGCTAGAGCATCCTCCAGCCTGAGACAAGGAAGGAGGGCTCTACCTTGTTCACAAGCTTCCCGGCGACCGAGGGTGGAACCACCGTCGCCCATGCCCAGACTGTCTGAGTCTGAGGTCTGCTTCTCTTGGGACAGCCTCTGGGGAGGGAGAGAGATAGCCTCAATCAGTTCAGTCTTCCCCCTAAGTACCCAAGCACATGATAAAATAGTTAACATTGTCATCAACTGTTATGTGCCTTATACTAACTACCCCAGGGACTGGGAAGATGGCAACTTAGGTGTGTTTGGCCATATCTGCTGGTGAATGAGATGAATATAGCACACTAACAGCAATGTTCTAGGAGTCTACTCTATTCAGCAGTTGACTGGGCGTTGGGAGGGCATGAACGCAGGGTACTACTGTAAAGCTGTGGGTAGTGGGGACAGGCAAGAAGGGAGTAAGCCTGAATGCAAAAGAGCCATAAAGAGTGTCATCCTGGCAAGATGAGACTTAGAAGGGGAAGAACCAACATGACAGTGAGAATAAGGGATGGGCTGGCCTGTGGCTCACACATGTATAGTTACTTAGGAGGCTGAGATTGCCAGCCTAGGCAGGAAAGTCTGTGAGACTCTTATTTCAAATTAACCAGCAAAAAGCAGAGCTGGAAGTGTGGCTCAAATGGTAGAGTGGTAGTTGAGTGAGTAGAAACACTGAGCAAGTCTAAGGCTCTGAGTCAAAACTCTAATCCTACCAAAGAAAATAAAATAGTCAAGCCAGGACCTGAAGACCAATAGGAATCTAGGAGAGATCCTAGCTTGGAGGAAAATAGGAAAAATAGCAACACAGTTGGGAGCTGGTGACTCATGCTTGTAATCCTAGCTACTCAGGAGGCCAAGATCTGAGGATCATGGTTCAAAGCCAGCTCAAGCAGGAAAAGTCTGTGAGACATTTATCTCCAATTAATTATCAGAAAACCGGAAGAACACCACGGCTCAAAGTGGTAGAGTACTAGCCTTGAGCTCAGGGACAGTGCCCAGGCCCTGAGTTCAAGTCCCACAAACAAGGAAAAACAAAGGAACACACACACACACACACACACACACACACACAAATACACACAAAAATGCTCATATCTACACAAAATGCTATTAATTTCACTGCTAGCTACATTAGATTTATACCCGCCCAGTTCTCAACAAGCTGAGTTCACTGATTTACTGATTTAGTCTTATAAGGTCAAGGCAGGTGATGGAGCATGGAAATTTTTCCCTTGTTTTTCTCGTTTGACTTACAGTCATCTAGAGAAGGTTACTGTTACTTTCGGAACAGTAGCCAGCCTAAGTGAAATTACAAGACCAACAACATGAATCATCTCCAACACCTGTGTGATGGGCTTTCTTTTTTTGAGGTATGATCTTGACAAATAGTTCAGATTGGCCTTGAACTTGCAACAGTTTCTGCCTCCTAGATGCTAGTACTGTAGGCATGAATTACCATGTCTTGCCAAGGATCCTCCTGCCCTCGAGGTCAGCCCCAGGGATGTTTCATGTTTGAGCATGGAACTGGGGGAGGGCAGGGCAGATGAGGGGCCAGGGCAATTATAATATGTTTAATAAATATTAAAAGCCCAGATTCAGCTGGCCGCTGGTGTGGTTCACACCAGTAATCCTAGCCACTCAGAAGGCTGAAATCTGGGATCGAGGTCCAAAGCCAGCCCAGGCAGTACATTTTATGAAACTTTTTTTTTTGGGGGGGGGTCCAGTCATGGGGCCTGAACTCTGGGCCTGGGCGCTGTCCCTCAGCTCTTCAGCTCAAGGCTAGTGCTCTACCACTTGAGAGCCATAGCGCCACTTCCGGCTTTTTTCTTTTTGCTTATGTGGTGCTGAGGAATTGAACCCAGGGCCTTAGGCATGCAAGGCAAGCGTTCTACCACTGAGCCACCTTCCCAGCCCTGAAACTCTTATCTCCAATTAATTAACAAAAATCCAGAAGTGGAGTTGTGATTCAAGTAGTAGAGCACTAGCCTTGAGCAAAAAAGCTCAGGGACAATGCCCAGGCTCTGGGGAATCAATCTCTAAGACACACACACACACACACACACACACACACACACACACACACACACACACACACACACACACACACACACACACACACACAACACAGATTCAACAATTGGAATTAAGGAGAAAAGTAGTTTAGCTCTACTCCCACAATTTCCTTTTAGATGATGAATTATAAGAATAGGGGATATAAAGGGCCTCTCTTCACCTGCCTTCCCCTTTGGCTTAGTGATAGAATGCTTGCTTAGCATGCATGAAGCCCTGGTTTGATTCCTTAGTATGACATAAACAGAAAAAGCTGGCCCAAGTTGTAGAGGGCTAGCCTTGAGCAAAAGAAGCTTAGGGACAGTGTTCAGGCCCTGGGTTCAAGCCCCAGGACTGGCACAAAAAAAATGCTGTGAGGCTTCTGGAAGGAGTAAAAAGACAGAAACAGTGCATAGCATGCCTGGCAGAGGGAAGTCCTGAAGGGTACTGTATAGGTTGGAGTGGGCCTCGCCCATCTTAGCTACTGAGAACCATTATCTAAAGAATAGGTGCTGGGATGTGTTTCTAACGCATTTATAAGATTATTTCTTGGTTGCTTTGTATGTCCCTCCCCCACAGTGTAACCCCTGCTTTCACTATATTTGATGTCAGTATAACATGTGGAGGAGATGGGGACAAACAAGTCGTTTAAGGATTCAGGTGGACCTGTTGCAACAATGAGAAGTACAAAATGTCATGTCAAAACCAGCTTTACAATGTCGGGGGGGGGGGGAGGGGGGGTATGATTGGGTGGGGGGGAAGGGGGAGGCTGGGAAGGGAGGTGAAGGGTAAACAAAGGAGGAGGCTGCAATGCTTGGTAAGAAATGTATGCATTATCCTGACCATGTAATTGTAACCCCTCTGTACAGTATGTTCTCAAATAAAATAAAATTAAATTAAAAAAAAAAAAAAAAAAAGAATAGGTGCTGGGTGTCATCAGCATGTATATCTGCTCACTCAAAGGTACAAAGGCTACAGACAGGGACCGCTATTTTGAGTCTTTAACTCTTCATTTCCTTTATGGCCTCCAGGAAATGTTTCTTCCTTTTCTTCCCCCATTTCTCTATTCTATCCCGTTATACTAAAATAAGTCCTTGCTAATACTAGTGCTTCATGAGGCTCTCCTTTTTGTGAGACACTCTGAAATGTGTTTCATGAGTAGATGTCAAGGCCCTGTGATTTGGTGTGGAAACCAAGGCTGAGGTAAGCCCTCATCCATCCACTGGTCACAAGGGCAGGGAAGATGACACCCCAGGACGGGAAATACCATCATGACAGGGAGAGAAGGGGTTAGGTAGTCAGACATTTTCAAAACAGTCAAGCCAGGGCTGGGTACCAGCAGCTAACACCTGTAATCCCAGCTATTCAGGAGGCTAAAATCTGGAGGATTGTGGTTCAAAGCCAGGCAGCGCAGAAAAGTCCTGATTGGGGTCATTTCTCTTGTGCTAGGGTTGCATGGGTGCTGGGTAGACAGATCCTCACTAAGAACCTGGCCCGGGGAAGTTTCACTGTGATAGCACTGTTTCAGGGGTCACCTTGCCTGGACTTTAAACCCTAGCTCTGCCGTATACTTTTGTCATCTGACTATAGGAGCTGTTATGGAAAGCCAATTCATGAATATATATAAGACATTTGGTACAGGGTAGTCACATCATCACAGTTATAAGTGCTGGCACTGTTACAGCCTATAAAACCTGGGGATGTGTTTAAACTTTCCCCTTGACTGTGATTACACACCTCTGGATTTGAGTCCTTTGTTACCCACAGCGAGTGGCTAAGTGCGGACACTGGTACTAATTAGCCAACTGACCAATGGCTGCTTCACTTCTTTTCCTAATCTCTTCCTGAGGTCATGTGGCTGAGCCACGCCCTCCTGCTAGCACTGGACATGGGCTCTCTCTACTTGTGCAGTAGGCGTTTACTGAGCACTGATTGACTGCGCTGCCTGCTCTGCTGGGTATATGCAGAACAGCATCCCCAGCCTGTGAGTTCCCACGGGCCAGGGGCTGTGTCCACGTCCAGGTGAGCAGGAGACTGGAGTCAGATGTACCTTGTCCAGATCCAGCTTGCACAGGAGGACTGGGGACCTGGGGATCTCCGCTCCCTCTGCTCCCCCAGTGGTCTTGCTGACTTCTCGGATAGCCTGTGGAGAGGACACATGGCGGGGGACAGGAGTGCATACAGGGAAGCTCAGAGGGCAAAAGGAGTTGGAGGGGGTGGGATCAGGGCTGTGGTGACAAGGCCCTGGGGTCACTGGGATGCAGGAAGGGCTGACAGCCATGTGCACAAGTGTGGATCAGGCCAGGGTCTGAAGAGGCTTTCTCCTGTGTCTGTCCCATGGATGGGATAGATAAGGGGAGGGAACCAAGAGGATGGATCTATTGAGGAGAGAGGTCTTAGAAAAGCCACTTGCTTGCTCTGGCTCCCACACATACAGTATGAGAGATGGCCAGCCCTCTGCTGGGTTGTTTCTGAGGACAGGGGGAGGGATGAAGGGAATGGTGGAGTGGAGCATCACAGGATGAGGCTCAAGTGTGGGGAGGGGGTGAAGAGGCTGGGAGAGTCAAAGCTACCTGTTAAAGGTGCAGCAGAGCCAGAGACCAGATGCAAGCAGTGTGGTGACCTTTGTTTACTCTCTGGGCCCTGTCCTGCAAGAATGTCTTTGAACTCCAGGCCTAGCTAGAGCTGCTTCTGACAGCAGTGGACAGGTCCTCTCTCCTTCCCCTCCAGAGACAAAGTAAGAATCCCAGAGCATCCCACAGGATAGCTTCATGTCACAGGAAGGGAGAGATGCAAGAAGAGGAAGGGAGGGAAGGATGGAGGGAGGGGCTGTCTTCTTTTGCTCCAGCAGGAAGATCAGAGGGAATAGCATAAGGGTATAGTGGCTGGTAGCCTGGCTCCGGTGGGATAGAGCCTGTCTAGCAAATATGAGGCCCCAAGTTCAATCCTTGGTACCACTACAAAAGGCAAAGGCTTCTGAGCGGAGTAGAGGCAGCAAGGGTGGAGATCTGCCTGGGGGTGGGGCACCACCATCTTCTCAATAGAAACCACTGGCTACTGATGCTTGGCAGACACTCAGATGGGGAAACAGGCACAGGGAGGTTAAAGTCACTTGCAGAAGATCCCACAGCCAGTGAGTGCTGCATGGGCCTGGGAAACCCCACATACCTTCAGCCACTCCTCTGCCTGCTCCCGGCTCTGCAGCGCCAGCACCAGGACCTCTGTGGCACCCTGGGAGAAGCGAAGCTCGTGCCTCTTGTGCCGGCTGTCCTTGGGCACATAGATGACAGTGCAAGTCTCCAGCGCCAACCTGAGATTCGGCTGCCGGTCTTTGGAACTTTTGTAACACTGGTCAGGGAGAGAGGGCATCTGGGCTGTCTGGAGTGGATGGTGGAGGAAGACTCCCACCCTTCATACCCTCCATCCAGCCTAACAGGGGTGAGGGGGTGGGAGGGAAGCTTTGAGGAAGAGGAAGACCCTGATACAATGGCAGGAGGATCATTCAGGCCACCAGAACCAGAGCAAATGCACTGGCATGGGAGGAAGCAGGGGGAAGGGCAGATGGCAGGGGGCTGGAGGAGAATTCTTGTGGCTGGAGAGTCAGTTCTTTATCAGAAGTGGTTCTCATTTCTTCATTCTTAGCATGAAGTCTGTGTTACTTTGATACCAGAACCTGACAGTGACTTTACAGAAAAGAAAAATTATAGGCGAACTTCTCTCACAACAAACTTGCAACATCCCTAAACAAACACTAGCAATGGAATCCACACGACTAAAAAGAAAACTACATCAACACAGTGGGGTTTATTCTAGGAACTCAAAGGCAGTTTAAAAATTTAACGTCTAAAAATCAACCAAAGAGGCTGAGTGCTGCTGGCTCATGCCTGTAATACTATACCCAGAAGGTTCAGATCTGAGGAATACAGTTCAAAGCCAGGCTGAGCAGGAAAATCTGTGAGACTCTTATCTCCAATTAACCATTAAAAGCTGGAAGTAGAGCTGTGGCTCAAGTGAGTGCCAGCCTTGAGTGAAAAAGCTAAGCAGCACACCTCCCTTCCCTACACCAACAATAAGCACATAGCTGGGTACGGTGGCTCCCCGCTGTAATAATCCTTGCCACTTGGCATTTGGGAGGTTGAAATCAGGAGGATCTTGGTTCCATGCCAAGGCGGGAGGTGTGAGATCTCATCTCAATAGAAACAGCTGGGTAGTATGTGGGCAAGAGCCTGTCGTTCATCCCAGATAAAATGGTAGAAATAAATAGGGGGATTGGTGTCTAAGATGGTCCGGGCACAAAGTGAGGACCTATCTCAAAAGTAAACACAAGTGGGGCATCAGTGGTTCATGCCTATAATTCTAGCCTCTTAGTAGGCTAAGATCTGAGGATCAAGGTTCAAAGCCCTCCCAAGCAGATAAATCTAGGAGACTCTTATCTCCTATTAACTAGCAAAAACCCAGAAGTGGAAGTATGGCTCAAGTGGTAGATCACTGAGCTACATGGGAAAAAGGGCTAGAGGAAGAGCTCAATCCTAGTAAGTTCAAAAGCCCTGAATTCAAATCTTAGTACCACATAAGTCATGACATGAACAGAAAAACAAAGGGAAGTTTCCCACCTCACTAGAGGTAGAAAAAAGTACCTGATAAAAGTCAGATCCCATTTGTGATGTAACTGCGAAACTAAGAGTGGAGGACAGGGAATTATCTTATGTGGTAAGAAAGAGCATCTATAAACACCCATAGCACATGCAGTCTTATTGCTGAATTACTGAAGCTTTTCCTTTGAGATCTGGACAGAGTCTGGCTATTTGCTTCCATCTGTCTATTCACGAAGCTGGAGGTCTCAGTCACTGCCATCGATCAAAGCAAAGGGGCAGAATCAGGTCCCTGGCCACCCTCAGTCTGGTGCTTGCCTGCACTAAGCATTCACTACCCCAGGATGAGGAAAGGTCTGGTTTCAGACATGTTTTTATTGAGCAAGGCTTGCCAACAGTGATTTTGTGTGTGTGTTTTTGAGTTGTTAATATTATTTTCTGAAGTTATACTCATCTTCCTGCTTTGGAATTCAAGGTGCATGCTCTTTTATGAAGTGATAAGTGTTGGTGAATTAAAATAAAGTCTTTAATACTAATGTAACTATAGCTCCTCTTTACATCACCTTTATCATAACAATAAAAATGTAAAAAAAAATAATGCCTTAAAGACAAGCAGGCTATGCAACAGTAAGAGAGCTTCAGGAGATCAGGTTTTACAACATACCTGTAAATGAGGGTGGAGAAAAGGTGTGTGCAAACTTTAAGTGGATGTCTCTTGATCAAGGGAATATTCTGTGTGTGTGTGTGTATGTGTGTGTGTGTGTGTGTGTGTGTGTGTGTACATGCATGTGCGCCTGCTGTGTGGATGAACTCAGGGCCTGGAGTTTGCTCTACCACGAGCCACACCCTCAGTCCTTTTGCTTTAGTTTGTTTTTCAGATGTGGTCATCTGCTTTTTCCCTGGCTTGCATCAGACAGAGATCCTCCTACCCCTGCCTCCCGATGAACAAGCCAGAGGCTCCCAAGGCCATTGCAGGCCTGTAGACAAGGGTGGTTCCACCAGGAGGCACTCACCAGGAGCTGGTCATCCTTGATGAGCATCAGCTGCTTGGCCCACTGCCCAAAGCGCTTTTTCCGCAGCAGGAAGGCGCATATCCTACAGTCCCGCACCAGGTGCATGGAGGCCTCCTCAGAGGGCCACTGGTGCCGGGGCTGTGGCCCCTTCCCTTCCTCCTCTTCCTCATCATAGGACTCGTAGGAACTGCTCATGGCGTCAGAGTCGTCTGCAGCGGCAGGGGAGAGGACCACCACTGTGTCATCCCTGGAGACCCCTTCTCATACCCTGCCTGGCTCTAGGCCCCAGATCATGGAGGACGGATGTGTCTTGGATGAGCAGAGCAACCTCAACAATCCCCAGCACAGAGGGAACTGGGCTCTCTCTCCTAAGATCAGTCACCAAGACTCAGGGCAAAGGCCAGACTTGGGCTGCTGACTCCTATTCCTGTGGCCCTTCTATGGAACACAGGAGCCACAGAAAACAAGGGCTTTGGGGACCCCTGGAGCCCCAGCCTGGCGAGTGTGGGCTGTGGAGGCTGGCTTTACTGGGGACAGACGTGTGTAAACAGTGATTCTCCCCTTCCCCGCTACTTACAGGAGCTCTTCAGCTCCCCATTCATCCTGGTGGTGGGGTAGCTGCTGTCAGCATCTTCATAGTAGCTGTCCATAATTGAGTGGGCTGGGCTGTAGCCATCTGCGGTCAGAAAAAGCCCAGCTTGGAGAAATGTGGCAGAGACAAGGAGAGTGGGAGAAAGGATACCATGTTCTTCCTCAGTGAAGGCAGTGGAGCTCAGGGCAGCTCCGGTCTGTGGGAGGGGATGTGGGTGTCCTGTCCAGGCCTTACCTCTGCTCTGCCTCCCTATTTAGCCTTTGTGCCCCAAAACTACCCTGCCCTGTCACATTCTAGGTTGGTGTACCTTCTTACCTTTTACCAGAGAACTCCTACTCATCCTCCAAGACCTAGCTCAGGGCTGGGAATGTGGCTTAATGGTAGAGCGCTTGCCTAGCATGCATAAAGCCCTGGGTTTGATTCCTCAGTACCACATACACAGAAAAAGTCAGGAGTGGTGCTGTGGCTCAGTGGTAGAATGCCAATCTTGAGCAAATGAAGCTCAGGGACAGAGCCCAGGCCCTGAGTTCAAGACCCAGGGCTGGCAAAAAAAAAAAAAAAAAAAGTGGAAAAAAAAGACCCAGCTCAAAGATCTTTCCTTTGACCTTTCTAGATCAGTGAATGGTCAGTCCCTCCTCCATGACCCCAGGGCACTGGACAGGTGTGAGTATACTGGTTGCAGCTCTGGTCTCTGCACTGTATGGCCAGCTCGGCTCCCACCCTCTTGTACCCGTGGATCTTCCGCCTCAGTTGGTGCTCTACCACCAGAGCCACACCTCTACTTCCAGTTTTTTGCTAGCTGATTGGCAATTAACACACTGCAGACTTAAGGGCCTATCAAACTGCATTTGTATCAGCCACCTGGGGTATAGCTGAAAATGTACTTCATCCTCAGACATCTAAACTCACTGGACTGAGCTTGCCTGAGGAATTTGCACTGAAAAAAACTGATGTGACAGGAAACTCCAGACAGATATAAAAGTAAAAAAAATGAACTATGATGAATTGGAATAAATGTATTCAACACACATTTTGCTTTTTCTTTTTTGGTGCAGGTCCTGAGGCTTGAACTCAGGGCTTGAGTCTGTCCCTGAGCTTTTTTTTCTCTCAAGGTAGTGCTCTACTACTTGAGCCACAGCTCCACTTCTGACTTTTTGGTAGCTAACTGGAAACAAGAATCTCATGGCCTCTGAGCATATAAAATAACATTTATGGAAGTCAACCCAAGGAAATGGAAACGGTTCTTCCTTCGTTGTTTCTGTTTTCTTTTTGTCTTGTTTGCTTGTGTATCTGTCTTTAGTAGGGTAAAGGGGGAGGGCACAAAAATGGTAGGGGGAAAGGGTGAACAAATGCAGCAGTGGTACTCACTAGACTTTATGTTGAAAATGAACTATACAATGTGTGGGTGGGGATGGGAGACAAAAACTGGGAGAGAGTGAGAGGAGTAGTGACATTGCCCAAAAAGAAATGTGCTCTTTACCCAACAAGTAACGGCAGACCCTGTGTGTACACTGCCTTCATAATAACAATAACAATAAATCAATTATGGGGGCTAGAAGGAATAGGTGGGGATTAAGAGACTGCAATTAAGAGGGTGAACTTTAGAATGGCTAGAATCAAGAACTCTAATAACAACATATGCTGTTGTTATTAGATGCCCACTTTTGGGCATTTATCCACAATCATCACAAACAAGACCATCCTAAATTTACCCGCACAACTATGTTTATTGCAGCATTATTTACCATAGCTAAGATATGGAACCAACCCAGATGCCCCTCAGTAGATGAATGGATCAAGAAAATGTGGTATATATACACAATGGAATTCTATGCCTCCATCAGAAAGCATGACATTGCCCCATTTGTTAGGAAATGGAAAGACTTGGAAAAAATTATATTAAGTGAAGTAAGCCAGGTCCAAAGAAACATAGGTCCCATGGTTTCCCTTATTTGCAATAACTAGTATATATCTGAGACAAGCAGAAACAGTTAGATAATTTGATGTTAAGTGAAATGAACCCCAAGATAATCTAGGACTCAAATGTTTTTTCTTTCTTGCTATTGTTTCTAACATATTTATAAGATATTTCTTAGTTGCTTTGTATGTCCCTCCCCCATGGTATAACCCCTGTTTTCACTGTATTTGATGTTGGTATAATTTGTGGAGGGGAAGGGAAAAAACAAATTGTTTAAATAGGGATACAGGTGGATCCATTGCAACAATGACATGTACAAGATGTTATGTTGAGAAACGAACTTTACAACTTTGGTGTGTGTGTGTGTGTGTGTGTGTGTGTGTGTGTGTGTGTGTGTGTGTGTGTGTGTGTGTGTGTGTGTGTGTGTGTGTGTGTGTGTGTGTGTGTGGTGCGTGGTGGTGGGGGAGATGGGAGGGGATGGGAAGAGGAAACAAAGGAGGAGGCAACAATGCTGGATAAGAAATGCACTCATTACCTTGCCCATGTACGGTATTTTCACAATTAAAAAAAAAGATAAACCAATTAGCAGATCATGTTAAAAAAAAGGGGGGGGGTGAACTTGTTCAAAGTACATTGCACACAGAGGAAATTATAACAATGAAACTTCCTTGTACTAATAATGTGTGCTAATAAACTATTACTACTATTAAAACACAACAACAACACTCCCATGGGCTTTCCTGCCTGGGATGGCTTCAAACCCTAATCCTTAGATCCCAGCCTGGTGAATAGCTAGGATTACAGGTGTGAACCACTGGCACCTGGCCAATACACTTACTTTTTTTCTTTTCTTTTTTTAAGAATCTTAAGGTTAAGGATGGGTAGGATGGTACACACCTATAATCTCAGCTACTGAGAAGGTGCAGAGAGGAAAAGGTCCACAGTGAGAGGCCTTATATGAAAAAAACCTAAAAGCAAAAGAGCTGGAGCATGGATCAAGAGGTAGAAGGCTTGGCTGGCAAAGGGGAGGCCCTGAGATCAAGCCCTAGTATTCCCCACCCCTACGTGCACAGAAAGTATAACTTTGCTGATGGATGTGGGCTCTGAAGCATCCTTGGACGTTCGGTTGGTGAAGGGTATGTGATACCAGCCTAATGTGAACCGGGTTCAAATCCAGTCTCCATCACTGCTGAGCCACCTTGGAAAGAACATTTCCCTCTCTGAGTACCCGTGTCTATGCCTATAATCTTAGCTACTCAGGACACACAGATCTGAGGACTTGGGTTCAAAGCAGCTAGGGCAGGGAAGTCTTTGAAATCTTATCTCCAATTAACCATCAAAAAGCCAGAAGTGGAGCAGTGGCTCAAGTGGTAGAGCACTGGCTGACCTTGAGTGTGCCAAAGGTCTATGCTTAATAAGTCTTGAGTTCAAGCCTTGATCCTGGCACCAGAGGTCAGGGGGAAAGGACACAGCACACATACAAACTGGGTGCAGTGCCTGACATATAGCATGTGCTAGGAAATGACAGCTGTTGTAATTATGGCCTCCTTTGAGTCCCACAAGAGGCAGGGAGGTTCAGCCCCACTGCACAGACGAGGAAACTGCCCTTCACGATTTGCTAGGGACCACTTGTATCAGAGCTGGGATTGCCAGCTCTGGGGTTGGACATTCATTCCTATTCCGGGAGTCCTTCCTTTACCCAACCCACCTTCCCACCATTAAGTTCTGAGAGTTCTGCTCTGGGCTCCCAGCCCCTCCCACCCATCTGTTTCCTGCAGGCTGAAGCTCCTAGCCATCCATTCTACCCACTCCAGTGCAGCTCAGAGGCTACCTACCCTATATAAGGCGCTCGAGACCTTGAATGCTGCCCCCCCCTCGTGAGATGGACTGGGGGTGTCAAGGCCGGGAGTGGGAATGGGAGGGGTGCAGTGAGGAAGAGGGAAGGCTCTAACACCAGGAAGGGGCTAGATGTGTGCAGAAGAGACCGACTCCCTACAGGCGAGGCCCTTCCTGAGCCCAATGCCCTTCAGATCCAGAAGCCCAGCTGCTCCCAGGAGGGGAATTTTCTGTCCTGTCTGAGAAGGCAGACATGTCTCACCTGACCCAAGGGTGTGCCTTGGGATTTGGAGCCCAAGACCACTCTGCCCTCTCTTTCCTCCCTGTCCTTGGATGGAGGAGACAGGCAATGCAGCCTGCTTTCTCTCCACAGAGCTGTCTGCAGGGACTGAAGAGGGCCACAGACCAACCTGGTCCCACCCCACCACAGCCAAAAGAGGAAAACAACCCAGTGTGTCATCAGTTTATGAATGTGTAAACAAAATGTAGTGGGGAGGCTCATGCCTGTAAGCCTAGCTATTTAGGAGGCTGAGATCTGAGGACTCAAGTTTGAAGCCAGCCCAGGCTAAAAAGTCTGAGTCTCTTATCTCCAATTAAATAGCAAAGAGCCAAAAGTGGAGGTGTGGCTCAATGGTAGAGTGCTAGCCTTGAGTGAAAAAGCTAAGTAATCCCTACTACCTGCACTTGGGTGGGCTCATGCACGCACATATGCACACGCACGTGCGCACACGCACACACATGTACACACACAATATGCAACAGATCTGTGGCATGGAGCATTATTTAGCCATAAAAAAGGAATGAAGTTTGACACACACTCCAATGGAGAAAGCATTACACCAAGTGAAAGGAGCCGCACAAAGGCCACATGTCATATGACTTCATTTCTCTGAGATGTCCAGAATAGGCAGATCTATGTTGAAAGCAGATGTTGAAAGGCAAACAGGGAAAGATTCATGGTGTTGTTTGAGAATTCTGCATGGGCCCAATCTATAGAAAGCAGATTGGGGGTTGGCGGGCTGGTAAGTGAAGGCACTGAGGAGAGGCTGCTTCATGACATAGAGTTTCTTTTAGTGGTGTTGAAAATATTAAGAATTGGGTAGTAGTGACAGACATTGGCCGGTCATTTTCCAGTGGTGGAAACTGTCAATCTTACTTACATTTTAGCTCAAGAAAAACATTTTTCTACGGTAAAATGTTATGAATAGAGCGCTAGAGACATGGTTCAGCAGTAGAGAATCTGCCCAGAAAGTTCAGAACTCTAAGTTTAAAACACACACACACACATGCACACACATAAAAAATTATTATTATTGTTATGATTGTCAGTCATGGGGCTTGAACTCAGGGCCTGGGCACTGTCTGTGAGCTTTTGTGTTCAAGGCTGGCACTCTACCACTTTGGGCCACAGCTCCACTTCCACTTTTCTGGTGGTTAATTGGAGATAAGAGTCTCACAGACTTAACTGCCTGGGCTGGCTTTGAACCATTATCCTCAGATCTCAGCCTTCTGAGTAACTAGGATTACAGGCCCCTGTAGTACAAAAAATTATGAATTGAAGAATGTTTCTCTCATTCATAGTTCTCTTTCCTTCTTCTCTTCTCTTCTCTTCCCTCCCACCTCCCTCCCTTCCTTTCTTCTTTCCTTCCTATTAATTTTTTATGCTTGTCCTGGGGCTTGAACTCAGGGCCTAAGCAATGTCCCTGATATTCTTTTGCTAATGACTAGCACTCTACCATTTGAGCCAGAGGCCCACTTCTGTCTTTTTGGGGGTGGTTTATTGGAGATAAGTCTCGGGCACTTTCCTGCCTGGCTGGCTCTGAACCATGATCCTCAGATCTCAGCCTTCTGAGTAGCTAGGATTATAGATAGGAACCACCAGTGCCTAGCTCAATTCATTCTTTTTTGAAACAGAATCTTCCTATGCTGTCCAGACTCCTGGGCTCAAGTGATCCTCCTGTCTGCATAACTACTACAATGCATGCATGCTGCCACAAAGTGTTTCTCAAGTCACACAGACCATTAACCTATTGGTTTTGTGTGTGGTGAGGGTGTGAGATATGATATGTATGTATGAACGATGGTGCTGAAGATAGAACCCAGGGCCTCAAGCATGCTAGGTAAGCACTCTGCCACTGTGCTTACCCCCACCCCACCATGATTTCCCACAGGAAAATCTTATAAGTTTCTTGCACAGCCCAGAAAAGTTGTTAAAATGAATGCATGGATGTGTGCATGTGCAAATACCTTATTAGAAAAATCAAGTAGATTGCATTATGCAGTATTCTCTGATTTTCTTCTTCTTTTTTTTTTTTTTTTTTTTGGGTCCGGTCGTGGGGCCTGAACTCTGGGCCTGGGCACTGTCCCTCAACTCTTCAGCTCAAGGCTAGTGCTCTACCACTTGAGCCACAGCGCCACTTCCGGCTTTTTTCTTTTTGCTTATGTGGTGCTGAGGAATCGAACCCAGGGCCTCAGGCATGCAAGGCAAGCGCTCTACCACTGAGCCACCTTCCCAGCCCCTCTCTGATTTTCTTCAGTGACTATTTCTTCAGTGAATGCCTGGGATTCACTTCTGAGCCATACAGGGCTGTGATGCTCATGTTTTGGTGGATGGGCATTCTAATGTGTTGCTGGAGCTGGTATGATGACATTGGCTTGAGGCTTTACGAAGAGGTGGAGGGAAAGAGTTGGTTACTCTGGTGGATATCAGGCAGGATGGGGACAGAGCTGGGACCAAGGTGCCTAGTAATTCAGGAGAAATGCCCAATGAGCCCACCACTGAGAAATGGTAACTGCTAACAGAAGGGTTAGGACCGTTATTAAGTCATAATGAAGACTAGCCAGGCACTAGTGTCTCACACCTGTAAGCCTAGCTGCTCAGGAGGCTGAGATCTGAAGATCACAGTTTGAAGCCAACCCAGGCAGCAAAGTCTGTGAGACTGTCACTTCCAATTAACCACCCAAAAATACAGAAGTGGAGCTGTGGCTCAAATGGTAGGGTGTTACTTTTGAGTGAAAAAGGGACAGGGTCTAATTTCTGAATTCAAGCCCCAGGACTGGCACATGCACACATGTACGCATGCAAGAGCACACACACAGAACTAAATATAGATGCCTTTAATATTTCCATCTACCCTATCTTCTTATTCCCCAGAGTGAGCAACTGAACTCTGAAAGCCTTATTGTCTTAGACCTTGCCCCATGTTTCACCAGCAGATTGATAACCCCATCCACCCACACACTATGCCACTGTGGCAGACACCTTCACCTCATTCACAAAGCCTGTTGCCTAGCAACAGTTTTGCCTGATACCTGCTTCCTCACACTGGCACAAATGTTCTCAGCTCCTCTTTTTGTTTAACAGGTAGAGGAAGCTATGTTCCAGGGAGAAGCCAGGGTTGTCCAAGCCCACACAGAATTGACTAGAACCCTAGACCCTGGGCCATGCCCATCAACCCAGCCAGGCTGTCTCTAAGAAGCTAGGGAAGCTCCTCTTCAGGAAGAAGTGTCAATGGCTGGGCATGCACAGCTTAGCCTCCAGCTCCTGCAGGAGAGAAGGAGAAGCCATTAGGCATCTGTAGTCCCCACCCCCAGAAGAGCAGAACTTACTGTGGGAGCTGATATACTCGGGCGACTTCCCGGGCCCCAGAGGAAGGGCCTCCTCATAGTAGTCCTCAGGGGGAGGCTTGTTGGGCAGAGGTGGAGGGAGCTCAGCTGCCTGCAGGGGAACAAAGAAGGCCATAAGACAAGATGGCCCACAGAGGGGCAGGTGGAAGTTCCCCAGAGGGAGGCTGTAGTCTAAGTGTGAAGGTGTAATTGTGTGTGTGTGTGTGTGTGTGTGTGTGTGTGTGTGTGTGTGTGTGTGTGTGTGTGTGTATAACTGTGTGATACTGGGGTTTGCAGCTCATATAAGCCTCATACTTGCTTGATTGGCACTCTACCACTTATGCTATGCCTCCAGTCCAGCTTTATTCTGGTTATTTTGGGGATGAAGTCTCTCAGACTTTTCTGCCTGGGCTGGCCACTAACCCATGATCCTTTTGATCTTGACCCCCTGAGTAGCTAATATGACAGGTCTGAACCACCAGAGCCTAGCTTTGGAGCCATAACTTTTAATAGTCACAATGCTGACAAAACTTGAGCATATTCATCCTGTTCTTCTTATGCAAAGTACATGAGCAAAAGAGTTTCCCTGTAACATCTGAGTTTCACAGACTGCCAAACAGTGGTAGTCACGCTTCTCAGTGGACCCACACAGAATTCTCAAGTGCAATGAGTTCTGCCATATCTACCACTTCAGAAGGAAAGATCAGACCACTGAGGTAGAATCTCCCAGCAGCTCTGAGCCTAGGTTTTGGAGCTAGACCCTCCTACCTTCTTCCAGCTTTACAACTTCCTAATCGTGAGACACTGGGCTCATCACTTATCCCCTCAGAGCCTCGGTTTCATTACAGTAAAACGGGGACTGCATTTGTGCCAAGCACATTCAGTAGCTGGAAGTATGTAAAATACCTAGCAAACTGGTCATCACCAGTTGGTTTTGATGAAAATGAATTCCATGAATGATGCTTATCGTTAATTCTTGTGCCCCCAAGATATGGACCAATCCTTGGTCAACAACAACAACAACACAAACTCATGCTCTAAGAAAGTGATTTTTCACGAGGCCACACAGCCGAGCAGTAACTTTATGTGGACTTGAGGCTGAGGTGGTGATCTTTGTGCCTGAGGAGACAGACCAGTTCACCGTATTTTCCTTACTTAGTAGGACTCAATAAGCATGTCATAAGTTATTGAAGAGCTGGGAAGGTAGCTCAGTGGTAGAGTGCTTGACTCACATGCATGAAGCCCTGGGTTTGATTCCTCAGTACCACATACACAGAATAAAGCCAGAAGTGGTGCTGTGGCTCAAGTGGTAGAGCGCTAGCCCTGAGCAAAAGAAGCTCAGGGACAGTGCCTAGGCCCTGAGTTCAGTCCCAAGGACTGGCAAAAAAAAAAAAGTTATTGAAATGCTCATGCAGAATTATTATTATTATTTTTGGGTCCAGTCGTGGGGCCTGAACTTCTGGGCCTAGGCGCTGTCCCTCAGCTCTTCAGCTCAAGGTTAGCACTCTACCACTTGAGCCACAGCGCCACTTCTGGCTTTTTTTCTTTTTGCTTATGTGGTGCTGGGGAATCGAACCCAGGGCCTCAGGCATGCAAGGCAAGCGCTCTACCACTGAGCCACCTCCCCAGCCCTCATGCAGAATTATTTCTGGTAGAGAAAAGAGTGCCCTGCACCACCAGGAGGGCAACAAGGGTGACAGAGAGTCCCCTCCCCTACCCCCCTACTGGGCCCAAGCCATGACTCACACTTCTCAGGGCTGGGCTCTTGGTTGGCTCAGGGCTGGTTCTCTGGCTGGGTTTCCCATCATCCTCTGACAAGTCCCGGAGGTCACCCAGGGCACAGTCTACAGAGGGCCAAGCCATCAGGCAGGGAAAGCCAAGCATGAGTGGGGAAGATGACTGGATATGGGGAAGCTGAACCTCCTCCATTTGTCACCTGAGCAAACGGCTTCAGCAATACCCGGGATGCTGACTGTGCAAGCTGGCTATGCCATTCCCAGCTTCACCTGGCATAGCAACTAGATGGAGTCTGGAGTTCCTCCAGGGTTACAAAGGCACAGGGTTTCCCCTATGTGTCAATCCAGAAAGCTGTCCTAGATGATGCTTTCTCTCTGGAGTAAATAGTGCTCTCTTCTCCCACTAGGAAGCTGATGCCAAACTGTCTCCTATGTGCCAGCTTGGGTGCTCCCAGGCCCAGCTCTAACTCCCTACTGACCTGCTAGTCCCCCCAACCCAGGGTCCCAGGCTACAAGTGATGGCTGGCGGTGGCAGGCACATCACCCGGGCTGCCCATTAGTTCCTACTGATCCTCACATCTCAGGGATGACTTCCTGTAATGGCACATAGGAGTACATTTGAAGCTGACAAGGTCCAGAGCAGCTAAGGGGCAGCTGTGAGAGCTAGGCCTCATCTAGTGCAGGACCTTCTCTGTGCACACACAGGAGAGAGGGCGTCACATCGAAGTTGGGAGAGGGCGCTTACCAAATTCTTCAAAGAGAGACTCCACGAAGCTGGGTCCCGAGTGCAGATCTGCGGTGTTCACATACAGGCAGGAGACTTCTTTCGCTGGGAGAGGGAAGGACATGGGACAGTGAGAAGGCTTGGGACCAGTCCTCTAAGACATTTTTGTCCTTCACCCCCTCTTCTCTCTCCTTCCCTCCCTATTTTCCTCCCTGGGCTTGGTGCATATGAGGTAAGCACACTATCACTGAGCTACATTCCCAGCCTTTTGATTTTAAAGCAGTGTCTTACTATGCAGCTCAGGCTGACCTTGGACTTGTGACCTTCCCGTCTCAGCCTCCTATGCCTCCAGCTCGGTTTCTCACTAGTTATTTTTATGATGGGGTCTTACTTCCTGACTGGACATGTGCCCCCAGTGGGGCAATCTGCCCACTTCAGCTTTCCTGTAGTTTCTGGGATCACAGATGGGTCCAACTGTGTCCAGCTTCCTTTACACAGAAAGGACATCTAGAGGACTTTTCTGTCAGAGCTGACCTTGAGCCTGATCCTCTCATTCTCAGCCTCCCAGACAGCTAGTCTTACAGGCACGAAACACCATGCCCAGACTTTCATTTTTAAACTGTGATCGTGATCTCAGTGTCTAAGTAAGTGCAGTCCTGCCATGGGGACAATCACGGGCCACAGCTCCAGTGAGGAGCAACACTGCTGACCTTTCAGCCTTTCAACAGTCCTGTTGGAGCAGCAGGTGACATCAGCTCTGTTTTGGGGATGTGAGACTGAGAATCACCAGTGGTGACATCCACCACATCCCTTGTGAGGCTTGTGAGAGCTACTGAGACAGACCATGCTGTCTACTGACTTGTGGTGCCAAGGGAAGGCTGGCGCTAGGGCAAGTGAGAGAGCTGAGAATACAGGCAGGAAGGGGGAGAAATGCCGATTTCCAGGGACACACACATCCTCAGGAGATACAACACCGGAGGGTGAGGTGAGTAAGACTGCACAGTGGTACTGTATGCTGTTAACATGGTGTGTGGTCTGTCTGGTATTGTCAGAGCATATTTGTGTGGATGTGTGCTCGTGTTCGCGTGTTATGTATGTTGTGTGTGGTGTATACAACTATGTTGTATGCATGTGTGTATTGTGTGTGCATGCGGGGTGCATGTGTGCTGGGTGTGCGTCATGTGTGGTAGGTCCGTGAGTGTAATGTGTGTTCTGCATGGAAGTTGTTAGAGGCTGAGAATGGAGGAGGACTGATGGAGAAGGACAAGAACCAAGTAGATGAGGACACTTGGCCAGAGTGTGCCAGGCACATACCCGTGTCCTGGGAGGCTTAGAGCTCTCCCTGCACAGGCCGGGGGGAGGTGGTAAAGGTTCAAGAGAGGCAATGCTATTTGTATACATGGAGCTTCTCCAAGCTAACCTGGGAGGGGCTGCAGGCTCTGCAGGATGGAGGCCACAGCCATCTTCTTCTCCAAGGTGCTGTCACTGAGGTACTCGTGGTCAAGGAGGCTGAGCAGCCCGGTGAGCTCTGGGAGCAGCTGCTCTAGTACTGGGGAGAAAGACCAGGACACAGTCAGGCTCTGAGGCCAGGGCTTCCCCCGCCCCTGCCTGGGCCAGGCCAGTGCCTGGTGTACTAGGAAGATGCAGGGCTTGCACACAGCTGTCCAGGGCCGGCTCTGCCCACAGCTCTGTGGCATTCCTCCTGCTTCCCATCTCTGCGTCAGACATCAGATGACTGAGCCGCCCTAGGTTCACCCCAACTCGATCCTCAGTCCAGGCCAGAGGCACCTTAGGCCTCTCTTTGTTCCAGGCTGCACTTGGTTTTTCAGGGGGCTCAAAGCACGCCTCAGGCCAGAGCCCTGGGCTGTACAGGACACAGGCAGGAAGGGAGTCTTCCTGTCCCATTAGTTCATGTGCTTCAATCTCTGGAACCTTCTGTTTCCGGTGCCTTGGCCAGAGCCAAAGGAATCATTAACCCTTCCTGCTCCGTGCCCAATGCATCAACCACCATTCTTTCTACATGCATATCAGCACTTCTCAAAACTTGACAGTACTCAGGGATCACCTGTAGGTCTTACCAAAATGCAAATTCAGATTCAGGAGGTCTGTGATGGGAGGGGAGTTTGCGTGTTTCTCACAAGCTCCCAGATCTGGGGCCATACTGAGTTGCAAGGTTCTACAGCAAAGACAAGCATGTCAGGACCATGAGGTCACTGATGTCTTCCAAACAGTAACCGGGGACTTGGTTTGCCTCACAGCCAAAGGCCAGCTTTATTAGAGTAGTAGCATTGTTCTGCTTTATAACTGTTTGCTTTGGTTTTTATTTTCATGCCAGTCCTAGGACTTGAACTCAGGGCCTGGATGCTGTCCCTGAGCTTTTTTGCTCAAGGCTGGCACTTGAGCCACACAGCTCCACTTCTGGCTTTTTTTTTTTTGTCGGTTATGGGACCTGAACTCTGGGCCTGGGCTCTGTCCCTAAGCTCTTCAGCTGTAGACTAGCACTCTACCACTTGGGCCTCAGCCCTACTTCCAGCTTTTTCTGCTTATGTGATGCTGAGGAATCGAACCCAAGGCCTCATGCATGCAAGGCAAGCGCTCTACCACTGAGCCACCTTCCCAGCCCGTCCACTTCTGGCTTTATGGTGGTTCACTGGAGATAAGAGTCTCACAGACTTTTCTTCCCCAGCTGGCTTTGAACTGTGATCCTCAAATCTCAGCTTCCTGAGTAGTTATGATTACAGGTATAAACTATTGGTGGTTGGCTGCTTTGTAACTTATCAAGCACTTGTACATGATCATAAAAGCTAACCAGTCTTGCCAAATGCTTTTGATGCTGTGCTCCATCTTTTATAATTATTGTATCACTTAACTCCCATCCCAAATATTTTGTTAGCTTCATAATATGCAGTTAGGCTCAGCATAAGCATAGTTAAATCCCATCTCCAGGATCACATAGCTAAGGGAGTCTTGGCAGGTTGCTTTCCTGATTTTACCTATTCACTTAACCATAGGACTATATTACCTGGACACATTTTACGGGATCTTATCAACAAGTGTTGGGAGAGGGGCAGTGTCTCAGGAATGCCCCTACTTTGTGTGTGTGTGTGAGGGGGGGGTGGGAGGGAAGGAGGGGGGGGAGAGAGAGAGAGAGAGAGAGAAAGAGAGAGAGAGAGAGAGAGAGAGAGAGAGAGAGAGAGAGAGAGAGAGAGAGAGAGAGTGTGTCTAGGGGCTTGAACTCAGGGTTTAAACATTGTTCCTGAACTTTTTATGCTCAAGTTTAGGGCTCTACCACTTGAGCCACAGCTCTACCTCTGGCTTTTTGGTATTTAATTGGAGATAAGAATCTCATGGACTTTCCTGCCCAGGCTGGCTTTGAACCTCAATCCTCGATCTCAACCTCCTGAGTAGCTAGGTATAAGCCAACAGGTTCAGAAAGGCATAGGCTACACCGTGAACCTTGGCTTCTTTTAAGAGCCTGGGGTGGGCTCTGCTAAGAAAGGTACAGTATAGGTGTTGGAGGAGATAAGGGGCCCATGGGTGCTATGTACCTACTTCCTTCCTCATAGCAATCGTCTGTGAAGACAGAGGTATGGTTGGGGAAACTGGCTGCTTTCTGTCTGCAATTTTTTTGCCTGCATCACCCCAAATCCAAGAAAAATGAGCTGAAGGCTGATGAGCTGGATGAGGTCAGGTGACCAAGCTAGGAGCTGGGCACCAAGCTGATGGCTTCTTTTGGAGTAGTGTCATTTCTTCTGACAGTGGTCTGGGGAGGATACTCATTTTCTAGCATGTTCTGCAGAGGCTGAGTGGAACTGAGGCCCTGGTAAGTTCCCAGGTCAAACTATTCTCAAAATACCTGAGTCACAACTCCAGGGACTTGTTGACCTCATAACTGCCAGGGGAACCTGATACCTGCACCCCTGGGGCTGGAGCTACAAAGCGCACAGGACCCAGGGTTCTGGAAGGACAAACTTCCCTCTTTTTTGTTTTGATCAAGGCTGGTGCTTTACCTCTTTAGCCACAACTTCACTTCCAGCTTTTCGCTGGTTAACTGGAGGTAAAGAGTCTCCCAGACGTTTCTGTCTCTGCTGGCTTTGAAGTGTGGTCCTCAGATCTCTTGAGCAGCTAGGATGACAGGCATAAGCCACCAGTGCGTGGCTCCTAGGAAATTCTAAACCACAAGGACACACATGCTTTTATCCCACTTTCCTTTAGAGCTACCATGTCATCACCTGTCACCCCAGAAAACTCCACTGTACACTCATGCAGAGTGAGTGGAAAGAAAGCAGGTAATGTCTACTACATGGAAGTGGTTTTAGGGCAGGCTATACAGATGGTGCTCACTTAATAGTTTCAATACTTGGGAATCTAAGGCAGGATTATTTAAGTCCAGGAGTTTAAACTGAGTTTGGTCAACATAGTGAAAAATCCCTGTCTCAAGACAAAATGAAACAAAAATATGACAAAAAAGTAATTTTGACCTTGTGGTCCCATTGAAAGCGGTTTGGGGATGCCTAGGCATCACTATGCCTTGAAAACAACTGTCCTGAGATGAATAGCCCTAGCTTGCTAGCTTTCTATGGTCCTTAACTCTTTCTTTTCTTCCTTTCTCCCTTTCCCTCTCATTTCTTCACTCCCATCTTTCTTTTTGCTGTGAGGGGCCTCCAGTTCCATATGCCTATTAGCAAATGCCTGAGTATGGCAACATTTTGACTTCTGGATACTACATTATACAGCTTTGAACACAAGGCTGGTCACATTGTTTCTAGGGAAGAACCAGAATTCAAGTGAGTTCTGTGTTTAGCACACTGGCTTTCCTACCTAAGCTTCCTGAGGCCAATTTCTATTTCCTTCCTGGACTTTGATGCAATTCTTCATATGGGACCTTGACTTGTAAGTGCTTCTCCTTTACCAGAATCCTCAGCACCCAAGTGCAAACAGATTGGAGAAGAAAGCAGCTGAGTGAGCTGGTGAGTGCAGGGCTGCCAACCAGGCCTGCTGGTGTGGCTGGGAAGTGGTGCTTGTGGAGGATACACAAGACCCTTTCCCTGAGGCTGAGTGGTTACCATGTGGTGAGCCCAGATTATGTGCCTATCTCAATTAATGCTCCAAAGCCCTAAGAAGGAGGAAGTGCAGGCTCAGACAATAACTGATAAAGCCAGGCCTTGAACCTAGGATTTTCCATCTACAAGCTTGAAACCCTGGGCCTGAATGGGAGGAAATCTCCTGAACCTCCCTCCAGACCTCAGCTCAGTGGCCTGGAGGCCAGGATGGGGAAGTGCAGGCAGAAGAGGATGAAGGGCCACTGAGGAATCTTTCACTGGGGATCCAGCACCTTGCTGTCCTCTCCCCACGGAGCCTCCCTGAATGTCAGTAAAGCCCTGAAAAATAGGTCATGCAGAGCAAATGCTGGACCTAAGGGTGAAGGTATTCTAGACCAAAGTAGAACTCACCCTGAGAAGTGAACTCCTAAGTATAGTGAGTATAAAACACACTGCTTTCACTGACAGCTTTGTCTTTTTTTTCTTTTTGGATGAGACCAGGACTTGCACTATCTAACACTTGCTTAGTTGCTTTCACTCACTGGCTGGCACTCTCCTCTGGAACTATGCCTCCAACCCAACACCTTTGTCTTTAATGTTGGAGAATAGTAATCATAGGAATTTAAGCTCTCAGAGAATTTAGTTTAGAAAGATCACCTGGAGCCCAGCACCAGTGGCTCACGCTAGTAATCCTAGCTACTCAGGAAGCTGAGATATGAGGATCATGATTCAAAGCCAGCCTGGGCAGGAGATTCTTATCTCTAATAAACTACTCAGAGAAAACCAGAAGTGGTGCTGTGGCTCAAGCGGTAGAGCACTAGCCTTGAAAACAAAGAGGCTCAGGGACAATGCACAGTCTCAGAGTTCAAGCCCCAGAACTGGGGGGGAGAGGTAAAGAGGAGAGGGGAAAGGGGAAGAGGGGGAGAGGGGAGAGAGAGGAGAGAGAGAGAGAAAGAGAGAGAGAGAGAGAGAGAGAGAGAGAGAGAGAGAGAGAGAGAGAGAGAGAGAGAGAGAGAGATCTGGATACAATGTGTGCCACCAGGACAGAGGTTCTTGGGTCTCCTAGTTGGAGTGATTCAGAAGGTTTTGCTGGGACCCAAGAGTCCACATTTATTCCAGGAGATTCTGCAGAAGCAGTTCAAATTTCAACCTTTAGATACACAATGGAATTCTATGCCTCCATCAGAAAGAATGACATTGCCCCATTTGTTAGGAAATGGAAAGACTTGGAAAAAATTATATTAAGTGAAGTAAGCCAGGCCCAAAGAAACATAGATCCCATGGTTTCCCTTATTTGCAATAACTAGTATATGTCTAAGACAAGCAGAAAAGGTCAGATAAGTTGATGTTAGGTGAAATGAACTCCAAGATAAGTATTCAAATGTTTTTTCTTTCTTGCGATTGTTTCTAACATATTTATAAGATGATTTCTTTGTTGCTTTGTATGTCCCTCCCCATGGTATGACCCCTGCTTTCATTGTATTTGATGTTGGTATAATTTGTGGAG